CCATGGAATATTTTTGACTTTAATGGTATTAGTCATGATATGAATCTCAAGGTATGAACGAGGAGAGATGAGAGACTTATATGCTTCCCAAATTTCTTCAAAAGGTAATGTTATACCTGACTGTTTCCAAATGAGTTCAATATCATAGCGTGAGAAACCTTGAAAGATAACGAAGTCAGTTATGAGACGTTTTATGTTTAAAGCTAAAAACCTCCATGTTTGCATAAGTATTGCTACAGTTAAATGGTAATGTCTGACTTTAGTAATGATTTAGCTAATGGTGAGTCTGGTTTTGACACTAAACCTTTTCCGGCGAAGTCGTCGCAAACGAGCAGAGTGTTTGAAGGATATTTTTTGAAGGGGTATTTTGAAAGTTTTGATAGAATGTAGTTTGTCAGTCGTTTCATATCGTAAACTCCTGAGTACTGACGTAAGTGGTGTTTGTCAATAATTCTTTCCATCTCCTCAGAAGTCTTTTGCATTCCTGACTGTATAAATTCAACGATGGCATAATATTTCCTCTTACGTCGAATGTAACGTTGAAGAAATTCAATGAGTTCACTGTCTGGAACTTTAACGACAGAGGCTTGAACTTTTGACATAAATGTTTTCGCTGTTGAATCCATAGAGTCTGAAGTTGCTGATATAATGATTTGGTCATAGTAAGAGTCGTTTCCTAAACGCTCTGTTATGAGTATATGACGAATTAAATTAAATGTCTTACCTGAACCCATCTTTCCACAATAGAAATAACACCATTTGAACAGAACTCATAGTCTTACTGAAAGGAAGAATAGAGAAGAGTTAAGTTTGTCTGTAGTTTCATTCATGTCTTCATCTACGTCATGTATTAAATGCTTCATTTTATCTCCATTAAAAATGCAAGTCAGAAATATTCAGAACATAGCACCGAGTCTAACTGACAAGAGTATAAAGATATACTATGAACACGTTATGATGAAACCAACCAAAATTCAAGAAAGTCAGTATACTTATGAATATCCAAGACACTGGGTAGAGTATGTAGGAGGTGAGAAAGCTATTGAAATCAGACAGGTTCGAAGTATTCCAGCAGGAAGAACAATATTATTGAAGAACTTTAATGTTTTGAGATATAATGATGAAACAAAGAAGCAAGATAGTTTTCCTGTTGCTGTGTATGTGAACCTAGACACAGGAGATGACATGAAAGTTTTTAACACAAAGCTTCAAACGGTAGTGAGAGAACAACTGACTGCGGAAGGACATCCATTACCTTCAGAAGTTACCATAGCATATAATTTTGAAACAAACTCAATAGATTTTAAAGTCATCTCTGCAAAGAAGTCAGGTTTTACATTTAATGAAGCAGATGTATATTCGAATGAAAACTTCAAAGCTATTGCATGGTTAGATAATGACGATTGCTTTAAGAAAATATTTAAATACAGTGACTCAACGATGTCAATAGATGACCTTCGTGGAATGTTACCATCGACGTTTACAGTTGAAGGCTCAGCAGGATTGCTTACAAGATTGTCAATTGGTGGTATTTGGTCTCGTGAGAACATTGTTATAAAATCCAGTATAAGTGAATTTGCTGAAGAATCTATATTATGTCTTTCAAACTACATGTATTCGCCGCCGAAGCATTATAGTATAACAAACTTTGTCAGTAAGTTTAACATAAGACTTGTCGAACCTTCTTCAATGAAAGATGTTGTGCTACCTAAAGATGGAAAGGATGGACTCATTATTGAGATGATTTTAATTGCATATTAAATGAGCTTGTTCTTGAAGGTCATTCATGATGAAATAACTGTTGTAGAAGATGTTAGCAATTGTTCAGACATTTTGAAGCGTATAGATGATATAAGAAATAAGTTAGATAGACCGCAAAGCGGTGAGGGCGAAGCCCGTGAGAACGCTTATGTTTCATTGACTTTCTCCAGTAACGAGAACTTTTATGAGATAATATTGAAGAGAGATGATTTTAATATGGTGTAAATGGTAGCTTGGGCAGCTTTAGGCGCAATGGGAACAAAAGCATTAGCATTTGGAGCAAAAGCACTTGGAGCTTATGACGCAGTAAATAAAATGAGTGGAGGAAGGGTTTCGAAGACATTAGATGCAAATAAAGGGAAGATTGGAGGCTGGGTTGCAAAGAAGTTAAGATTAAATAAAATAGGGCTCATAAATAAAGCATCCAATTTGGTTGCGACTGAGTCAGAAAATGCTTTAGGAAAGGACGACGAGTTTGCAAAACACGCAAAAGACTTTAATGACCAGATGAAAGGTGAAACAATGCATTTAAATAGAGTCGATGGAACTCTTCCTCCACCAGTAGTTCTTCCGTATGGTCCCTATGGAATGTATGGAAACCCTTATGAACGACCATTTGACCCATTGACTGGTGGAAGTAACTGGTATCATTACGGACGAAGAAGAAAGACAGTCAAGTTGGAGACAGACGTGAAGAAAGCAACTAAAAAGAAACCAAGGAAGTGAGTTATAAAGCAATGAATTCAACAGGGTGAAAAAAGAGGTGAAAAAAGAGGTGAGATCTCACCGCTTCACCTAAATTTATTTTTGCGCTATGTTTTCATACGTGTGGGAGTGGTGATATCATTTATTTTTTTATTTTATTTTTTTATTTTATTTTTTATTTTATTTGGATGTAAATGACGAAAACTATTGAGATAACAAACTACAACGGTCATGAGTTCAAGAATTTGTTCTTCGTTCCTCGTGAAAATACATTCTATCAGATACGAGGGAGAAAGGGTAAAGTTAGTTTGAGCGTTTATGACTACAAACATAATGGAAAGTTTATACAAGCATACGATACAAACGGTAAGCGTGTTTCATTAGCTTTGTCAAAACTTACTAACATTTATTTTGACAGTGATTTTGACCTATATGAAGAAGAAAGTGAGTCAGAAGATTATGAGCTGTTATGTGAAGCACAGCAATGGGAAGCGCTGCAATACTTTTGTAAGTGAGAACGTTTATTTTTACAGTAGTGAAGTCGTTTGTGAAAACGTTAGTGAAGTGAAGTGGTTGGCGGCTTTGTAAATATTTAATGTTAAGTTAGTGTTGTCGTTTGTGTTGTAAAATATATGTTAACGGTTTTGTAAAGTGTCAAATTCACAAGTATTGGGTAAGGAGGCGCGCAGTGCCTCCGTACACATGACTTGTATACTAACTAACATAATAAAAGTAAAATAAAAAAGATCGGATTTATCACAAAACTTTGAGTATTATAGGATTTAATATATTTTCTTAGTAGATTATATGATTTAGTTTCTTAAAATCTAAAGTATTTCTTGAGGAAAATATAAATTGAAATTCAAAAAGTAAAAAAAATGTAAACAAATCAAATTTTAAATGGACCAAATGTTGATTTTTCATTCGTTTTCTCATTATCGAAAAAAATTTGGAAAGCTAAGAAGTCAATAACAAGTTATATAATACAACAAAACCCACATCGGATATATTTTCATCAAATAGTCTCCTAGATTTGTTATGAAATTAAAATATCATGATATTTTAAGGGCTTTTGATTTCAATATTAGAATTATTCAGCTATGTCGTGCTAATATCAATTGCTTTATACAATTAATCGTTTACAAGCTGCAAAAATCGAACAATAATTTGACTTTGTAAAAAAAGTGCGTCATTTTTATTCGTTATACTTACAAAATGTAAACATTACGAGAAACATTTACATTTGTAAATGTAACAAGTAAATACATCAGATTTAAATTGTAAATGTAGTTTATCTCTCTCATCTCCTTTTTAAAAGGTATTACATACATACGAACGCATGGGTCACTCAATAATTAGCGTGATAATAATTGAGGATAGACTGTAATCGTAATTTTATTTTTGGACTTATATTTCGACATTTTAAAGTCGCTTGAAAGTCTTGCAAATGATTAAATTTGGAAAATTTGACCTAAGTCTGCATTATTTTGATGACTTAAACAATTCTATAAATCTGTTTTCCTAAAAATTTAAAAAGATATAATTTCAATTTCCCTAAATTTATGTAATTCATATATCACCAAAATATTTGGACTGCATTTTGTTTGTCTGCACCTAATTAAAGTCTAAATACCAATTAATTTTGGAGTTGCATTGCTTTTAATGTAAAAATGCACGTTTAGAAAAAGACGATAACGATTAAATTACAAAATCGATAACGACGACGATTAAATTACAAAATCGATAACCTCTCAAGTGATAACGGAAATCATTAATAATAGGCCACCTGCAGATCCTCTACCAATGCAAGACATAAGTTACATATGTCCATTTTCTATGGTGCCTATCACTTGCCCTGGACGCGGTGTTAGGTGTCAACATCGCCAATGCTTTGATTTAAGAGAATTTTTGCTCTTAAATTTTGACGACGATTCCAAATGTCCCGTATGTGGAATGCAATTAAGCTTTGACGATTTAAGATTTGATCCATTTTTTTTCAAACCTTTTAACAAGCCACAAAACTATAATGAAAAGATACCAGATAATCAAGAAGCTCATTACGAAGAACATCAGAATGCTGGTAATCTAGAAACGTGGGAAGAGTTTAATGCGATCCAATCTTATGAGTTCTAGCGCTTATCTTTACGTAATTTTTGTATAAATGTTATGTATTTAGGTTTCAGGTAATCAAATATTTTTGAAATCGAATTGATTGTTTCATAAACATGATGTTATTGGAATGACTCTCATTAGATACAGATAATTAGTACTGAAATGTAAAATCGAAGTGAAATCTTAGGTGATGTCATCTTCTGATTCATCAAATTTGATTGAAAAAATTATCAAAAAACAGATGCTCGGAAGTTATGAAAAATTAAGTATTTAGATCAATTCTACGTGCAGTAGTTTGATTATGATTAGCTTCAGGATTCGTAAAAAGTGAATATTTACCAATGAAAATACATTGTCGAAAAAAAATATTGTAAACTATACAATCTAAAATCTAAACGATTATCTAAAAAAACAATAAAAAAATGCTTGATTTTTCAGGAGAAAAGCTAGGAGCGCTTCAACAACTTCAACAAAAGTTATCATCGAAGCAATTCACAGCTTTAAACCTGAGTGGAAATGGTATCAACGAAATCAGTGTTGATGATGCAAAATTATTTTCTCAAATCTCTTATTTAGATATCTCAAATAACAATATTTCAAATTTAGATTTCTTAATAGAGATTCCTAATTTAACTACATTGATCGCTTCAAACAATAATTTAACATTATTCCAATATAACGGTTCAAACCCAAAGCTTCAGAAGATTATTTTATCAAATAATCAAATAATACAGATTTCTTTCAACAACTCTTTGAATTCATTACTCTATCTCGAAGCGAATAATAATAAAATTAGAAATATCAATTTTGGAAATAAAGTAAAATCATTACAAGAGCTTTATGTCGATAACAACTCTATTAAGAATCTTAATGGAGTAGAAAATTTAATCAGTCTTCAAAAACTTTCTGTCAAAAATAATATAATTGAAGATTTTCCTCCGATTAAACTTCCATCCTTAATAGAACTTGATATATCAGGAAACAAAGTCATGACAATGAATCCATTTACTCAATTTTCGAATCTACAAACATTAAATATTTCAAATAACTTGATTGATGATAAATCATTCAATACAGATTTCTGTCTTAATAATTTGGTTAATTTAAATGTCAGTTACTCACAAATTACCAAACCAATTCAAATATCAAAATTTGCTCCAAATTTACAAGTTGCTGACATATCAAATACAAATATTTCAGATGAAAAGGAGCTAATTAAGTTCATAGAAAATGCTCGTTCTCTAGCTCTTATCAATTTCCATAAAACTCCTTTGATGAATGATGAATCATCTCAATTAATTAGCAAACAGATTATGACAAGTGCAAAATCAACATTTTATGATGACAATGTAGAGATGACTGATGTTGAAAGCATCAAAGCTGGTTTAAATAACAGAAAAGCCATTGATGAATTAGAAATGCAGAATAAAGCATTAAGAAATGAAATTATCGAACTTATATATGGTGAAAATAACGAAAATGACGATAACTATTGCGTTACTGATATTATTTCAGAGCTAAAAAGAGAAAATGAATTTATGAAGAAATTATTATTCGAAAAAAGCGCTTCAAAAATACAAAGAGAATCAGAAGATAGGCCAATTACTCCCAAACGTGATGTTGATATACAGACTTCTCAAAGATTTGTTATTCAAAAAGAAGAAAATTTAATTTTACCAAAAAGAGATGCAGATATTCAAACATCGCAAAGATTCATAATCCAGAAGGAAGAAAAAGCTATTTTGCCTAAACGAGATGAAGATATTCAAACATCTCAAAGATTATTAATAAATCAACCACAAAAAGACGAAAAAGAAACACAGAAAGATAACTCAATCCTTCTTAAATATGATAAACAACAGAAAAGTCATTCTTCTTCATCAGAAAAACCAAAACACAAAAAGATTGATTCTGATTCTGATGAAGATCCTTATGATGGGTACAAAAAACGCAGAGATTATTTACTTCGTCATTTTTCTGGTAAATCTCATCAAAGATTTTTCGAATCTCTGCAAGAAAGTAATTCAGATTTAATTGAATTGCTGAAATACGAAAAAGAAAAGAGATCTTCTGATAAATCTGCCATAGAATACATTGAACAATTATGTGAAGACAATGCCGCGATTGTCAACCACCTTGTTAGTAGAGAAGGTCATAAACACAGACACAAACACATCCATCATCACGTAATTAAAGTGAAGAAAGAACAAAAACCAAAAAATGTTATGAAGCATCATCACGCGGATTTTTTTGGGAGTGAAAGCACGGATTCCGAGTTTGATGAGAGAGAAATAGATAATGAATACAGATGTGCTTTTTGCCCACCTTCACCTCAAAACCAACAAAAGGAAAAAGAAGAAATCGCAAAAGTTGAAAAACTTAGAAGACCAAAAAACATTTTTAAACGTCAAGAAATCAGATTAACATATTCACTTTCAAGATCAAATGAAGCTAAACTAGCTGAATTAAAGCTTGAAAGAATCAATGGATGCGATATAGACTCAATGAGACTTCCTTATTGGGAAGATCTTTCATGTTTTGTTGATTTTACTTTTCCTGATGAATCAAGGAAGATAATCAAGCCATTGAAGAATTGTTGGCCATTTACTGAGAGAGAACCAAGATCTATTCCATGGGATTATGAATATAAAACAACTCCAGAGACAAGACCAAACTCTGGAAAGATAATTGAAACAATTTCGATGAGAAAAATCACTGAAATGATTATTAATAACGCTCGTCTTAACACAAAATTCAATGAACCAATAAATAAAGATGGTAAAGAAGCTGATATTATAAAGCTTTGGATCAAAGGAGCAACAGGATATGATATAAAACTCGATAACATTCAGAGAGCTCCAAATTCAACAAAAGTTATCAATCTTGGAAGAAATTCTCCAATAAAGAATCTCAAACTTGGATTAATGAAAGTCAAGAATGGTCCTGTTGCAATGAGAAGACCAAGCGTTGATAACATGGTTATCAATCTGCAATCAATTACTTCAGGAGAATATGTTATGTTTGTTTTCTATGGAGGAAGGATTGCAAGAGATAAACATGATAAAACAGTTCCTTCTGGAGTTTTAATGAGTGTAATTTCGAAGGCAGGATTTGACTCAATCGTTTTCGGAAAGCGTGGACATCTCAAGATCTGTGTTTGCGATGGATCTAAGGTCGTCCCAATTTATTCTTTTTCTGTTTTGTAAATAAAAATATATGTTTGTCTAGCTAGTTTGTTTTTATTTGTTTTTCAATCTTACTATAATAAATTAATGGTTTCATGTAAATTCCACCCATAATAAAGCCCTAAACTAAAGTTACCAATGCTTTTGGGAACAAAATAAAGTCATTTACCACTTTCTAAAATTCTCTCAATTTTTCTTGTTTATTTTCTAGAAACATCCAACACCATATTCGACTTTTTGATAGCGCGTCAAAAGATAGTAAGTGCACCTTAAAGACAAATTTGTCAATCACCTAATCACAAATTTTATTCTTGCAAAATTATATTAATTGCCTCTTTTCAAGAGAAATTACAAACGTTTGACTTATATTCAAATTTCTGACAGGATGCAACATGATTGAAACCATTATCCTATGGATGAAAATGCAGAATTAAAAATATGTATCTCTATTTAAAACGTTATCTAATATTTATTTAGAATAGAATTAGATAGCTTTATAAGCATTGAGCTGACCTTCAATCCTACTGTTGAGGTCATTGTATATATTTTGAATTATTTCGCCAGAAAAGGGTTCACCGGCATTAACCAAATAATATCTAGAATCATAAGGTTTCTCAACGTAGCGATATTTAACCAATAAATGGGATTCAACCTTGGCTTTACGACAATTAACAGAAAATATACCATTGGCTTTGGTAATTTTGATAACTGTTCCGGACAGAGGAACCCTTCTCTTATTCAACGTTGCTAAGTTAAAATCAATCTTATTGAAGAGCTGCTTGGAAAGTGATGCCCATTTGGAACGTTGAAAATAATTTTGAACTCTATCTCGCTCGATATCGAACTCGTTTGCAATTTGATCAACAATGGATTCAAGATTTTGAGTTGAATAATCTCTCTCTAGATTACTTGTTTTAGCTCCTACTACATCAATTGGACCTACTGTATTTGACTCTCTGAAAATATCTAGAGTGCGGCTATTTGCAAAAGTTAAAAAGCCAAAAATTATCATCATTTTCTGGCATTTTGCCAATTCTGACATCGTTGACAAAAATAAGATTCATTCCACTTTTTAATATAAGTCATACAATTAATTCTACGAGTCTCTCAAAATGTTTTACAACAATTTTCAAGTACCTTTTGGAATGCATAATTTTCTATAAAATAACATAAAAAATATCAAAAATAATGCAAATAGCAATCCCATTGCTCATGGTTGAGCCAACAAAAAAAAATACAAACACTTTATATTATTGCATGTTTTGAATGGTACTCAATAGCTCGTCACCAGTTATAATTTTTGGGATATCTTGCCTGAAGACTACTTCTTCAGAATTCTCGAAATTTGCATTTAAAATTCCATTTTCAAATGAAAAAATCGCATTTGGCTCCAAAGGGGAATTATCATAACAGAGAGCCAAATTATAAAGGCTAAAACTATAAAAGAGCAATTCAATCGATAATTGAGGCAAAGAATTCGGAAAATTGTTAATAAATTTAATTACATCATCAATTAACCAAATTTTTCTGTTTTCAGGTATTTGCGAGTAGTTGGTGAATATACCTGAGAAAAGAGATTCTAAAAAGCATTTCCTTTTCAGTGAATCATCATAATTATATTTTTCAGTAAAATTTATTTCTCTTGCGATCTTAAATGCATCTAATAAGTTCGATTCAACTACCATTAACATAGATTCACGATAATTAAGTATAATTTGCTCATAAGGAGATCTAAACCATAATGAAATTTTCTTATGAGCTTTTGCAACTTCTAGTAAATTCAATTTATTAATAGATGTATAATTACACATTATTTCTAATAAATTACTTATATAACTAATGTTTTCTATGCATATTTCTTGTGAAATATGAATTTCTTTGAATTTTTCAAAATATTCGGATGATAATTGTGAAATATCATAAACACTAGAAGATATATGTGAACTATTTGGTGATATATCATTAAATTGAAGTTGAATATTAAGATGAATCAAATAAATTATAAGTTTGTTGAAAACATAGTCATAAACTATTGATGGTTGGACATATAATAACTTTCCAATTAAATCTCCTTTTTCTTCTAAATAATTAAAGCAATTAACTAAATTTTTTGAATGAAATATACAATCAGCACCATAAGAACATAAATCACGAAGTGCAGCGCTTACAATATTGATACTATTATGTAGATCTCCAAGTTTGTCTTCAATATTTTTAATTTTAAAAGAATAATTTTGTGGAATTTCGCTATGTCTGATATATTTTGGAACTTTATTCTCCCACAAGTTATTCAATAAATTTTGAGTCATTTCATCTCTTCCAGAATGATTGAGATAAGATAATTGGATATTTCGATAAGATCCTCTTTTTTCATCTGTTTCAATCAGAAAATGTGGAAATCTCATGCGGTAATAAAGAAATTTAGTCGGCTCAGATGGTTTATTTATCAGATATGGTTCTAAATATTCATATTTTTGTTTTTTGGTAATTTTTCCTAATCTAAATGCAGCTTGTATGATTTCATAAGGTGTTACGTGATTTGGTAGCTTTTCACATAAACTCTCAACTATTGATTCATTAGTTTGCTGTATCTTTGTTTCTGAATATTTTCGGTAAATATTTTTTTGAATAACGACATTTCTTGTATTACCATATATTTTTGTGTAGATTTGCGTTCCTGTAATGATGTTTTGGATTGATGATATTAGTTCATTTTGTTCAAATATATTTAAGGATTCAATTGCTGAGTTCTCTGTATAATTTTCTGTTTTAATATCAAATTCTTTATACAACTCATCTCGAATTGCTTCAAAATACGTTTTGGTTGGGGTTTTTGATACAATAACTTTTTGACAAACAGTTTTTAAGCTATCTGGTGTCTCTAGTGCGTCATAAAATGGCTCAAGAAAATCATCCATTGAAATTAATTCTCTATCTTCCGGATAGTTTTTCTGACTTTCATAATCCATTTTAATTGTTTATTAATAAACCCGTTTGATACACTTATTTTTCAGAATTATTCAGAAGAAGACGGATAAAATAATAAAAATCATAATAATGATTATAAGCGATAATGCTATGTCAGAAAAGCTCATTCTTGACCACAACAATGCGTAACCAAATTTGCTCAAATTATGATGTTTTGATAAATATCATTAGAATTTAATCTACAACTATCATGCCATTATGCATATTTCTTTCAAACACGAGCAAAAAATATTATTTTTGAACTTATATTTAGTTAGTTGCTTGGCAAAAAATGTTGATGAAAATATTAGGATAAATAAGCTTTAAAACACAATAAAATATGATTGTTGATATTATACTGCCGAGAAACATCATGATCAACAATGAAATCCAATATATGGATATAAAATATAATTATTGCAAGTAAAGTAAATGTTAATGCTTATTCCAAAAGCAGTTCGGGTCTCTCTTTGAGAAAACCGAGTCTGTATTGCTAAATAAGTAATCGTCAGTTGATTCAAGTTTCTTGTTTACAGGTTCTGGATCCAAAAACGAGAAATTGAGAATTGTTGATCCAGGACTGCATGGGAACTTTGGTGTTTGAAACGCTTCAAAAATTGTTGGCAAAAAGCAATTTTCTTTGGATTTAACTGGAACGCTATCAACGAAAAGTACCTTTTCTTCTACTTTAGGCGGCTCTTTGATGGGTTCTGGAACATAGACTTGTGGTGGCGGTTCTTCGATGTGAATTGGAGTATATTGTTGTTCTGGAATCATTGTGATTATTTGGGGTTGTGGTACAGGTGGTAAAGGAGTAACAGTATATGTATTTTGAACTGGAACTTGCTTTGGGAATTGGGTTTGCTTATTTTTATTTTCCATCTTTGTTTTCAGCCAGGAGTGGCGTGTTTTAATTGCATCAGGAGAACGACCTGGAATGAACTCTGCAATTTTAACCCAAGAATTTCCCATTTCAGCTTGTTTCTCAAGGATTAGCTGGTCTTCTTCAGCTGTCCATTGGGAATTCTTGATACCTTGCTTAAATTTATTCAGGTAACGTTCTCTGCATTGTTTTCCCGTACGGTTCGGCATATTTTGAGCAATAACAACCCAATTCAATGCTCCATATTTCTCTACTAAAGATACCAATGTAGCATCTTCCTCTTCAGTCCACATCTTTTTCTTGAACTTTGGCGGCGCTTTTCCTGATATTGTCATTCAATTAACTATTTTTTAACACTTCCACACAAATTTGTGTAAGTGAACACCCCTAATATTCAATTTCAAATATCGAAAACCGTAATCAGATATATTCAAATTTTGTAATCTATTGTAATAAAGTTCACTGGTAAGAAATTTAAAAATGAAATTTGAAAGGAAAAAATCATCGAAGGTTGAATTCCATATTCAGTGTATCTTATTTCGAAAATTATGGTTATACATGCTTACTGAATAATATTTCTTTTTGATGCCGATTTTCACTCTGAAAGATCTAAAAATTCAATAAAAAAATTGAATCGTAAGATACTAGCGTTATTATAATAACTGCCATATGCATGGCGTTCACAGATAGTTCGTTAAATGTTGCAAAATTCATATCGGACTTCTGATAATTGTAAATCACAAAATTGAATCGATATGAATATGTTTAATCATTATATCATGATGTAATATATCACACTTAAATAAAGATGTCAATTAGGTGGACAATTGGGAATCTCAACATGTAATTTTCGATGAAACGGAGAATGTAAAGTGTCAAATTTTTTTTGTAAACGTCATAAAAATAATTCAAGAAGAAGACGCAATACACCTGCAATGTAGACAAAATAATGCTCTCAATATAAATAAAATATGTTTATATTTTCAATGTCAAATGGATATCTTGATGTTTATAGGGAAAGAGAAAAGATTAAAAGCGGTATGCAAAGTAATTTTACTTCAAAATATAGCAAATCTCCCAATCAATTGACTAGTAATCAACTTGCAGCATATAATTGGCTAGTTGAATCCTCTTTTCTTAAATACATAGATAATATATCCCAAAACAAACTTGTAGAACTAGTAACAGAAAAGAATTTCTTAGCATTATTTAATATCGCTACGACATTCAATATTAAAATTCAAAAACCTACAAATTCCAAGCCAAACACTATAAAAGAATCAATAGCTTTACTAATAAAGGAGTTAATTACTAAAGACATTCTTAATTATCGTATTGATCCTAACGCAATTTTAAGATGTGAAAAAAGAACTATTTTAACTTTAATTGAAACGTTATACAATAAAGCTATTAATGATGATCCCCATATTCAAGATGAATTTACTGCTGAAACTATATCAGAATGGTTGATTCAACTTGGATTACTACCACCTTATGGCGAATCATGGTTTTCAGATGTTGATTTATATTTACTTGAAGATCCAATTCGAAATGGAGAGATTTTTCAAAAGTTATGCTTAGTTTTTCGTCCTGAAGTGTTTGATTCACCTTACACTCCTCCAAAGGATCCAACAAGTATCATAAATGTAACTAATCAATGTTTAATGATGTTTTATGACGAGGGAATAATAGAAAGCGAAGATATTGATTATAGCAAAGATATAGTTAAAGGAAATACTGATGTTATTATCAAAATACTATCAAAGATATATAAGGGCTACTTGAAACATTTTGAATCTATGAAATTAGAAATATTTAATTAAAAATCGAAGGCAACAAAAGAATTGAATTCAACTCAATCCATAAATATCTTCTAAATTCTTGTAATCTCAATAAGGATTCCGAAGATCATTATTCAATTCAATCCTTTTGATGTAGATTATTAGAAGGAAATTATACACTCATAAATTTTGTTAGCGTACTAATTGCTGACATAATTAGATGTTTATTGTTTGATTAAAATATTCTGTACTATTAGTTTTTTATTTATTAATTTCTTATTAAATATACACGTTATATCTATATGGCAATATATTAAAAGCGTTTTCAGCGTTTCAAAATTATGAGTAGCAAATCATGAAGTTTTTATAAGCATATACATTAGATCAATCCATTTGAATTCATGAAGATGAGGTTTTAATCAAATTGCTCACTTTATCCTTTACTTTCTCTTTATCAGGATTTGGAATATGCGATTCAAAGGACTTTAATGATAAATAATTTTTGTTTCCAACCGGATACAATTAACTGGTAAATTGAATTGAGGTTGGCTGAATTGGTACATTTTTCTTTCCACTAGAGTGTTGAAAAAATGTAAACTATTTGAAATTTCTGTTGTTCACCGAAAATTGGCAAATTAATTCATAGAAAAATAGGAGTCGCATTTTACCAAATCAATTCGATACTTATATGATTTTAAAACACTATACATTTGACGCCAGAAATCAAAAATTTTTCTAAATCAAACTGTGCCCTCTCAAATTTACGATTATTTTGAATGTCAATTTTAAAGTCGTAAAACCGAAATGGCAACCATTTATAATGTTGGTATCGCAGGAATACATGAGAACAATTCCAACTTCTTCGAAAGTTCTTATCACCCTTTTAGGCATGAACAAAGAGTTTAAAAATATTGTCGTTGTAAAGAATTCATTTATTTCAATTATGGATCAACTGTTTTCTAATGTACCGAACGGTGAAATATCATATTATTATAATGGAGTAAGTCTTAATAAATCCATGACATTTGATTTTTACAATTTAAAGAATCAAGATAAAATCATTGTTGCATTCAATTCAGATCAGGCAAAATTTCTCAATAAGAACATATATAATCCAATGGAATCTTCATCAGATGCATTTTCCAATCAGAATCTTCACTTGGCCAAACTTATTGCAAATAATGAACTAAGACTTGAAAGCGAAAGGATTCAGGATCTTCGTTTGATGAAACACGAGTTAAAGCGCTCAAATAAAAGATTTGTTGTGAAAAACAATGCAACTTTGAATGATAAAATAACAAATAACTTTGAATTTAAAATTCCAAGTGTCAAAAAGATTTCAAAAGATCCTTTCCCATGTATATGGTAATTTTTTCCCCTTGTTTTGTTTGACAAAAGAAACACACGAATCTCACTAATAGAGATGATTTATAAAATATAACACAAATTAATATAGATTTGAGTGTTGATACATATATGTATTTGGAACAATACATATCTAGGCTAAGGTAAGAGCACGAAAAATGCCTTAGCTTGTTCGAAGAAATAAAGTTCTTGAACTGTGCGCATATGTAAACACTACTGTTAGGATTTAATCATGCTATTTTTTGTGAATAGTAAAAACTATTTTTATTACAATTCGTAGATACTTTACTTACTATCTCGTTGCAATGTAGTGTACTACTTATTGTCCTTCTTGTTTCTATCTCATCCATCTTTAATTTTGTAACTAATTGGAACAATTCTTTGCAATTCGTATTCACAAAGTTTTTGATATTTGTATGAAGCATTGCATTGTTCAAAAATATGTTCTGTTTCTCTTTCAATTCAGTTACTCCTATTAAATATGTGCACATTCACTTGATTTTGTCTTACAATGATGTAGAATTCTTCTTTTGTGCAGTGATCATATCCGGATTTATGAAAGAATGGAATAGATCAAAACTAGCATGAAAATATTGATACTTGTAGGCATAACATTAAAAATACATATTAATTGATCGCTTATAAATTTTTTTATAATTCATAAATGTCGTTTGTCAATTTTTTTTATATAAAATCTGATGAAAGTGAATACAACAAAGAAAGGACAAGATCAGCAGTCTGCAGATAATTTAGAACCAGAATTTTATGCACGTATATTGACATTATTCACAAGCATTTATGATCAAACTCCATTTCTTGAAAATGATTTTCCTCCAGCCAAATTATCAAATAATCAAAAGCAAGAAAAACCACCAGCTTTTGAATCACCCATTACTGATCATCGTCTCAAGAAAATTCTCGAAAATCGTAATGCAGATTCAGAATTACAATCTAATATGATTTCTCTCAAATCTGATGATCTTTCCAGGCAATTTACAGAAGCCAATACAAATCTTGACGAAGTATTTGCTCCAGAAAAGGCCAGCAGAATCTCTACACCAAAATATCTTTTACTCCAGGAAATGGATAGAATTGAAGCCGATAAACAAACAAGGTTGAACAGACACTCACTTGATATTAAGAATACAGAAAAAATATTTACACAAAGACTTAAAAATGCTCAAAAGAAGGGCATCGCTCAAGCAAAGGCCAGGGCTGAGAGACAGCAGTCTCAAGGCAAGATTACTGCTCAAGGAGGTAAATTATACGAATCAAAAGTTAAGCCTAAAAATATTATTCCTTCAGATAAGATGGAAAGAGCAGCCGCTACTGCTAAATTAAATAATCGCTTGAATTATATGAGCCCTAATGATTATAAGCAATTTGTTCATAAAAAGAAAGTTGTTGTTTCTGTAGAAGATGATGAATAAAAAAATTAATTATGATTAAATATGATTTTAGTTTTTAAAAATCTTTAAAACAATTGTTATATGCTATGAAAAATGTAAAAAAAAAGAATCAAAAATTCAGAAATTGAAAAATTTCAAGAAACATAAAGTTATATAAGACAAAATCATTAATTCCATGTTGTCTTGGAAACATGTGTATGGAATTCTTTGAGTCTAATAAAAGCAGAATCTTGTGGACATATATTTTCATGAACATAGTCTAAAAGTTCAATTCTACGATCGATATCAGATCTTGTCCATATTTCAACAGCAAATTCAGCAGAAACTATATTTCTAACAAATAATCCGCAAACTTCTGGTTCTCCATCAAAAAGATCTCTCTGCATTTGACCACCAATCATAAATAATATGAGAGTTTCCCAGAATTCGTCAATTGCTGTATTGGGAACCGTTAGTACGTATGTAGCTCCTTTTGCATTTGCAGGATCTTCCCAAGCGGGCTGTATTTCTCCTCTGAATAGTGCGAGCGAAACTTTTTTGTTATTGACATTCTTAAAATCTGAAACTTTTGGTAAAGCTTCTTGATATGACCAGAAATTTTCGACTGTATTGAATGCAAAGATCTTTTCGATTTGGTAAATCTTCTGACCACTTGCAACAGCATTTAATACAACCCAAAATTGCCAAGTTTCGGGAAGAACATTTGTTGATGATGCAGCCATCAAAAATGAAAAATATCAATAACAATATGAGCTTATATGATATATAAATCTAGGGGAGATATTATTTTCAAAAAAGAAACCACATTTTTCTCAAATATATGAAAAGTCTACAAAAGAATGCTTTATTGAAACTAATATACTAAAATCATTAATGGCTTTAACAAGTATGCATTTTAGAACATCTTTTGTTCATTACTCGGTACATTTCCTAAAATAATATAAAGTATTTATTCGAATAATAAATAAATATAATACTATTTAACAACGCTGGATTAGTATTCTAATTCTGTCGTTCTCATCCATATATTGAAGTCTGATGCGTAATAGCAAACCCAAACAATGAAAAGAATTAAAACGAGGAGAAAAATGAAAGCAAATATGGATGGTCTTGTGTATTGCTTCTTTGCTTTGTACTTATAATCGCGCAGCTCGCGAGCCTTATTCCTTCCCATTTTGAATTTTGTTTTTTCTGACAATCACTGATTTCATGTCAAAAATAACGTCCAATCAACAAACAGCATCAAATATAATTAATAAAGCATCCTAACGAATAACTTTTTCTCATCGATTTCTTTGGATTTTTAATGATGTTGATCAAAATCAAAAAATTTTTAGTATATGTAGGCTAATTCATCATTTTAACATATGTTTATGCAAGTTATGGATATTAAACAGTCCAAACTCATTTTTTTGATTTCTCTAATTTTAAAAGTCATTATTATGTTATTTAGGGTAAAAACATGAAATTAATATATGATAGAATTTTAATGTATTTAATAACAAAATATTATTCAGGATTATTATTATTAAAGAATTTCTTCAGGAATGAGAAAGCAGTTAATGTAGATTGGTCAAATTTCGTCAGTTTCCAATCTCCAACATTGATTTTGTCTTCAATCTCCGAAAAATCGCCTGAATAAACCAAAATTTTCGGAACGTAAAAAGTCTGCTGGATATTAAATGTCTTAGAGAACAGTATCACGTCATTTGGTATCGGATTGAAGTCATCTGGCTGCTGATTTGTCAAAATTTTGAGAATTATGTCTTTCTTCAAATGAGGACAGACATCCTGGCAAGAATTAGGGTCCTGACACAATATCTGGCTCATCATAATTACAGCGGCCGCTTCTCTGAAACAAATAAAATTAAATCCTTTTTCACTTAATACAGTGTTCGTAGAGTTCCACTGAACAGCTGCCGTGAATGTACATACTTGCGGTGTTGTTGCAATATGTCTAACAACCTGATCATCGAAGCATTGCATGATATAATTTGACAAAAATGCTTTTATTGGCTCAGAACCGTATAATTTCCCTTCAATATTTGCGTTTAAGTTGATGATATCATTTGTAACTATAGAAGGATCAATTTCCATTGATACTAAGTTGTCAATAATTTTTTCAAACTCAGTTGTATAAGGATCTACGATTTTTGTCATCAATTTAGCACAATGTTCCTTCATTGCGTTGGAAATAAGCTCTATTCTTTGAGGAATAGCGTTAGGAGTCGATTTAAATAACAACATTAAGTAAAGGGATATAATAAAGTGATCTATGTGCGTTGCATTTAATATAATATCAGCATCTTTGTACTTATTCATGAATTCTGCGAAAATATCATTGAATTGTGAATCTGGCATTGTTAATTCTTTTGAAATAATCTGAGTATGAAGGAAAGCGGTATATATAACAATAGATGGCCTTGGATATTCATCGTATGTAAGCGGAGACTTTCCCCAATTCGTATTTAATAAAGATTTGAGTAATTTCGCTGGATCTTCTTGTTTTTCTGCTTTCGGAGCTGGTAGAAAGCTGTTCAAATCACTTGTATCGGATGACTTTTCAGGAGTTTTTGCATGAGCTGGTTCTGGAACATTTTGAGAAGGATTTACGTTTGGTTGGCTAAATCTTGGCTTAGATCCATGCTCTGGGATTGGTAATTGATGTAAATTCTTATGTTGATGAGATCTGGCAGACGGAATCGCTCCAAATTGGCTCAACATTGATTCTTGTCTCATTTTCGTTCTCATATCGAAAAAGTTCTGGATTTTCTCTTGATCTTCTTGATTCTTTGTTTCTGAGAAGTCCCAATGCTCTGATTTATCATCAACAAAACCAATTTCGCTTGTTGATGTTAAATCAACTTCGATATCATCTTTACCAGTGCTTACATCAGCCTGGACTGTGTATGTGAGAATTAACTGAGATTGTTTTGAATGTGGACTTCTAAGAGGAAATTTTTCTGTAATTGGTCGATGCTGGTATCCTTTTGATATATCAACATCAACTTCACCGAATATCTTTTTATCTTTGCCGTTTTTCATTCTGTAAACTTGAAATGAGATATATTTTGGTTTTACTGACTCGTCTTTTTTGTTTACAAACATATGAACTTTACACGAAAATCTCTTTTCGAAATACACCGACATTGATTCAGACATGATTGATCTCTCGGTAATCCCGTTGTAACTTCCGCGTTTCCAACGAATAAAGAATTCATCTGAGATTTCTTCAGGGATGCGCATCTCGTGGATTGTAAACGTCACTGTAGCTGCGCGTTTGATATACCCTGAACGAAACATCTAAATAACGATGGATGAAAAAATTTATTTAGATAAAAAAAATTTTTTTTATTGTAAAATTTAGCATTTTTAAATTTATGGTCAGCCAACCGTGTAACTAAAAAGTAAATTTAATAAATTGGCATTGCTACTAATTAACATAACATTAAATTTTGGATTGGATTTTTCAATTCGGCTTTTTCAATATTTTCAATGAGATAATTCAAATATATGATCTACTTTTTAAATACACCTATGAGGAAAATAATTGTGCAAATACATTACTATAAAAAATTATACCGGGAATTCAGAATTAAAATATGTCACGTTTTATTTTCAAAAATGACCATTTTTCAAACTCCAATCAACACCGATAACCATTTCAATTCATCAGAGACTATAAATACCATATGCTATTAACAAAAATACTTCTAAATTCCTCATTAATATGTCTTGTTCAATATTTCATCTGAAATTACAATTCAAATAGCCCACTCGACTTCATGATTTTGTTTAACTCATTATTTCTCATTTAATTACATCAAACATACGCGTACAATGTATTTTTTCAGATTCAATTTGTGTTTGTTCGTTATATTTTGACATTTGAGCTCTATATTTAGGCAAATAACATGAATTACTTTCATTAACATTTAATATTAATAAAAAGAAATCAGAATACCTTATATTTGATATACGTTACACTGCTTTTAGCATGTATATATAACATCACATATATTATTATTATCAAGCATGATATTTATGCTATATTTGAAATACCGAGAGTCATTTTGAGATTTTATGGGAGAATATCTTTCCACTTTATATGTGATAAGTCTGAATTTTATAAGAATATAAGCCACCAACTAGAAAGCTTTTTAAGCACATCGGCAGCACATACAAATATTTGACGTAATTGGGGTTTCGATTTGTGATGACATGAAAAATAACGTGCTAAAATTTTGGGATGGGAGAGGGAGACCTCGTCCCCATTTTAGTATATGAATGTAACGATATACCTGTTGACTCCATCCCACTTGAAAATATTAAGTACTTAGGCGTATCTGTGATGAATCTAACAAATTTATCACTTGTAACGAAATTGAAATCATTAACAATCGTTATGTTCAGATTATGTGCATTATCACAGTTCCCAGAAGAATTATTCGAACTCCCACAACTCAGAAGTATCGATTTATCAGGAAATGCAATCAGTCAGCTTCCTCAATCACCAAAATGGTCTGAAATGAAAGAACTAACGAGCTTTAACATATCAGAAAACAATATTAACGAGCTTAGCGAATTCAGAAACATTATGGGCATACCAAACCTTAAACAATTAAATTTCACCGGAAATGTTTGCCAAGGCGCGAACGATGCACTTAACAGAATTGTTAAAATCTTTCCAAAGATCATTGTTGTTAACGAAACAATCGTTTTGAGTCAACATAGAGGATATTTGGAAGAATTTGCAATTTTTGATAATACTTCGACATTACCATTATCCAAAACAGATGATTTCTTCTTCAACTACGTCAAATACATGCATGCAACTGGCATGGAAAGATACTTAAGAAGGTTTAATGCAGAAAATTTCTGTCTTAACAAAGTATTACGTAAATATAGCTTTGCAGAGAAGATACAGAGCAACTTCAGAGGCTATGTGCAACGAAAAGAATACAAAAAGATGCGAGAAAGTGCTGTTGTTATTCAATATCACGTTCACAAGTGGTACAAACGACGTCTTGCATCGGCAAATGTCATTAAAAGATGTTTCTTGCACTACATGACTCGTCAGAAGATCAAATTAATCAAAGCAGCAAGAATTGTCCAATCAAGATGGCGTTCAAAACAAGTTGCCGATCTCGCTGTCATGGAACTATTTTCTTCTAACGATAGAATCGAATTTTACGTCACTCCTGACAACGCGAAATTTCTTGAAAATTTTTGCAGAGAAAAACAATTCGCAATTCCACAATTTATTTACACAAACGAGTACAGAGTACTACGTGTTAATGAACCCACAAAGCTAATCCTCCCAGGAAGTCCTTTGGTTTATTATTCATTAGATAATTCTCTTGTTATTAGACATGTAAACCAAAAAAGGAGCATCAATCCAAAGAAAACATGCTGGTGCAACCACGAACATGACTTTGAGAAAGGAAAGAAGATGGTAAACCAAAGAGGTTTCAATTATCAGTCGAAATGTCCATTTGGAGTTCTTCCTGCCAAACTTTACAGAAGGAAAATCAGATCAGTAGATGTAACAGATCATCATCCTTGTCTTGTTATGTGCTTTTTCGAACGTTTGAATGATTTCATGCAAATTTTTCATTCTCTCCGTTTGTCTGATATCAAAGGCGTACAGCTTATTCCAATCAGGAATGTACCAGCAATCTCGGCAACGGTGACAATCCAATCAGCCATGCGTTGTTTCTACGAAAGATCGAAACATTTCAGAGAATTGAAGCAAACAGCGATCGAACATAGAGCGTTAGCAACAATCAGATGCCTTGTAAGTATAATGAGAATGAAAAGGATCTTGGAAGGTATCGCGAGAGCTCAATATTTCAGAGAAAAAATTACGAAGCTTTCCTACTTCTATGTACGCGATACTTTCATGCGCAAATTATTTTTCATGAAGCCAATCATCCCTGTTCATTTCGGATACAACAACGACAGAGAATTAGTCTTGAAAGAAGGAAATTCACCACTTGTTAGTGGATTTTTACCTGTAGATACATCAGATTTCAAAGAATCTGATTTGTCCTCTGTGTTAAAACTCGGAGCGAGCGTTTCCATGGCGAGAGCAACTTATTTCGCTGATCCATGGCTTGTTACTGATACGTTTTTGAAGAGATATGGTTTCCACAGGATCAGTTTTGCTACTGCTGAAGAAGCTGCCCACAGAGCTATATTACTTTCATTCGTTGTTCCGTATAATAACTGGTGTTTCTTTGAGAAGGACATTATCGACTTTTTGGCAGCAACAATGATCAAAAACGCATGGATTGGACACACAAGTCGTTCTATTCTTGCTCATGCTGCAGCACAAGTTGGAAAGAAACTTGATACTTCAATTTTCATTTATCGTCCTGTTGATTACAGACTTAAAATGCAATTAATGAAGGACGACCAGCAGAATCGCAAGAAGAAAGTTGTTGGAACTGAAAATGTTGAAGATCAAATTGATTTATTAAGAGGAGTTTATCAGCCATGGAAGGAAATCTTCACACAATACAAGAAAGAATATGGTGATCAACCCATTGAGCTCACACCTCTTCCAAAACGTCCGAAGAAAGAATTGACAACTTCAATGAGACAAATTGGCCAAATTAATGAGCTTCTTCCTCCAGAACCAGAACCAGAGCAACCACAGGAACTCACGCAAACCAAAGTTTCTATTCAAAATACCACTCCAAGAAGCAATTTGATGACTCCAAAATTGTCGAAGACGAATTCACGAAGTGTCATTTCTCCTCTCTTCGAAACAAGACCAAGAACAAGTTCAATCAAGACATCCAACATAAAGAAGATTGTTGGATTCGATTCTTCTCAATCGATGACAACAAATGTATTTGGTGGATCATTAGTAGACTCATTGATTTGTTCTAGGTCCACTACGACAAAAATTAGCCAAATGACGAATTCTCTTGAACTAAGAAAATCATCTATTTCAAATCAAACGAGTCAGATCATTGCAAGGCCATTACTCAAGCTCCCTCTGAACCAAATACCTCAATCGAACACAAATACATCATCAATCAACTCTTCTTCCAGCAAAATTAAATCAACTTCAACAAGTTCTTCTCTTGGACCACTGAAAACGATACAATCCGCTCAGAGATCAGATTATTCTCAAAAGGAGAAAGTTGCTGAAGTTTTTGGCAGATTATCTCAATTATTAAAAGTTACAGATGCAGTTCATCAAGCAAATGTATTAGATACCACATTAGAAGAGAAGAGACAGTTCACAGTTCACGCTCGTCAAAAGATTGAAGAAGGATCAGCAGCGACACATAAAATGCTTGAACAAAATTCATCTGATTCTCATTCCAGAGCCAAAATCGAGCGTGAAGAGATGCTTGCTGAAGTGGAGAAGGTCAAGAAGAAAGCAATGGAACAGAAGATTAATGCTGCAAGGAATGTGAGAAAAGAACATTCGATGAGAAGAGAAAATGTAATGATTGGAACAATTTTTGCTCAAAATTTCGTTTCTACGACACATCAATTGGCATCACGTGTTGAAGGAAGAATTTTGAAGCAGAACAAGCGAAAGGAAAGAGAACTTGTTCAAACACAAATGGCCGAAGTTCGAGAGAAAGAGAAACAAAGCAGATTGGAACACAAAGAATTGGTTAAAGAAATGGCTAAATCTAAATTGGAAATGACGAAATATGATAACGAATTGTTCGAAGAAGAAAAGAAATTGAGAATGAAAGGAACAGAAGAAAAGAAGGAGAGATTGGCAACACTCAAAAGCACAATGAAACAAAACACATTAACAAGATCTTTGGATCAAAAGAAACCTTATATTCCTCCAGATAAAATTGAAACTGCTGTCTTTGATGATAAAGAATTGATGGCAAGTGAAGCACCAAAGATTATTGGTGGCAACATTGGAACAGAAGAATCTCATTTGCTTGCAGAATTAGTTAGTTCTGCAATGAAATAGATTTTATTTTTATAATAAACTTTTATATTTTGTTTGTTTTTTATTATATATAATCAACTTTTCTTTGGTTCAATTTTAGTTAAAGTATAGCTGATATTAACAGCATTATTAAAATTATGAATTCTAAATAAGTCAAAAGGATTTAAAAGACAATATGTATTACCAATAAAATTACTCAAAACAATTAATCAGATCTTTAATTTCAGCAAAGGCCAAATCATAATTTTGAATTCGTTAATACGTTTTGTATTGGACAGTTTAGACTTTACAAAACAGACAACAAATACATACTAAGATATCCTCTTCTTTAGCAGCCCTATTATTGATTATTCAATATATTTTTGAATCAAAAAGTTAGTGTTTTAATATATTTTATAGGAGAAAAAGTTTTGTATTCCGATGATATATATTATTTTGCTATCTATTTTGATTGAATAGCTGAAAAGCTATTGTTCATAAACGTACACTTTTTGTAAATTTTTCAATTTACAAAATGAATTACAACACCAAAAAACTGAATAAAATCCTCAAAGCTGTTGAAAGAGATATCGAATACGTCATCGACCAAAATGATATTCTATGGCTTTGCACACAAATCGAAAAAATTCTTCGTAATGAACCACCAGTTTTATTTTTGGAGGCACCAATTACAGTTGTTGGAGATCTACATGGAAAATTAGATGATCTAAACAAGGTTCTTGAAATTGGCGGTTCTCCACGCAACAATAAATTCCTTTTCTTAGGTGATTACGTCGATCGTGGCAAAAATTCTGTAGAAGTCATCGTTAAGCTACTGTGCCTTAAGATTAAATACCCAGATAACGTTTACTTACTTAGAGGCAATCATGAATCTGATATGGTTAAAGAAAAAGACGGCCTTAAAGATAAAATGCATGCGATGAGACTTGGAAATTCATGGTTTACTCTTATCAATGTTTTCAGATATCTATCTATAGCAGCAGTTATAAATAACAGAATATTCTGTGTCCACGCGGGACTTTCTCCAGAACTAGAGTCAATAGATCAAATAATGCAAATCCAAAAACCAATTGATATACCTGATGTAGGCTTAGTTCGCGATTTATTATGGTCTGATCCGTCAACAACAGAAGGATATAATCCAAATGAAGATAGACTTACATCTGTAACATATGGACCTGACGTAACAATGCAATTCCTCAAGAAACACAAATTCCAGCTTTTAGTTAGAGCTCATCAAGTTTCTGAGACAGGATACGAATTTCCTTTCCCTAAAAACAACTGTGCAGTTACTATTTATTCCTCAAATGCTGGAGGAAATACATCAGCAGTTATGCTTGTTTCTGAAGATTTAGAAATTGAATTTGTTACATTCAAATTAGACGAAGAAGATGATTATAAGTACCAAGAAGATCTAGAATAATTCATGAAAAATTTATAATTTCAGAGAAATTTGAAAAATAATATAATAAAGGAAGAAATCGAAGCTAATAACAAAAATATTCCACAAAAGAACCTACATCTTCTTGTTTAACTATTATACTCATTCTTTGCCAAAAGATTTCAAATTTTATAATTTTTTTTTTCGACCATATTCATTTGTTAAGTGAATGGTATTTTAAATGTTCAGTAAACTGTTATATATGATATTAAATTTGTTATTTTAACTTCTTTAACTTGAAAATTAGGGATATCAAAGTAATATTTTCCTGATATGCCCAATATAAAAACTACATAAGAAGCTATACGTATAATAGGTCTTAATGTTGTTAATATGCATATAACAGGAAGGAATATAGTTGAGTAATATTCCCAACTAAAGAAAATTGCCTGAAAAATATTAGAGAAGATTCGAATTTCATCCAAGTATAATGTGTTCAATCCGAAAACACTCAGAAATTGACCTTTTTGTTGATTTGATTGTGACTGACTTCTTTTTTCTGAGTAATCTGACAATTCACAAATCGAACTCCAGTTAAATAATTTGAAGCATTTTTGATGGTGACACGGAATCAATGATCGAATAGATTCTAAGTGAACTGAAAACGATAAAATTTAGAATGTCCGATCTGATTTCTGCTCTTCAACCAATTGCATCGGCAAAGAAATTATTCCCTGCAGAATCACCTATTTGTGAAGCTTTATTCGATTTCGAAGAAAAAATCAAAGCAGGTATTCCGGAAAACGAATTAACAACTATTTTATCTTTACTTCTCAATGTTTTACGTATTAACGATGGAAAAATAAGTATGTTTTGCTCAGTAAGAATTGCTCAGTGTATCCAAAAAGTCTACGAAGCAAAGAATACAAAAGATATTTCAGAAATCATTGTTTCAGCAACAAAGCATCCAATACAGTCTCTCGTGTATGCTGTTGGATATCTTCTTAAGTACTCAGGCAACACAAATGAAGACAAAATCCTTCCATTTGCCACAAAATTGCTTTCAGTTGACTCCGAAATCAACCATGCTATCATGTACACCCTTGCCAGATGCTATGAGTTTGCAAGCGAATCACTCAAAAAGCTCCAAGATAAAGTTTTTTACAAAATTGTTTTTAATTTGTCAAACACTGATGATACAGTACAATTGATGACTCTCAAATTATGCAGAAGACTTATCCGCTGCAACGCAATCGATATCCCGAAGCTTTACTCAGTTCTTACCAATTTCTTAAAATATAAGAATCGTTTACAGCATTTCGTCATCGATGACTGCTGTTTCTTACTTGCTACATGCGCAGTCCGTAATCTCGACAAGCCCGATGAAAATAAAGCAGAACTTAAAGAAGCTTTAGGCGTATTAAAGTTATTCCACGATTTCTTTACACAGTGTTTACGCCACTTCCTCGACTTGCTTCCCCCTCAATATATTTCGAATAATTTCGAAGAACTCTTTGATTTCGTCAGAGAAGTCTCATTATCCGACTTAGTACAGATTATTCCTTACATCGGAATAGAGATGAGAGAGAAGCTCTTCAAGAAGGTCGCTGCCGAAGAAATTTCTTATTCTCAACTGATGACTTTAAGATTATTAGCAAATACAGCGGCTCTTGCAAAAGAAACAGCTTCTATTGCACTCCAGATGGCAACAAACTTAAACGATGATGTAAGAAGCGGCCTACAAAGCTTCTTCGCTTACCTCGCACAATTATATCCAGATCTTGCCTTGCAATACCTCGAATCATCCCTCTTATACCTCTCCAATCCACCAGACGAGCCAGGAAATGGATTGGCTATCGAAGGAATGGTCGTAATCGCTGCTTCTGTAATTGGAGGTACATCCGAACCAGAGAAAGTCCTCAAACCGTATACATCGAACATAGAAAAATTCCTTAAAGATACTTTCGGCCATCTTGTCCTCTATTCCCATAAGACTGTTGCTGCATTCAGGTTATTAACCATTACACCACGTGAAAGCCTTCCTGTTTCCGATGTCAATGCCGCTCTTAAGCAAATCACCGATGATATCAATGACGGAAAAGTTGATATTACGAGCCATTCCGTAAAGGAAATTATTCGTGCGGCCAACTGTGCATTATACACCCATCCAGATCTTTCCGCTGCCAAAGAATATCTCTTAGCCGCTTCAAAGCTCACTCTCATCAACTCTTCCACCGCAAACCTGGCCATGTTCCTCGCATTGCCACTTGTCAAACCGCCGGAACATGAAAGGATTGCTATGATGTTAGTTCGTAAAATTGTCAACTTAGAGCCACCGATGTATTTCCTCTGCCAGCAGGTGAAACAGACCATTCAGATGCAGGAAGAGATGCTTTTCCACGCTGTCATTGTTACATACAATTCCGGACCATTATTTAACAACATCAACTCAGCGACATTCGCAGTTCGTGTTGTTAACTCCATTGCGGACTTTGTCAAGGCACTTCCAATACAATCCGCCATCAATTTCGTCACAGAAATATTCAGAACAAGCGGAAAAATGTCAATGGTTCATGCCTTGATTTATAAACTCGTTGAAGCTGATTTACTCAATGTCTTACCACAGAACACAATGGAGTATCTCTTGGCACCACTTGACAAAGACAACGATGACTACGACAGGATGAGAATCACAGCAGAAGCACTCGCTCTTTACACACAGAAAACAAACACTTTGCAAAAGGTTTTGGAGATGATCGATGATTGGCATTGTCCAGGAAAGTGCATATTACTTGGAGCACTCGTCCAATACTGCTCTTTCTCAGAAGAACAATTGTTTAAGTCAATGCACGATCTCTGTGAACTCACAAAATCTTCAAATTCGTCACCTTTTGCCTTATTTGCATTATCACTTTTGTACGATACAAATGTCACTTCACTTGTTGGCAATCCATTAATTGTTGGTCAATTGACATCATTAATGCGTGTAATGAGTTCATATACAAGTTTGAGTTCCTATACATTTTATTATTTGTCAATGGCGTTTGGCAAATTGATTCCAATTTTATCTGTTGAATATTCGAAGTACGAGAAAGAGATCAAGATATTTACGATGTTACTTTCGCAGCAGATACTTCCTATTTCACACCAGGCATCATACCAGATCTGGAGACTTGTCGCAGCTTATTTGCCGCAGTTATCTAATTTGCTTGAAGTTAAATATCCAGACAGATCGAATATAACAATGAGCCAGGAAATTTCTGCTTGCAACGCTTTGAACGAGTACATAACAATGGTTGATCCTAATTTGGATGTATTCGATTCTGTATCGAGAATACTCTTCCTCGTACAGAAGAAAGATGATCCAAGACCTGTTGATTTGTTCGGAGCAATGATTAATTCTAAATGCGACCATTCAGAAGAATTGTACAAGATCGCAAGAGATCTGCTCCTTGAATCGAAATTCCCTGGAATGGAAAGTGGCCAGGTTGAGCCATTAAGTCATACAAAGGCTTGCTGTGTCAATATCATTACGAAGTTACTTCCGAAATTGGATAAGAAACATTCGGAAGAAATCGTAAAAATCGCTGTAAAAGTTGTTTCTTCTGAACTTCCAAATACAGCTGGATTCGCCTTCAAATTATTGTATGAAATGCTCAGAATGAACATGATAGAAGTCAACGAGGAATACTCAGAGAATCTAGGAATCGCAATCAAGAAATGCCCTGTTTCTGATTTGTCAAATTCTTTGGATTTCTTGAGTGAAGTCATTTTCCAAATTAGAAATGAAAAAGTGACAAAACCGTACATTGAAACAATTTGTCACTCATTTATTTCATTGTTCGACAGAGTTGAGATCAACGAGAAGTCTGTAATGATGGCTACAAATCTTTTGTCGCTCTCTCAGAGAATTGAATCCGAAAATCTCAAAAATGAAATTTTGGAGAAATTCAAAGAAAGTGTCAAGAAATTTGTCGAAGATTTCGTGACAAAATTCAAGTCTAATGACTGGGATTACATCTCTTCAATGAGAAAGATGTGGATTCATGACTTAAATGACTTCTACAACGCAACTAAAATTGAAGAGTTGGAAATTGATCAGGAAATGATCAGATCTTTCGCGGATGAAGAGTCTAAGTCAAAGGATGCTTGGAGATCAACCTCAGCTAAGGATTTCCTAGCTTAATCATAATAATAGACTTTTTAATATTTAGTTTTTATTGTATAAAAAAATTTCGAATTTTCACTTTTTTTATATTCAAATTTATTTGGTGCGTACTTACCACTTTCTGACATGCTCTCAATTTTTTTTGATAACAATAGTTTGTGAAATAGATATTTTTTTTCTTTTTCATTTACCTTAACTATATCATGTCATAATATAATATCAGGTCTTCAAACAATCTCAATTTTTTTTGACAAAAATAGAGAGTGTCAAAAAGTGGTAATCCGGTTTGCTGAAGCCTACTTCCTTAAGTGTGCACTTACCGGTTTTTGACATGCTCTTATAAATTCAATATCTATCTTTATTTTAATAGCAAAGAAGTATATATCTTTATTATTGTGTTATTGTGTAAAAATATTTGTTTATTCGTTACTCAAATTGAAAAGATTCATTATAGCGCACCTGATCGAATTAGAAGATCGATAATTTTTCTGTAGTTTTCATTTTCATCTTGATTTTCTTTTGCCAAATCAAGTGCTGTTTTCCCATCAGTATCTTCTTCATTAAGATCGACCTAAATCGAAACTAAATATTCAACAACTTCAAAATTGCCATTCTCTGCTGCCCAATGAAGTGAAGAATCATTATAGTTTGTTTTATCATTTTTATTGCATCCACATTGAATAAGATATTTAACAATATCAAGATGACCTTCTTGTGATGCAACAATTAATGGAGAAACTCCATTATCATCTTTTTCATATGGATTTGCTCCACTTGAAAAAAGATATTTAACTACTTCAAGATGACCTTTTAATGATGCAAAGTAAATACAACTTGCATTACCATTTGTTTTAGAGTTGACATCACAACCAATACTTTTCAAATATTTAACAACTTCTAGTTGACCTTCTTGTGATGCCATTATAATTGCATTAAATCCACTGGATTTCTTACAATAATTCTTTTCAAAACCAACCCCAATTAAATATTTAACAATATCAAGATGTCCGTAGTATGATGCCATAAGTAAACAATTACTTTCATTTTTAGTAGCAGCATCTCTATCACAACCTTCTTCAACAAGAGATTTTATAAATTGAAGATCACCTTTACAACATGCATAATGAAGTGGAGTATAATCATTTGAACTTCTTTTTTCACTTAATCCAACTGCACATGAAAGAGACATTTTTAGTTTATCACCTTTATTTGAAAGTTGTTTAAGGAAATTGTAAGCTGTTTCAAAATCAGAATTCAAAGGTATTTCAGAAATCTGTGCAATTTCATTTTTGTATTGCACCTCTTTCCATCTGTATTCATTGATTTCATTCTCCAACATTGAAATCTTGGATTCGAGGTTTTGTAAATTCGTGATTTCTATGGAATCAGATTGATTTTCTGAGTTGAATTTCTCAAGGTAATCAATTAATGAACATGATGATAACAGTCTGAAAATATTGCTGTAGCTTTGAAGAACGTTTATAACATCTTCGAATGAATTAATGAAAACATTGCAGTTCCGAAAAAGCTCATATAGTACTTTTGTACTGTATTTTGATAAGCCTTGAGAAAGAAGTGTTTTGAAATCATTTGAGTTAAGATTTGCTTTTTCTAAAACTTGAGGAATGAATTCTTTATCAACAATATCATAAAAATTATCTTGATCGATATATGTCTGAATGTTGCTCGCAATGTAATCGTAATCACGAATAAGACTCATTCTATAAAATTTTCACTTTACAATTGTAAATTTTTTTTGTGGGTTCATAATTTCCATTATTCAAGAATACAGATTTGTTTTCATTTGGTTTAAATATATTCCATATACGAATCAACTTATGCTGGTGCATATTGATATAGATAAATTACTAAAATACCCTTTGGATAGCAAGAAAGAGACTCACATTGTCTCCTAAAAATTGAATGACCGAGGAGAGGAGAGAATAGCTTAAACTATATATAACGAATAGCTGATTATTTTGATAACTTTAACGAAAATAGTAATTTAAATAGAGGAGATATTTTTTTTCATTTTACTTCCGAAATTCTTAATATCAGAGAAGCCCAATATATAGTTATTGTAAAGATAATATTTATCATATCTTGTTTTTGGAAAGGCGCAAAGATTCATCCATGAATGGAAAATATAAAATTAAAAGAAAAATATGAACATTTTATAAATACATTATTTCTATATATAGTATATACACACAAATACGAGTTATGGAAATTTTGTAAGATGGAATAATTAATATTATTGTGGTAATTTTGAAGAAGGTAATATCTGAGGGCCGGACGCAGCTAAAGATGAACTTGGTAAACCAACACCCATTGCTGGCTTGGCCAATGAACCCATTTGTCCAGGTAATTCCAAATTTCCAAGACCAGAACCACTCGCTTTTGCTTTTTCAGGAGTGCCACCAGGTTGTAGCACTGATGAAGCAGTAGAAGCTGACATTCTATTTCCATTAGGTGGTGGGGGTCCGACAATATCGATATGAAGCACTGTTTCTCCACGTAAAATCATAAGGCCAATATTTCTCTTTGCTTCTTGGAGTTCGCCGGCCTTCCTCCTATTTAATCTTCTGTATTCTTCACAATCCTTTAAAACAATATTCGAATGTGTATCAAAAGCGAGCATTTGACCAACGAAATACCTATGATCGCTAATTACGACTTTGACGCGTGAGTTTATGAATTTAGAAAGCTTTGATCCTCTTGGAGCTTGCATATTTTATTTTTTTTTAGTTATGGAATTTATGACATGTAAAGTTTTTTTCAATTTTTTTTGAAGGGAAGTCAGAAATTTATTATTTTTTAACATGGGCGATAAAAAAATTATTATTAGCGTCAAAACTTCCACTGGACAATCATACAAGCTACAAGTTCATGGGAAAAACTCGATTGAATCTATCAAACGCGTTTTAGGCCAAGGAATGAATTGTGATCCAAAATTAATTAATTTAACGTATCAAAACATTTCTTTAGATTCATCACTCACTATTGGACAATTGAATCTCCAGGATAATGCAGAAATTAGATGGGTAGATCCAGAATCTTCGCAACTTAAAAATCGATCTTCAACTCAACAGCAAAACCAAAAACAACAACAAAAAGTCGATAGCAAACAAAAACAGAAACCGAAACGTCAAAAATCAAGTGAGAAAAAAGCTTCTGATTCACAAAATCCAAAAGGAGAAGCACAAAAACTCCAAGAAAAAGCAAAATTCAATGAAAAGATCAAAGAAATAAAGAAGGCGTTTGGTGGTCCGTTGTTTGTGGAAGAACCAAAGCGTCCTAAACCAGATGATTACGAATATAGAGTTCATTTTCTCCAAAACATGTGCTTACCAAGTGATTTCATACCAGCAGCCCTTGAAATGGCTAATTACGATCTTGAAATAGCCGCAGATGCTCTTGTAAACGGAGATTTACCGGAAGATGATGATTATTCAGATTCTGAGATAGAAGAAATGTACGATAGTAACCGTTCGAAGATAGAGGAGCAGAGGAAGGATCTCGCAGGAAAATTCATGATGGAAAGAAACGAATTTTTACAAAGATTTAAACTTCTTAAACCATATGAAAAGCATGAAGTTAACCTTCTGACCAATTTAGGCTTCGATATTACTACTTGTTTACAAATTTATCTCTCATGTGGAAAAAATAGAGATAAAGCCATAGATCAGCTGGCCATTTTGCATGGATAATGAATGATTTTTCTTATATTTTTATACATTGTTTTTAATTTAAATATAATGAGTTTCTTTTATTTAATTAAGGGTGCCCTATAGACGATAGACCACCCTCAGAAAAGCACTTTTAAGGTTATTATATTGAGAACTCGAATCCGGATAATCCATTCATTCGAGTTCTAATAAGGTTAATTTTGTGATGTTTACATTATCGTTATAGGGCACCCTTAACGTTATATATATTTTTATTTCTTATAAACACTATTCGAAAATAGACTCGCTTAATCTAAATGTACAAGATAAAGCAAATACTAGATCATTAATATTCAAAATTAACTTTTTATGTGAAATAAGGAGATATTTTAAGTATGGATTGAATTTTAAACTAGTGCATATAATAGGATTGATAATATTATCATTTCCAAATCGATTAATCATGGATTTATGTCGATTTACTTTATATAAATTTTTAAATTTTTGATGATTATTCATTTTTACAATTTCTTTCATGAAGAAATCGAAAGTATTTAATATATATTACAAGAACAAAAAAACTCGTTTTGGATATAAAAAAAAATTTTTTTTGAAGGATGTCCGATGAGTTTGAAGATTCACGGATATTCCTTGAGTTATACTATTTTACAGTATCACTGATAACAGAAAACCTCAATCCCATCAAGTATTTTAAGTCAGACTTTGTAGTTTTAATTCAACCGATTATAGAAAAGTTTGTTGCACAGTTTCCTGGTCAGTCTGAGCGACAAATCATGTCAAATAACGCTTACAAGACTCTTGTTCAAGTTTACGTGCAAAAAATGCGACCTATTATCGATACAACGAAACAAAGTGGTCTTTGGATACCACAAGGAGGCTCACCAACAAATATAGATGCAACAGAATTGATAGGCCAAGTTCTTTCTTCAGAAGCTGCTGACGTAGAGCAAATTTTGATTTTGCGAAGTGTAAAAATTAATAATTTACTTTATTCGCCAGAATTAACATTATATTACAACGCATGTCTGATGTGTTGCCAGTCACCCATTGTAATCGTTAGACTATATTCTTACTCTTTGCTTCGATCAGCGCCCGTTATTGTAGATCTTCGACATTTGTTCAATGTATTCAAAGTTGCAATGGATTTTTGGCAACGTGGACCAGTATCATTCGAGTTTTGCGCTGCCCTTTTCTTACTTTTAGAAAGATTATCAGAACATCGTCCATCTCCAATTGATGCAAATGAATTCAACCTTATTCTAAGTTTAATCGAAAATATTAACAACTCACAGAACTTCGAAACGCTCATGTGCTTCGATACAAGCCTTAAATGGATGTATAAATTATTTACACAAGAAATGCTCAACAATGTCATTAAAAACTCCATCGAATACCTCAAGCAAAGCCACAGTGGTGACTTCTGCATCATTTGCCATTGTTTATCCGTAGGAATTGGCGATCCATCTCAATTTTTAGATATTGTAGCCGCAGCGTTAAGAACTGTTGCATGTTGGGCACATCCAATACAAAGGGAAGCAAGAGCTTCACTCGCTGCCCTTCCTCTCCATCATTCCACCGCTATATCAGATGGAATTATTGATATCATCGCTTCTGTGCTTGAACAACCCCCTCAAATATCAGAACCGACCCTATTCATCTTTGCTGAGTTCTTAAGTTCTTATTATTTAGGTACTTCTGCGCCATTAAAAATGAATCTTTTGAAATCTCTTCTTGGCATCATGAAACAGAATGAAGGAAAGCGTAATTTACCTCATGATATACGCAATATAATTGTTGCCATCTGTTCCAACCCAGTCCGCCTCTTAGAAGTTTTATCAAATATAAATGAGTCGAGAACCATCATAATAAACATCATCAGTGGCGTAGACAAGTGGAGTAACTCATTAATGACAACACTAGCTGCTTTCCCGTCCTATGTAATCACGTCAGAGTCAGATGCAAAAAGTGCTGCGAAAAATTTGAGGGAAAAAATGCTGAGCATCGAAGATAAAGAGAATAATTTTTATAACGTGCGCCTCCACAAAGACCTGCCACTGCTAGTTTCCATTTATCCAGGGGAAATCCGAAAATTAGTTGAAAATTTAAACGAAACTTTCGACGAAGACCTCAAATACATCGTAATTGAGCTGTTCACCATTGCCACTCTACAGGGAAGAATCGCATCGGAGTGCAGAGACCTTCTTCAGCTACTTCCGAAAACAAATTACGAATCTGACTACTCAAACTTAGTCAAAACGATCGAAGAGACCCTCAAAAGGCCAAAATCGGTGTTCGAAGAACTCTCTTCTCACATCGATGATGGTTTATCCCAGTTTTTGGTCGTTGGATCTGCATCTCACACCGCGGCTTCACTTTTATTCGAACACGTCGTATGGCAAGAAAACAGTGACTCATTAGTAGTATGTAAGAGGCTTCAGCTTCGTCCTGCTTCGTGGTTTGCCTCTGCATTGGCTTCATTATTCTCTTCTATCGTAAAAGAGCCAACACAAGGGCTGACTAAACTGATAGATAGCGCTGCAAAGTCTCCTGAGAGGTTGGTTTGGATCGGATACATCATATTTAACAGAATTATTCCACTTTTGAAGGAAATTCTGACAAATGAGACATTTTATTTGTTGCCAAAGTATTCTTTGTATCCACAATTAGAGTTTGAGCCAACTCAAGAAGAATTGAACAAAATTGAAGAAATGCAGACAAAATACAAACCTGCACTTCAAAGTTTGTTTGATGTAATCGTTGGAATTCCAAAGAGATAATATTTTTTTATTTGTTTTTATTTTATTTTTAAATTTGTTGTTGTATTATTTTATTTATTTGAATAAACAAAAAGTTTATAAATCATTTCTTGTTTCATTGACTCCATTCAATGAGATCCTAATTCTATATTCATGTATCTCAATTTTGAAAGAGTACTGTTGCTCATGAATATAAATAGTACATTTACACTGAATGAAAATAAATCTCTCTCCATGGGAAAAGGAAATTTAGAGACCAGAAAATTTAATGTATATTTAAAGTTTACTATTTATATATTTTATTTAGTTTTACTGAAAAGAAATGGTACTGCTGAAGATAAAATTTGCTTAGGGATTGCATGACACATGCATTTTTCAATCTCGCCACAATTTTTCTCAGAACAAGTAGATGGTTTAATAACAGTTATATCGCAGTATTTTTCATATACATATTCACATGTAGCTTTAATATCTTTTTGAATTCTTTGGACTTCTAAAAGATGGTTGTTATCAATAGTGTCTTGATTACCCAAATAAATAATTGATATAGAATTGGAATGAGAACCATCAAAACTATTTTGAGAAAATAATGAATTTCCTCCTAAATAAACTGTAACAAGATTATTACATCCTTCAAATGCATTAACACCAACTTTGCAATTCCGTGATATTGTGACAGATACAACGTTATAACATGACTTCAATACACTTTCTCCTAATGAATACATATTATTTGAGAATTTAACTTCTTTAAATTCATAACAATTAGAGAAAGCGCTTTTACCAATATCAATTAATTTTTTTTGGAAATTTAATATCCTTTAAACTACTGCATCTATAAAATGCTTCATCGTTAATGTGCTTTAGATTATCTCCTAAAATAACATTGGATATATTGTAGCAACAATAGAATGCTTGCTTTCCAATTGATTCAATTAAAGTAGAAAAAGTAATTGAAGACAAATTATTACAGTTGAAGAATGATCTATCTTTAATATTTTTAACTGTATTTGGAATTTCTACTGCTTCAAGGGCACTACAGAAAGCAAACATTTCATATTCAACTGCTGTTATTTTACAAGAATTATATGAAAATGATTTCATATTTTTACAAAAATAAAATGCATTGGATCCGATTTGTGTAACTGTTGAAGGAATAACAATGTTATCTAAATTAGTTAGATTATAGAATGCATATGATCCAATACTCAAAAGATTATCATTGAATTCAATTCTTTTTAATAGATCACAGTTTGAAAATGCATATTCACCAATAGTTTCTAGTTGACTTGGAAAATGTAATTCTTCAATTCGACTGCAGTTATAAAATGCATTATTTTTGATATTGTTCAAAAAATTACCAAACACAATACTATTCATAACACAGTTTTTAAATGCGGAGTCTCCAATTGTTTGTAATGAATTTCCAAAAGTAATACTTTCGATTGAATAACAATTAATAAAAGAATTATCACCAATACTTACCAAATCAAGAGGTAGAAAATATTTTGTTGGATCTGGATTATTCGAAAAAACGATCTTTTTGAATGAAAAACAATCAGAAAAAGCATTATTTCCTATTGATATCAATGTGTTCGTTACAATATATTCTAATTTTGAACATCCAGAAAAGATACCTGCAGGAAGTGAAGAAATTGAGTTTGAGATTGTTATCTTAATTAAATTGTTGCAATTTGAAAATGCTTGATCAGATATTGTTACAATACTATCTGGAATAGTAACTTCAACTATTGATATAACGTAATTCAAAGAATTTGATCCAATTGATGAAATTTCAGAACTAATATGGATTGTTAACGATTTAATTGTTTGTAGAAAATTTTTTCCTTGATAATGCGGAGAAAAATTATTAAAAATCAAATCTTCCATACCAAAAAATGGACTTCCCTCAATTCTACTTGATTTAAATATGGAAAAGTCTAAAATTTTAAGAGAAGAACAATTGAAAAATGCATGAGTTTTAATACTTGAAATTCCATTGGAGAGAAATAATGCCAGAGATATACAATCTTTGAAGGCATATTCACCTATTGTTCCAGAAATATTAACTAATTCAAGTGAAGTACAATTAGAGAATGCATAATCTCCAACACTTCCAGAAACGGTGGCATTTTTAAGAGATAGGATATTGGATAAAGCAGACCGTTCTAAATTACCATTTGCATTGATAGTTACAAGGGATGAACATCCAGCAAAAGCATTTTCTAGAACATTTCCGGTTGTAATATTTTTAAGATTTATACAATTATAAAATGCGAAACTAGAAATAGTACCAGAACAACAGGCGAATTCAAGAGATGAACAATTAGAGAATGCATAATCACCAACACTTCCAGAAATAGTGGCATTTTTAAGATTTATGCAATTATAAAATGAGAAAGTAGAAACAGCACCAGAACAACTAATGAATTCAAGAGATGAACAATTAGAGAATGCATAATCACCAACACTTCCAGAAATGGTGATATTTTTAAGAGATATGCAATTATAAAATGAGAACCCATAAACATTACCAAAACCACTGACGAATTCAAGAGAAGTACAATTAGAGAATGCATAACCACCAACATCTCCAGAAATGGTGGCATTTTTAAGAGATATGCAATTGGACAAAGCTGAACTTCCTAAATAACCATTTGCATTGATAGTTTCAAGGGATGAACAATTATAAAATGCGTAATCATCAACATTACCAATTTCAAATGTTAAATTGACTAGGGAAATACAATTATAAAATACGTTGCTATAAATACTAATAGGACGTATATTGGATTTATATAGGGTGTCCAAAGGTGTGTTTAGCACAAACCTGAATACTGCGAATAGAAATAAACAAGTTACATATATATAAAGTTTATTTAAATATAATCACCATTGGATTCAATCACGCGTTCGCAGCGATCGATCCAGGCTTGAAAGACACGCTTTAAATCATCATGAGAAAATTGCTCAAATTGCTCTCTTACAAAATTTTCAAGATCATCTGGACTCGCGAATTCGCGTCCTTCAGCTCTCTTTTTTAGCGTGCCGAATAAATAAAAGTCAGAGGGTGCAATATCAGGTGAATAAATTGGGTTTGGAACAACTTTGACATTGTTTTCCACCAAGTAATTCATTACCTTATGACTTTTGTGAACTCTTGAATTATCAAAATGAATTGCAAACTTTTGTTTTTGTTGTTTGGATTTCTCAAACTCATCAGAATTGATAATTTGAGTAAGAACATTGTCAATTAGATACTGAGCATTCATCGTATTAGGTTTTTGAAGAATATCAATTGCGATGATGCCATTCACGCCCCAAAAAACCGACAACATCATCATTGGTGTGTCAATTTTTTTCTTCGGGAATGTTTGCGGATTTTCATCCTTCGGGATCCACATGATTTTGGCTTCTGTTGCATATTGAAACCAAGACTCGTCCCCTGTTACTAAAAAGCGAAACTTCTTGGATTGATACGCACCCAATATAGAGAGGAGCTCTTTCGAAGATTGGACTCTAGATTTTTTTTGAACTGAATTAAGGTTGTGCGGAACCCAACGTGTATACGCTAGTTTGTAGTTCAAATAATTGTGCAGATAATAACTGACTGTTGTACGTGGTATCTTTGTCATCTCCTCTATCCTTCTGAGTGATGCTCTTGGGTCTTCATCTAGCGCTTGAAGAATTGCTTTGATTTTTCTTTGATCCGGCGATTTTTTGTCAATTTTTATGATGGGCGCCTTTTTGTTCATGAAGTGATACATCCTAACATGATACGTTACAGTGGAATAGCTAGGAGCATCCATACCGAAGCATTTTACCAATGTCTCGTAGATTTTTTTACAGTCTTTGCATTTTTTTTGCAAGAGCGAGGATGTTTTCTTTATGATTCATTAAAAAAATGAAAAAAATCCCGCCAAAATTTCCCGCGAAACCGCCTCTTGTCTCAAAATTCATTTTATATCCCGGCATGGCGCCAAAATACAACATACTCATCATATACATATATTCATATTTTTTATTATATATTTATAATTAGCATATATCTCCTTTAATAGTCTCATATAGAGCGCTGTGCTAAACGCACCTTTGGACACCCTATATTTAATTATAACATTTTTAAGTTTGATACACCCATAAAATGAATTATATATTATGTAATCATAATAATCCACTAATGTTATGTATTCCAATGAGGTGCAATTAATAAATCCATCTGTATATTCCCAATCTCCAAGGATAACATCGCAATCAATCATAGTAAGAGATATACAATTAGCAAAAGATTTGTAATGTACATGCATCACTTGTTTCGATTCTTTTTCTTTAAAAGAAATTTTGATTAACTTGGGGCTGTTAGCAAAATATTTTTCGGGTATAGATATAGTATTTCCATAAAATTGTAGTGAGACCAAGTTTGGGAAATTATCTGTTTCAAATTTTTGCAAAATATCTAACATAGATTGGTTTAAACATAGTTAAATTATTCTATTTGAAACATAGTATCCTCTATAGTTATTCATATACTTAAAATCTAAATATTCAGCATATTTTGTAAATTCAATAGGTGATTCTGCGTATGTCACAATTTGATTAATGGTCAAAATCTTTATTTTTGTGTCCGAAAAAGGAACATAAAAACTATTTAAATAAATTTCCCCGAACGATTCAAACTTATAAAGTGAAGGGCAATTGCAAAAGAATCGTGTATATCCTAGATCTTGTAAGTCAGATAGTGAAGTAAAATTCTCGAGTTTTGAAAATTCGCACATAAAATCAATCTGATAATCAATATAATCAATATAATCAATATCATATTCAATTAAGTTAATTTCAATACTTTTAAGTAGCTCTCGTAATGAATTAATGCTTAAAAAACAACTCAATTTTGTCTTTCCTGCAATAATAATTTTATTGAGACAAGTGCATTCTTCAAAAGTAGTTTCACTGAAGAAGACGCTTCCAAATGTAACACAATTTAAGGTGGCACAATCACGAAAACATTTGGATCCGAAATTAGCTGTTTCACTTGAGTTTCCAAATGTAATGGTTTGTAAGATTGAACATGATTCAAAACAATTATCACCAATTGTTGAGATTGTTCCAGGAAGTGAAATGCTTGTTAAATTGTTGCATCCTGAAAAAGAGAATTCGGAAATGGTGTTAACTTTTGGAATATTGATTGAATATAAGTTTGGACATGAAGAAAATGCATAAGATCCAATTTGTAATAGTGAATCATCAGATGAAAATATTTGAATAGAAGATTGATAAAAACAATAACTTGGAATTTCTGTACACCCAACTGTTGTAACTTCATGAACATCATTATTATTACGAAAATCAAATGCTGATGTACCACTTGACTTTGTAACAGTATACTTTCCATTACCATCATTTTGAATATCATAATTATCTTCGTTTAGAATTCTATTTATTGGAGTGCTCTTTATTCTTGGGATATCGAATTATGAAATATGTACTCGTGTAAATATTACACGAGATTGTTCAATATTAAGACTTGTTCATTGCTTATTTTGTAAATTGACAAAAAGTGCCATTTGATTTTATTACTGAAACTTGATTTATACATTTTCCAATGACATTACATTCTTTCTTAGTACTTCAATAGCAATGTTATTAGGAATTTTCATAAATTTGATATATTTTTGAATTCATTGGATTGATTATTACATTCACATGCAACTCTAAAGGAAATTATATCAGCATTTGAATATAGTATTCAGATAAGACAAATGAGTAAAAATTTAGTTGAAAATAAATAAATGAAAAAGATTTTTATTTTTTACTAAATATAATATGGGCGGATGCTGCAAGGATTTGTTTAGGAAATTTTGCACAACTCATTTTTTCAATTTCTCTACAGTCTTTATCAGAACATGCTATTGGCTTTATGACAACAATTTCACAATACTTTTCCAGACTATATTCACAAGTTACTTTGATATCTTTTTGGATTCTCTGGATTTCCAAAAGATGATGATTATCAAATGTGTCTTGATTGCCTGAATAAATGATTGAAATAGAGTGATTTGCAGAACTATCAAAACTATTTTGAGAAAACATAGAGTTTCCTCCTAAATGAACCAAAACAAGATTGCGACAACCTTCGAATGCATTAACTCCAACCTTACAATTCCTTGAAATTGTAACAGATATAATATTAAAGCACGACCTCAATACGCCTTCTCCTATTGAATACATATTATTTGGAAATTTTACTTCTTTAAATTCGTAGCAACTGAAGAATGCATTTTTAACTATATCAATTAAGTTAGTTGGGAATTTAACATCCTTAAGTTTATTACATCTATAAAATGCTTCATCTCCAATGTGTTTCAAATTATCGCCTAAGAAAATATCAGATATATTTGAACATGAATGAAATGCTTGCTTTCCAATAGACTCAGTCAACTGAGGGATAGTAACTGAAGATAAATTTTTACAATTTAAGAATGAACCATCTTGAATCTCAGTAACAGTATTTGGCATTGCTATAAGTTCTAAAGAAATACAAAATGCCAATAGATTTGTTTCAATAATTTGAATTTTACTTGTATTGCATATAAAAGATTTCAAGCTTTTGCACACACAAAATGCAGATTGTCCAATCTTTTCGACATTTGAAGGAATTTCAATAGATTCTATTAACGGAGAATTAAAGAATGCATAATCTCCGATTGATATTAAGTTCTTTCCAAAAACGATTTTTTCAACTGAGCAACAATTGTAGAAAGAATAATTGCCGATAGTTTCCAAATTATCAAAGAAAATCAAATTATCAATTAGAGTGCAGTTATAAAATGCATAGCTTCCGATTGATGTCAATGCGTTTCCAAATTCTACTTTTGTAATTTGACAGTTTATAAATGAACTATTTCCTATTGTTTGCAGCAAATTCCCTAAGAAAAGTTTCTCAATTGAATAACAATATTCAAACGCATGATGACCTATGCTGATTAAATTAATTGGCAGCAAATATTTAGTTGGATCTGGATTATTTGAAAATTCTATTTTTTGCAAATTATAACAATCGGAAAATGCATAATTTCCAATTGTAGAAATAGTGTTTACAATGACTACTTCCAAATTAACACATCCAGAGAATAAGTCATCTGGAATAGAAGAAATCAAACTGGATAATGTTGCCTTTCGAAGATTTATGCAATTTGAAAATACACCTTGTCCTATTGTTGAGACACTATTAGGAATATTAACTTCAACGATCGAACTCAATCCTGAAAACATGTTTTCATTTATCGTAGTTACCTCTGAACTTATAATTATTGTAATATTTGTTGGAGCTTGTAGAAATTCAAAATGAGAAGTTTTCGGAATATAATTGTCAAATGTTGAATTGCTTAAGCCATTAAAGGAATTTGATCTAATAGTGCATTCCTTCAGAGTGTTAAAATCAATGGAAAGATATAAACAATTAAAAAACGCGTTATTTCCGATTTGAGTCAATTTAGTGTAGTTAATTGATCGAAGATTTATGCAATCTTTGAATGCACATTCACCAATATACTCATCAAAATATGCACATTCTAAATTGGTGCATCCTGCAAGTGCGTAATTACTGACACCATATGTTGCTGAAATGTTTTTCAGTGATGAGCATCCAAATAAACCATAATCCTCGACATTTCCAGTGAAATTAATATATCTAAGAGATGTACAATTATAAAATGCATAATATGGAATATATCCCTCTAAATTAATATATTCAAGGGATTCACATCCATAAAATGCACTACGATCAACGCTTTTTAAAGTAGATATATTTGTGAGAGAACGACAGTTATAAAATGCATAACTTTGGACTACTAAATGCTTATCTGAAGAAATAATGATTAAATTTTGAAGAGAAGCACAGTTATAAAACATATTTTCACGTATTCTGTCATCATAAAAGTTATGAATCGTAATTTTCTGAAGGGAATAGCAATTTTTGAAAACTGCAGAAGATTTAACTACAAAAGAGCAATTAAACGTAGCAATTGATTTGCAATTTTGAAAGCATTCTTCATTAACATAAACTATATGAAAGGATGAAGTTGAAATCACAGAAAACTCCTTTAAATTAATGCAATTTGAAAAAAAGTGTTCAGTGATTTCAGCTCCGCCTTCAAAAATTTGAACTTTTGTAAGATTTGATAAATCAGTATTTTTTCTTAGTAAATCTATTAATATAAAAGGTAATGACAGCTCAACCAAATGATTTGATATAAATATTGGCATTCTATCCCCTTGGTTCTTGTTTATGTAAATTAACTCTGCAGAACTTAAATCAATTGAACCGAAAGCATATAACCCCGAAATATTTAATCTATCCATTTTAATTATCTTTGTGTTTTTGAGGTAAGTTATTTCAAAAAAATCCAAACGGAGTATGTCTCTGGGCCAATGATATATTGACAAAGTTTCAAACACTTCAAATCTTTCAATGGCTGGGCAATTTTTAAAATAAGGAAACTTGCTTGATAATATTACTGGCCCATAACTCGTAAAATTTTCAAGAACAGTATAATTCGAAAAGAATGAAAAGTCGGAATTAACATTAAAGTCATCATAATTAATGTAGTTAATTGTAATAGACTTTAAGATATTACGCAAATAATCAATACTCGAGAACAAACTTAAATTAATTGTATTGAGGGCTGTACATTCTTCAAATCTTGTGGAACTAAATATAACACTTCCAAAAGTAATTGAATCTAAAGCAGGACAATTTGAAAAGCATTTCGAACCGAAATTAATCGCTGAGCTTGAATTCACAAAAACAATTGTATGTAAATTTGAGCATGAAGCAAAACAATAATGATTGATTGATGACACTGATGAAGGAAATAAAACATTATCAAGATTTGAACATTCTTTAAATGCATAATCTAAAATTGTTTGTACTTTTGGAATAGAGGATGTTTTATTGTCGTCTGGGAAAAGTGACCAAATTATCATTGTCGTCTGGAAAAGTGACGAAATTATCATTGTCGTCTAAAAAACGGATTTTAAAAGCATGTTTTTGATACCTAAATAAAGGAAGAACATCAATTCCATCTATGCATATAGTGTGCAAACACTCATGATATATGGAGCAGCTCTTTATCTGGCTAAAAATACTATTATTTGAAAATTCGCATTGTCGTCTAAAACCGCCAGACGACAATAATAATACCCCTTTGGAATAATTAAGGAATTTAAGTTCTTACAAGAAGAAAATGCATATGTTCCAATTTTTGAAAGATAATTATCTGCAATAAATCGCTGAATTGATGAACTAGAAAAACAATAATCAGGTATTTCTGTACAATAAATTGTATTAACTTCAGAAACATCATTTCTATCTCTAAAAGTAAATGTTGATTGTCCATTTGACTTTGTAACAGTATATTTTCCAATGCCATTATTTTTGATTTCATATCCTGTTGCCATAAGATTTCTTTCCATTATTGCATGCAGTATTGATCAATTTTACGTATATTGTTTCCAGTATAATGTTAAAAGAATAATCCCCAGGCTCAGGACTTAAGTTAAAAAATAATTATTAATTATAATTCAATTATTTGTATTAGCTCAGTGAATATTTTGAATTTCTGAATCATTCGAAATAATTGATAGTATTAGGGGTTATGAGACATGTAATTTTTTTATTTTCAGATTTTTTGTAAACTATTCAATCAATTTTTTTTATAAAAAAATAACAAAGATTATGAATAAAACATTTCTATTTATATCATATTAATAAAGAAAGTTATCATCTGGATCTTTTATGAGACCACCTTTCACTTCCGGATAGGAGTTTGTTGATGAAGAATTCTGATTAAAAATTTGATCTAAAATTTGAAAGAAAAGTAGAAAAATTCGATTAAGCCAAATTCAGTACTCTTTAGTAAATTTGTTAAGGAATCAATACTTGAAAAACAACTAAATTTTACCTTTACAGCATTATTAATTTTATTGAGTTTCCAAATGTAATGGTTTGTAAGATTGGACATGATTCAAAACAATTATCACCAATTGTTGAAATTGTTCCAGGAAGGTAAATTTATGTTAAATTGTTGCACCCTGAAAATTAGAATTCAGAAATGGTCTTAACTTTTGGAATGTTGATTGAATATAAGTTTGGACATGAAGAAAATGCATAAGATCCGATTTGTAATAGTGAATCATCAGATGAAAATATTTGAATAGAAGATTGAGAAAAACAATAATTTGAATATCCCATTTGTGTGTTCTTTATTCTTGGGACATCGAATTATGAAATATGAACTCATTGCTTATTTTGACATTTGACAAAAAATGTCATGATGCCATAAGTGATACTCTTAAACATTCGTCGAATTTCTGGGTACAATACATAATCCATATCAATTATCCTCTACATATCAATACGAGCTCAAAAATGAACTAATATAACACCCACACTTGAACTTAAGGGTGCACTTGCACCATTATGACATGTTAATTTTCAATGATGTTTCATGTCAATTGTCAAAAAAATCGAATTAATGTCAGATGGGCGTAAATAAAATTTGTATGTAATTATATATAACTTTTATATGTGCAAATTTAATAATTAAATATTTTTAATATAAAGTTAAGTTTTAATTATTAAGACAACAGAATAAATCTAAAAAAGAAATTTTAGTTGTTGTATCAATAATTTTAGTTAATTTATTAATTTTACATGACAAATATTTAACTTCATGACCATAAAATTCTGTTGATTTGTAATCACAAAGAACATAAACATTGGATGCAATTGAATAAATTAAATTGTTTGATCCAGTATCATTTAATGGAACTGCTTTTCCATAATAATAAATATCAATGTTTTCTTTGTTATTAACAATTGTAGAATACAATTTTATTGGATGATAAATTGATATATTTGCAATTTGGGAGAAGGAATAAGATTGAACTGAAATTATAGAACCTCTAAATATTACTTCTTTAATCAAATGACAAGAAGAAAATGCATATTGAGATATATTAACATCATTATAAAAATCTAAAGTTCCATTGAATTTACTACAGCTTGAAAATGCTAATTCACCAATTGAAATTAAATGAGACATTGTATTTATATCTGTTAAATTATAACAATATCTAAATGCTTGTTTGCCAATACTTGTTAATTTTGTTAAATTATAAATTCCTTTTAACTTATCACATTTATAAAATGCATAATCTGGTATTATTTCTAAACTATTTAAATCATATAAATATTCAAATGAACTTCCTTTGAACGGTGACTCATAATAGAAAGAATTCCAATATTTGTCATCATAATTTACTTTAATATTTTTCAATGAATATAAACAATGAAGTTCTTTTAATGATGAACAATTATAAAATACAGAATAGCCTAGGGTTGTTAAATTATTAAGATTTGAAATATTCTTTAAATTATAACAATTATAAAATGCATAACTCTTTATTGTTGTTAAATTATACAAATTTGAGAGAAATTCTAAATTGGTGCAGTTATAAAATGTATATTCTTCTATTATCATTAAATAATTTAGATTTTCGATAGTTTTTAAATTAGAACAGTTATAAAATGCATAATTACAAATTGAAATTATTTGAGAAATATAATTTAAACTTATTAAATTAAAACAATTATAAAATGAATAATTACCAATAAAGGTTAATTTTGTTAAATTATTTAAAGATTTTAGGCTATCACAATTATAAAATGCATATTTTGGTATTATTTCTAAACTATTTAAATCATACAAATATTCAATAGAACTGCCATTAAATGATGAATAATGATAACCTCTATAATAAACATCATAAATTTCAATATTTTTTAATGAATATAATCCACGAAGTTCTTTTAATGATGTACAATTATAAAATGCCGAGTAGCCAATAGTTGTTAAATTATTAAGATTTGAAAAATTCTTTAAATTATAACAATTATAAAAGACTTTATTTTCAATTGTTTTTAAATTATACAAATATGAAACATTAACTAAATTGTAACAATTATAAAATGTTCTTTCTTTAATTGTGATGAAATTATTAAGATTTTTAATACATACCAAATTATGACAATCAGAAAATGCACTGTAACCAATATTTTTTATTTTTGTAGAAATGTCAAGTTTATTTATTTTATAACAATTAGAAAATGCACCGTCACCAATTGTTTCTAAGTTATTAAGACTTTCAACAGTTGTTAAATTATAGCAATTATAAAATGCATTATTTTCTATTGTTAATAAATTGTCAAGATTTGCAATAGTTGTTAAATTATAACAATTATAAAAGGCTTTATATTGGATTGTTATTAATTTAGTTAAATTATAAAGTCCTATTAAGTTATTACAATTTTCAAATGCTTGATGTGGAATAATTTGTAAACTATTTAAGTCATATAAATATTCGATAGAACTTCCAAGAAATGCTGAAAAATATTCATAATAACGATCACAATAATAACCACCTGGATACCAACAATTTTTGTAAATTTCAATATCTGTTAATGAAAATAAATCACGAAGTACTTTTAATGATGTACAATTATAAAATGCCTTATAATGTATTGTTGTTACGTTACATAGATATGAAATATTTAATAAATTAATACAATTATAAAAAGTTTGTTTTTCAATTTTTTTGACATTATGAAGATTTGAAATAAATTTTAAATTAATACAATTATAAAATGCTTCAATTCCAATTGTTGTTAAATCATAGAAAGTTGAAATATTTACCAAACTATAGCAATTATAAAATGCATTATTTTCAATAGTTATTACATTATGCAAATTTGATATATTTACCAAGCAATGACAATTATAAAATGCATTATATTTAATTGTTGTTAATTTTTCAAGATTTTCAACAGTTATTAAATTAGAACAATTACTGAATGCGGATGAATAAATAATTGTTAAATTTGATGTTAAATTAAATAATCCTTTTAATTTAAAACAATTATAAAATCCATTTATTGGAATAGAATCTAAGCTATTTAAATCATATAAAAATTCAATACCACTTCCGAAAAATGGTGAAGTACTTCGACCTGTGTTAATTTCTTTTAATGAATGTAAACAATGAAGTTCTTTTAATGATGCACAATTATAAAATGAACAAAAATTTTATAACAATTAAAAAATGCATATTGACCTATAGTTGTTAATTTATTAAGATCAGAACTTATTGTTAAATTATAGCAATTATAAAATGCTGAATTACCAATAATCGTTAAATTATTTAGATTTTCCAATTGAATTAAGCTAATACATTCATAAAATGCAGAAGATTCAATTGTTTTCAAATTAATAAGACCGCTTAATTTAGTTAAATTTTTACATTGATAAAATCCACCACCTGAAATAATTTCTAAACTATTTAAATCATGAAGTTCTTTTAATGATATACAATTATAAAATGCAGAATTACCAATAAAATTGACATTGTTTAATGGTTCTAATGTTTTTAATTTAATACAATTATAAAATGAACTACTTTCAATGCGAGTAATTGAAGGTGGTAAAATAAGTGTTTCAAGATTTGCTAAACCTTTAAAAACTGTTCCTGTTGATGTTATCTTCGTACATTTAGAAAAATTTGCATTAATGACATAATCAGATAAATATGATATTTTATTAATTGATTCATTAACAATATCACTTGTGATTGAACAAAATTCTTCTAAATTATAAAAAACTTCATAATTCTGATTTACTGATATATTACAAATTAACATTTAAAATAATTTAAAATATCATTCATAAAATAAAATACTTCTTTGATCTATTTACATTTAATCGCAAAGCTTGAGTTTTCAAAAATATTTTTGAACATGTAGCAAAACAATAATGTCCCATTGATGATACTAATAAAGGTAATGATATATGATCAAGATTTGCACATTTTTTAAATATATAATCTAAAATTGTTTGTACTTTCGGAATAATTAAGGAGTTAAAGCTCCTACAAGAAGTAAAAGCGTACGACCAAGTTTTTGAGAGATAATCATCTGCAATAAATCGCTGAATTGATGAACTAGAAAAACAATTAATGGGTATTTCTTTTCAGTAAGCTGTGTTTCTATCTCTAAATGTAAATGTTGATTGTCCACTTGACTTTATAACAGATTATTTTCCATTGCCTTTAATTTTCACTTCCGGAAAGGAGTTGTTGAATAATTTGATCTAAAATTTGAAAGAAAATGAGTTAAAATTTTTTTATATCATAAGTATATAGACATGCATAGTGTATTAATTTTTAAATTAAAAAAAGCCAACATTTTCACATGACCAATGCAGGAGTTAACATTGATTATAAATCGATAGCAGATGATGTAGATTCATGGCATAACAATGAGAACTTTTTTAAAGTGCGTACTCCTAATCAATTGATTCAAATTCTTGATCTTTGCAAACTTCCTACAAAATATTTCGTTGATATCTTCGATAATATTCATAAACTTAATAGCGAATATAGCAATGATGATGAAAACGAAATTCTTAAGCATTCATCAATTAAAGAACCAGAAAATTTTGATTTATGTTTTGAAGTTTTAAAACGAATTTCAAATATCATCAAAATACACCCTCTTACAGTTACCGTTGATACAATAAGCAAACAAAAAGCTAAATTCATCTCAGATATCGAAAATAATCTCAAAAAACACTTAGAACACAAATACAAACAACAAATTATAGATTTGAAGAAGCAAATTGAAAATTTAATGCATCAAAATTTGAATCTGAAACGAGAAATTAGTGATCAAAATGAAAAAAATTCATCAGAAATTCACGAACTTTTACAGAGACTCGAACAATATCAAAACCAAATACAAGATCTTGAACATCAAAACAATGAGTTTCAAAGCATTATCATAAAGAAAACCACCGAAATTAAAGAAATCCAACATAACTTTCGGAGAAAGGACAAAATGATGAAAGACCAATTATTAAAGTTCGAAGAAAATATAAAACAATTCGAAGACAAGATGAAAAAAGAAAAAGAAGATTTAATTTCTCAACATAACAAAGAAATTGAAGAAATCAAATCCAAAAACATGGAAACAACAAAGAAAATGCTTACTAAATACAAAGCAAAGCTAGAAAAGGATTTTGAAGAAAAAACAAAAGCTAATAATTTAAATATTTTGAAATCATTTGAAAAACTAACCGAAACTATTATCAAGAATCATAATGAAGAGATAGAACAAATGAGAGCTGAATTACAACAGAAGATCGATATCAAAGCACAAAAACATACAAAAGAAAATGAAGAAATTCAAAATCTTAAAAAATTGATAGAAGGAAAAAATAGTTCTTCAAATAAACCAAGAAGATTAAGGAGATCCCATAGAAGTAGACCGGTTTCTGGAGCACAAAGCTTAATAGAAGGTGAGTTACCACCTGAGAATTCATCTGTTATTATGGAAAGTCAATCAATTCTTACAACTGAGGGAAATTCAATGATAGAATTGCCGTTCGAACATTTGGATCCAATCCCTCCTTCACCAGCTGGAAAGGTACGTAGAAAAGTCAGAAGTCCCAAACAATAGATACACCATAAAAATAATTGTTTTTTTTATTTTTATTTTATTTTATTTTTATTTTTTTTTATTTTATTTTTATTTTCTTAATTTTAATTTTATTTTTCTGACATGCAGATTACCACATGAACAGACATTTTAAGGAAAATCTAATTTTAATTGAAAAAAAAGGTCCAATATTATTACTTAAGTGATGTCATTGTTTATGATATAGACAGAATTATATAGAATGTTCAAGATATTGATGCAACTGATAATATTCAAGATTAAGGGTTCACTAACATGACAAAAAATATTCAAAATTTTTAAAAAGATGAAAAATATGCTCTACGATATATATATTAATCCTAGTCTTTCATTTTCAGAAAAAGCATGTTATAACTCATGTTAAAAATAATGATAAATATAGCATTGATATACATCATAGAATATATATCTCAAGGGACTTTGATTTTTGTCATGTTAGTGAAGCCTCAAATTTGAAAATTTAGTTTTTTAAAGTTGTTAATTAAAATTATGACGAGTCGAATTAACTTTTAATAAAACTATAGTTCATATGATTTTGCAATTTGATTTCATATCATTAGGATCTGCACCATGTGAAATAAGAACTTCTGCTGTTTCTTTACTTTTATTTCGTGACGCAACACGAAGAGGAGTGTTCTCTTTCTCATCTTTTGCATTGACATCAGCGCCATGTAACAGAAGAAGCTCTGCAATTTCTTTACCATTGGATGCAGATGCCAAATGAAGAGGTGTATTTTCTTTATCATTTTTAGCATTGACGTCTGAACCATGAGAGATCAGATTTTGTGCAATTTCTTTACTATTTTTATTTGCAGCATAATGAAGAGGAGTGTTTCCATTCTTATCTTTTACATTAACATCTGCACCATGCGCAATAAGAACATCTGATGTTTCTTTACTGCTGTATGATGCAGCAATATGAAGTGCTGTGAAATTATTTACATTTTTAGCATTGATATCTGCATTATGCAGAAGAAAAATTTCTGATATTTCAATATTGTTTTTTCTTGCAGCCTTATGAAGCGGAGTTTCTTTGTCTCTATCTAAAGCATTAACATCAGCACCATGTGAAATAATGTCTTCTACAGCTTTTTTGTTGTTATTATCTACTGCAAGATGCAATGGAGTAATTTCATTGTCATCCATAGCTTTGACATCTGCACCATGCGAAATTAGAACTTCTGCTGTTTCATTACTGTTATTAGATAATGCTATATGAAGAGGGGTTTGTTTTTTATCATTTGTAGCATTAACATCCGCACCGTGTGAAATAAGTATATCTGCTATTTCTTTAAAGTTTTTCTCAGCTGCAAAATGAAGAGCAGTATCTTTGTTTCTATCTTTAGCATTGACATCTGCATTATGTGAAATAAGAAGTTCCATTGTTTCTTTGCTGTTATTTATTGCTGCAAAATGAAGAGGAGTATTTTCATTATAATCTGTAGAATTAACAGGTGCACCATACGAAATAAGAAGTTCTGCTGTTTCTTTACTATTCCACTTTGCTGCAAAATGAAGTGGAGTTTTTTCATCGTAATTTTTAGCATTGGCAAGTGCACCATGTGAAAGAAAAAGCTCCGCTGTTTCTTTACTGTTATTTATTGCTGCATAATGAAGAGGAATGTTCTTATTACTATATTTAGAAACGAAACTGGCACCATGACTAATAAGAGCGTCTGCCGCTTCATAATTGTTATTCATCGCTGCATAATCAAGAGGAGTAAATCCACGTTTATCTTTAATATTAGCATCTGCATTATGATAAATAAGATATTCAACTATTTCTTTATGGTTATTTCCTACAGCATAATGAAGAGGAGTGTATTTTTTATCATCTTTGGCATTAGCATTTGCACCGTGTGAAATCAGAAGTTCTATTACTTCTTTATTGCTGAAAATTACTGCATAATGAAGAGCAGTTTTATTTGCATATTTAGCATTGACATTTGCACCATGTTTAATTAAATATTCACAAAGAGATGAAATATTAAAAGCATATGAACAAGCAAGGCATGAATCAACATCATTAGTTTGATCCAAATAAATCAAAAATGCATGAAGATTACAACGATCAGCACAATCATTTAAATTGATCTCTATGTTGTGTTCGTTCATCAAAAACGAAATAAAGTCAATATTATGAGAAGTAATTGCAAATTCCATGCAAATTTCATCTGGTATTTGTACTTTCAAACATTCGCTGATGATGTCTTGATTTCCTCCTAAAAATGAAAATACAAGGCATTTTGGTGTTATTTCAGGATTGAGTTTTGTGATCAAGAATTTAAAACAATCAACAGATCCATAATAGCAACATAATTCTAGAAATGAAAGTCCATTTTCGTCGGAAGGATATAAATCACTTTTGAGTTTTTGATCTTTATCAAATCCATCCCTTTCAACGAATCCAATGAATGATACTTTATCATCATCCATTATTGCCTTGTATATTGTATTTTCTGAATGAATGTCTGATGAATAATTTTCAGATTCATATTCATTGAATTTTTCTTTTTCATCTTTGTCTAATATAGGGTGTCCAAAGGTGTGTTTAGCACAAACCTGAATACTGCGAATAGAAATAAACAAGTTACATATATATAAAGTTTATTTAAATATAATCACCATTGGATTCAATCACGCGTTCGCAGCGATCGATCCAGGCTTGAAAGACACGCTTTAAATCATCATGAGAAAATTGCTCAAATTGCTCTCTTACAAAATTTTCAAGATCATCTGGACTCGCGAATTCGCGTCCTTCAGCCTCTTTTTTTAGCGTGCCGAATAAATAAAAGTCAGAGGGTGCAATATCAGGTGAATAAATTGGGTTTGGAACAACTTTGACATTGTTTTCCACCAAGTAATTCATTACCTTATGACTTTTGTGAACTCTTGAATTATCAAAATGAATTGCAAACTTTTGTTTTTGTTGTTTGGATTTCTCAAACTCATCAGAATTGATAATTTGAGTAAGAACATTGTCAATTAGATACTGAGCATTCATCGTATTAGGTTTTTGAAGAATATCAATTGCGATGATGCCATTCACGCCCCAAAAAACCGACAACATCATCATTGGTGTGTCAATTTTTTCTTCGGGAATGTTTGCGGATTTTCATCCTTCGGGATCCACATGATTTTGGCTTCTGTTGCATATTGAAACCAAGACTCGTCCCCTGTTACTAAAAAGCGAAACTTCTTGGATTGATACGCACCCAATATAGAGAGGAGCTCTTTCGAAGATTGGACTCTAGATTTTTTTTGAACTGAATTAAGGTTGTGCGGAACCCAACGTGTATACGCTAGTTTGTAGTTCAAATAATTGTGCAGATAATAACTGACTGTTGTACGTGGTATCTTTGTCATCTCCTCTATCCTTCTGAGTGATGCTCTTGGGTCTTCATCTAGCGCTTGAAGAATTGCTTTGATTTTCTTTGATCCGGCGATTTTTTGTCAATTTTTATGATGGGCGCCTTTTGTTCATGAAGTGATACATCCTAACATGATACGTTACAGTGGAATAGCTAGGAGCATCCATACCGAAGCATTTTACCAATGTCTCGTAGATTTTTTTACAGTCTTTGCATTTTTTGCAAGAGCGAGATGTTTTCTTTATGATTCATTAAAAAAATGAAAAAAATCCCGCCAAAATTTCCCGCGAAACCGCCTCTTGTCTCAAAATTCATTTTATATCCCGGCATGGCGCCAAAATACAACATACTCATCATATACATATATTCATATTTTTTATTATATATTTATAATCAGCATATATCTCCTTTAATAGTCTCATATAGAGCGCTGTGCTAAACGCACCTTTGGACACCCTATATTATTCCGTATTCTTTATAGAAAAGATAATTAAATATATCTTCAACAAATTTAATCTCTGAATAATGATATTCATCGAAAAGTTGTTTGGCAAGAGTTAAATATGACTTCGTATAGCGATTGTTATATACTGGAATATTTGATAAATCTTGCATAATCTTTTTTGGCGGATATTTATATAAATCGATGAGTGTTGTTATGATATTTTTATAAATTGTCTCCAATTCTTTATCATCTTTAGTATTGAGCTTGTACAAAGAATTAAATGTATCAATATGGTTCTGACAAATGCTAATCAATTCATTGTAATGCGTGTGTGAACCTGCTTCATTGGACATTTATAATTTTATCGTTTCAATAGGCAAAAATTGAATAAATATTCAATTTAAAAGAATCCTCAAGCTCTTCAAGTAAATTCATAGTGTATCTGAAATTGAGTGTTGTGTAATCTTTTACCATCTTTCAAATTTTCAAAACTAAAACAAATTGTTAATGTAAAAATTGACACTTCTGAAAAGCCCGAGTATATTTTTATAAAAGACATTAAAATATAGGGTGTCCAAAGGTGTGTTTAGCACAAACCTGAATACTGCGAATAGAAATAAACAAGTTACATATATATAAAGTTTATTTAAATATAATCACCATTGGATTCAATCACGCGTTCGCAGCGATCGATCCAGGCTTGAAAGACACGCTTTAAATCATCATGAGAAAATTGCTCAAATTGCTCTCTTACAAAATTTTCAAGATCATCTGGACTCGCGAATTCGCGTCCTTCAGCTCTCTTTTTTAGCGTGCCGAATAAAAATAAAGTCAGAGGGTGCAATATCAGGTGAATAAATTGGGTTTGGAACAACTTTGACATTGTTTCCACCAAGTAATTCATTACCTTATGACTTTTGTGAACCTTGAATTATCAAAATGAATTGCAAACTTTTTGTTTTTGTTGTTTGGATTTCTCAAACTCATCAAATTGATAATTTGAGTAAGACATTGTCAATTAGATACTGAGCATTCATCGTATTAGGTTTTTGAAGAATATCAATTGCGCGATGATGCCATTCACGCCCCAAAAAACCGACAACATCATCATTGGTGTGTCAATTTTTTTCTTCGGGAATGTTTGCGGATTTTCATCCTTCGGGCCACAATGATTTTGGCTTCTGTTGCATATTGAAACCAAGACTCGTCCCCTGTTACTAAAAAGCGAAACTTCTTGGATTGATACGCACCCAATATAGAGAGGAGCTCTTTCGAAGATTGGACTCTAGATTTTTTTTGAACTGAATTAAGGTTGTGCGGAACCCAACGTGTATACGCTAGTTTGTAGTTCAAATAATTGTGCAGATAATAACTGACTGTTGTACGTGGTATCTTTGTCATCTCCTCTATCCTTCTGAGTGATGCTCTTGGGTCTTCATCTAGCGCTTGAAGAATTGCTTTGATTTTTTCTTTGATCCGGCGATTTTTTGTCAATTTTTATGATGGGCGCCTTTTTGTTCATGAAGTGATACATCCTAACATGATACGTTACAGTGGAATAGCTAGGAGCATCCATACCGAAGCATTTTACCAATGTCTCGTAGATTTTTTTACAGTCTTTGCATTTTTTTGCAAGAGCGAGGATGTTTTCTTTATGATTCATTAAAAAAATGAAAAAATCCCGCCAAAATTTCCCGCGAAACGCCTCTGTCTCAAAATTCATTTATATCCCGGCATGGCGCCAAAATACAACATACTCATCATATACATATATTCATATTTTTTATTATATATTTATAATCAGCATATATCTCCTTTAATAGTCTCATATAGAGCGCTGTGCTAAACGCACCTTTGGACACCCTATATAATATAGAAAATGAATACAACATTTTCATTTATAATTCAATTCCGAAATTGTGTCAATCACAATTATAAAAACAATGCAGGAAAAGCTGCACTTGATTATGCAAAAGAAAAAACAAAATGAAAGTGAAAACTACAGAAAGATTGTCAATAAGATGTTTAAAGAGCAACTCCGCGGTATATCCGCAGAATTATACAGCGGGTTATCATTTGAACAGGACTATTTTAAATAAAGAAAAATCTCTATTTATTCATAATATAAAATCAAAAACAAAAAAAAAATACAAAAAAATATACATTATTCTGATTGTTGGACTTTAAACATCTGGCACAGTTCCAAACAAGATTCTGGAATTCCTTCTGTCTCTTCTAGTTCAAGAATAACTGTTTGCAAGTAGTTATTTGCATCAGAAGGAACATCTGAAACATCATTAATTGTTTGAACTTGAAGGATGTACATAATAAGCATAATTGTAACAGCAATGTTCTTTGAGTCATCGCTGTCATTAACCATCGTCAAAGATTTGGCCATATTCCTTAAAATATTTTTAAGAACAGATTGTTCAATATTTGAACCGATTTTCTGGAGTAGTGAGTAGAGTAAGTATGCACAGTTACCAACAACATCATCACATTCGTTATCACAATTGATAATTTGTGATTTTTCTAAAATTATTTCGTAATATTTCTCAAAATTCAGGACTTCAGTGTTCAAAACGCTGCTGAGGAATTCCCATGCGCATGTCTTAGATCCACTAGTTCCATTAGTGATCAAATTAGCACATGTGTCGGCTAAATACTCCAAAAAATCAGGAAAATTAGAAAATCCTTCAGAATTATTGTTCAAACATGCGGAAAAGAAGGACAAAATAGGTGCGGTCAAGCTTGAATTGTTTGCTTCCGTGTTCTCATCAACTTGTTTGAGGTCGGAATCGCCGTCAATCGCTGATTTAAGTTTAATTAAGAATCCATCAGCGGAAAAAACAGGAACTAGGAAGTCAGGGACACAACAAATGAGTTCCCTGATTGAACTAAGAACAGCATCATATAACGGATCTGATTCATTCGTCTCCATAAAAATAGAAATAATATTTGTAACGATTGGCTCTGTATTAGGTGATGATTCAAGGTCTGTGCATGTTCTAAAGAAGGCAGCAAGAGCATTAAAGATGTTAACTCCTTCGTATTGCTTGTATCTTTGAATGGCCAAAACAAAATTTTGGAGATAAGGGTCTGCCGGGTGCTCCAATGCAGATAATATGACTGTGAGACTGCGGAGGGCCTCCATCCTGATGTTCTCGTTCGGATCGTTGATGGATGGAAAAATTGTATTAAGAGCAGACTCCGAAAAATTAGAATTAATGGCACCAATGTTCGCGATACATCCTATTGCATCTGCTTTGGTGGGCGAATTCGTTGCCGCTTGGGAAATTACGTATGAAACTATGTCAGAAATGTCTTCAAAGAGTTCTGAAGTGATGGACAAGGTTCTGAGGGCACTTTTGACCAAATGGATTTGTGGGGATTGAATATTTTCTTTAATTAACTGGCCAAAAATTTCTTGGTACGTTTCTAGATCTCTGTGGATGGTTTCACTGATAAGGGAAGCACATTGTTGAGAAAATGTGCCTTCACAAAGATCTTCGTCTTGAGAAATCTTTAAAAATAAATATTCTATCAAATCTTGGTCCAAATCAAAAGAATTTTCTTGTAAAGCGTAAGCAGCAGGAATTGCATAGCCATCGTGATTGCTTTGGACACAAAATTTAAAGAATTCGTAGATTAAATAACGTTCTTCTTCAGAAATCTCATAATCGTCTGAAAATGCTTGTAAAAGATTACTCGATGAGTCAATGATCTGAACTATGCAATCTTCTTGAAGTGATCCGAATTCTCCGTTGGAAATTAAAGGAATTATAACTTGTTCTTTAATAATTGCTGGAATTTTACTTGATAACTCTTTAATTATGTTTGATGTAATCAAATTAATCCTTGGATCTTCGTATGTTAAGTAGTCTAGTAAATGATTTAAATATTCGCCTTGAATTACTTCACCATTTGATGATAACTCATATATTAGTGATAAACCGTTATAAAGAGAGCTTTCGTCACTGAGTAATGACTCGATTGTCGTTGAAAAACTTTGAAAAATCGAGGAACCAAATTCAGAACTAACTTCCGCGATTAATGCTGCAACAGAATTGGTAAAAACAGGATCTTCTGAATGAAGGATCTTTGGTAAAATTGTCGAAGAAAGTTGTTTGATTTGGTGGCGATTTTCAATTGGAATATTTCTTATTTTGTGGCGAAGCTGAATGCATGCTGCAGATCGTGCTGAATATCCGAGAGATTCATTTGCGATCGTATTGAATAAATAGTTTGCAAAATTTTTTAATTCTGAAGTTTGAGCAAAAATCACTTGAATTTGCTGTTGAGCAGTTGGATATGTAACACTGGCAAACATAAAATTTATTTGTTCTTGAATACCTGGGTCAATATTTTCTTCATTCATTTTTGAGCACAATTTTTTTTTGTCTTCAAATTCAAATTAAATTTGCTGTGATGAAATGACCAGAAACCCAATAAATACCAATCATAACAGTGAATCTGTATTGGTTGAATGCTTTCACTCCAAATTCAACTTAATTTCAATGATAAGTTTGGAAGGAAAAGAGTATTTCATCTGTCCATTAATTATATATATTTCGTGTTATATAAAAGTCTTTATGAAAGAATCTATGGTTTGTAAAGTCGTAATGTAAGTGCTTGTGATCAGACAAATATGTTTTTCAATAAGACATCTTAGAAAAAAAAATTGTAATTTGACTATTTCAATATCATAAACACATTTCTATTGTTATAAAAGTCTTAAGTGCTTGTGATCAGACAAATCTGTTTTTCAATAAGACATCTTAGAAACAAACTTACTTAATTTTTGTTTATTCTATCATTCCCTTACTAAATAAATCTTTAACTTTCCTTCTAGTTATATTTATCTATTCATCATCAAATTATGTTTTTTAACTTTTTTTCATATATATTTTTTCTGAATACCTACTGTAATATATTTTTCATTTATTATTTATTCAATTGCTTTTCAATTTATTTTCAAAACCTTATTCAAATTTATTTTATCATTAATATATTTTTATATTATAAATTTATTTAAAACTTATTAAAACATGTTATTACGTTATTAATTTTTACTTTTTCATTTTTATACCCTTTTCAATTTTCTTCTCAAATTTTCAATGCTTCTCAAATATTTCTCCATTCAAATATATCTTTACTAAAAATTTTTTTAAAAATCACAAATTCACTTATATTCTTATACGAATCAATCTGTATCATATTACCATACTTCACAAACACATCTAACTATTCAAATCATTTCAAATTTAAAATCATATAAATTAATATTATGAATATCCTGTTCTTTTTCCGAATACCCTTTATTCCCACATTTCAATATATCTCTAAGTATGCAATAGTACCGATAAAACATTAATATCCCTGATATTTATAAAAATGTAATATCTGATCTTTTGATGATTATCGGTATCATATGTTTATTAGTTTACCATATCTATTATTACATACACTAACAGTATATGACATTTACACTTTTATTAAACCAAAATTCAAAAGAATCTTTTTGCAATTTCGTCCAATATGAAATTAAATCCAATGAAACATACACAACATTCTCCTATATCTTCTGTAGTTGCATATTATATATTCAAACGATTTTTAAATAATGTTTCTATCAAATGTGTAGTGATTCCGTCCCGATTAAAAATTGAGTACTTTCATCCCGATTTATCGGGATAAAATTGAATACTTTTATCCCGATTTCCCGATCAATTCCGATGCCGCCTGGACACACGAAAATTCAAAATACAAAAACGAAATATCTGTTCTTAATAACAAAAACAATCAATTAAATTAAGGGTTTCGTTTTGCGAAAAAAACGTACAATACGCAATTTCGCTAAAAAAACATTTAGCTAGCAATTTCGACCTTTGACTCCACTCAAGACGTCACTTTTTTAATTTTGCGGTATCATATTTTTGGAAAATCTTTATGAATATTATATAAAAAGTCTCTTTAATATCTATATTTCATATTTTTATCGATTTTTAAAGTTTTTGCGAAAAGTATTCAATTATTTTTGCTATTTGGTCGGGTAAATGTCAGATTTGCGACATTTTCTGATATGATATTCAGATTCTACGTTGATAATAATGCTTATAGAACCCTCTTGCTATTGTGTCAAAATTGCGAAACCGATAGCAAAAATATCTCGCAATATCAAAATTGAGATATTGAGTGAATTATGCATTATAGAGATTAAAAATCTGATTTGTGAAAACATCTCATCAGTTTCTAGCTAATTCAAAAATCTTTACTATCTTATTCGATTAAAATGAAAAGGAAATAGTTTCATTATGCTTTAAATGACAGCCTTATAATATAATCATAGTTTTCGCTCAATATGCAGCATTTTTTTTCGAAATCTATGGTCAATATCCTAAATACTGATTGCTTTGCATTCATATCTCTTACATTTTCTATACCCACATCACTATTCATTGCTATTCTATCTTTTTCATTTTTGTTTGTTTCTCATAATTTCTCAAAAAACATGATAACTTGATATTTGTAAATATCATACTTTATAACGTAAATAAGAACTTGACCTATTAAGAAAAGCAGTAATGAAAAGAAAATCTGAAATTCATAAAAATTACAAGTTTCTGATGACAATTAGCTTAATTAAACCAGGTACAAGATTATATAATTGTATTTTCTATCCAATTATCCATATAATATCTTATCCAGAAAAAATAACTTGATCAATACCAAATGATTTTTTAACTAGTAAATAAAGTATTTTCTTTACACACACATTGTATATCATAGTTTTTTTTTGGTTTCGCAAAACATCCAAAAACAAATATGCTATAAAAGTGACAATTTTAGCAAAACGAAACCCTTAATTAAATCAATCAATAAATGAATTTGAAAAGATTGCTAAATTACGTTTGAATTCTGATTTTGATACAGTTTACAAATTCCTTAAACAACTTTCAGATGAAGGTGATAAATTGAAAATGTCTCTTTCATGTTCAGTTGGATTGAGTGAAAAACGAAATTCAAATGGAAATACTCCACTTCTTTATGCATGCTATAATGGAGATATTCAATTAACAAAATCTCTTATTGAAGGAGGTTGTGACAGAGATGCTTTTGATAAAAATGGAATGAATTGTTTACTTCTAGCATCATTCTATGGACGTCTTGATATTGTAAAATATTTAATTGGAATTAGTTTTGACAAGAACTGGCGAGCTAAAACTGGTGGATTTAATGCAATTCATTTGGCATCGCAAGAAGGTCATCTTGAAGTTGTTAAATATTTGAAAAGTATTGGTTGTGATGTCAACTCTAAACAAAAAGATGGTGCCAGTTGTATTTACTTTGCATCAAAAAATGGTCATCTTGAAACAGTCAAATATCTTTTTTCAGTTGGAGCAACCAAATGAGAAAGATAATAAAGGATTTTCTCCATTAATTGCTGCATCTTCAGAAGGTCATCTTGGTGTAGTTAAATTTCTTATTCAATGTGGATGTAATAAAAATGATAAAACAAACTATAATAGTTCATCACTTCATTGGGCAACGATGGAAGGTCATTTTGAAGTTGTTAAATATTTAGTTTCAATTTGTGTCAATCTTAATGATAAAAACAATGCAGAAAAAACAGCACTTGATTATGCAAAAGAAAAACAAAACGAGAATTATAACTTCAAAAATATTGTCAATCTGTTAAATCGATCAGGAGAACAATAATTATAACATCAAAATAATACACAAATTGATATATAAATCATAAACAACCTTTTCAATATGAAGGAATACTAAACAAATACTTTTAAATCATTAACCGAATAATTATTTGTTTAAGGGTGTACTTAAGACTGTAAATTTTTACATGAGTTATCTCAAAATCAAAATCAAATGTTTACACTCAATGAAAATGCCTTTGATCAATATCTCATAATAAAATGCATTTTTTAAATAATAACGAGTTAAAAGAAAACGAATAAAACACATTTTTATTTTATTTATTTTTCTGTGTTGAAGAATCCCCAAACTTCAACCAAATCTGCTTTGAATGTTTGGCTTCCGGCCAAGAATGTAACTGGATCATTGCTCTTTGGATCCAAGCCATATGAATATGACATCTCAAGTCGAGATGAACAGTTGTTAAATTGGTTATCAAGAACTAAATCGTATTTCCCAAATGACAAAGTTTCATAGCTTGCAATCAAAGCACATGCATCTTCAACACGAGGTTTGAAAGGAATGAATGCGTCTTTTGAAACTTGGAACAAGAAACTAGATGAGTTATCACCAAATGGTTCTCCATTGTGATTCCACTTTGCTGCAGCAAATCCACCGAAAACTTGTGCACCCCGTCTGATCAATAAACATGTAATGCCGACATCATCAATTCGTTGATGCATAACAGGAATCGATCGTCCGTCTCTTTCGCTTGAGAAAAGCAACTGTGTCTGTGGAGTTCCTTTGAATGGGAATGTAAAGTAAAGGTTTGTCCTATTCTCTTCTGTAGTAAGGATCTGGCTACCTTCAAACGGCTTGAAATTGATTCGAATTCCTTTCTCTTCAAGCTTCTGTCGTTTTCTAGATGACATCTGTGATAATGTGACTTGTTTGAGCTTCTGGTGCTTGGATTGGCCTTTGGAAATGAATCCGCCGTTTGTTGTGTATGTGTATGAACGTTCTGTTGGTGCTTCTGATACTGTTGTTGTCTCTGTATGTGTGTAGACATCTGTGTTTCGGAAGTTTTGTTCTTCAACGTCAATGTCGCGCTTATGGACACCTGGAGGGAGTTCAATGAGCTGGCGAGGCTTGACACTGAGAGATCCTGCAAGAGCAAGATCACCTTCGACGTATAAATCAAGAGGAAGATCGATGTCGTGTTTGAAATCTGTTTGACATATGTCATTGTAGGAATCGACTGCTTGAATGAACTGAACTGGTCCGGAGAGTTCTTGGACTGTGTTAAGGAAGCGATTGTAAACATCTAATTCTGCTTGTTTACGGTAAAGTTCATCTCGATTTGAACGAACAATAAGAGCGCGCTTTCCTGATTGTTCTCTGAGGCTGGCGATAGCTTTCTTAGCTTCTTCCATGATCCTGTCTTCAAGGTTGCGTTCGTTAGAAGAAATGTCGTTTAATCGAACGTCTGCATCTCGAAGTTTCTCGGCAATAACACGACGGCGATGAGAGAAGTACTTAGATTCTTTGTTAGTACGCTTGATGGCATCTAAATATGCTTCTGTAAGTGGAATAAGTTGGTGTTTCGAGCAAGCACCTTGTGAATGGTTTCCTGTAAGTTTGCATTCGAAACAAACTGGTAAATGACATACAGGACACCAATGTTCGACCTTGTTCTGTGGATGGAATGGACATTGCTCCATATAACATCCTGCTCTGTTCATTGGAATACGAGTATGCGTATTTAGAACGGCATTTGCAGTGTGTGACTTGTCATTGCAGACGTGGCAAAGAGAGGCGTTGCAATTAACACACCAATACTCGGCTTTGTTTTGTTTGCATAGAGTGCAAAGAGGATCAAACTGTGGACTATGTTCAAGAGTTTCGCCACTTGTAGTACGAATAATTTGAAGAGTTCTGATTTGACGTTGGTTAAAAATCCAAAATTCGGAATTTTCGTTGATTTTAAGAGAATTGAAGCCTTCAAGGATGCAGTCTGGAGTTGGTGTAGCTGTTTCGAACGTATCAGAGTTAGGATCGGAATTAACTAGTTGGAAGTTTTGGACGTTACCGAGAGCAACTAAACAATGAGCAAATTCAAGAACTTTCTGACTAGAATCAACATTTGCATGTCCAATAACAACTTTGAGTCCTTTCCTTGGATTAACTCTCACACCTCTTTCGCAAATATCTGAAATTGGCTGAAGTAATGATGTTAATGGGATGAATGCGTGAACAATATTCTTTTGCTCTAGATCTTGAACGTAATAATTGAAGTCTTGCGCTTTAGAAATTTGAGTTGTGTCATAAATCTCAAGAATTTTCAATCTTGGTGCATCAAGAGTTTGCTGAAGTTGATATTGAATTTGTTTTACGGTGTATGATTCTATGTCGAGAACTGGAAGAGGCAACGACATCTTTTATTTTTGAATTTTTAGTTCAATAACGGCCGGACGTTACATAGTATCACTTATTTTTATGGATTTAGCTTATACTCAGAATAACTTATAATTTATCATGTGAAGTCATTGTCAGGAAATCAATATTTTGAAGAATTTCAAAATATCACTTTTCTAGAAATCATATAGGATTTCAGATATGAGTTTTGCCTATCATAAAAGTCAGTATTGTTATGGATTTAAATTCATAAAATGCAATTTTTAACCTTCAATTGATGATTTTTTTTTCTGGAGTAATGTCACTTTTTAATGTTTCAAGAAAGTGGAAATAGCTTTATATTTCATCTTCGATTTATAGTGCCATTGTCTGCTGTGATATTTGCAGTTTGTATGGTATTTGCCAGAATTCAGGCTTTTCCTGATCCTTATAAAAAATTTGGAATTGGTAGAATTAATCATATCACAAAACCATCGCGAGTATTTAAATTAGCAAGAAAGTATGTTATCGTTAACTATCCAGGCCAAACACTTCCAAATCAAACACATTTATTATCAATTCAAAATTCTTCAATAGATGCTATTATTTTTGACTTCCCAGGACATGATGAACCTATCGATGAATGGGAAAAGAACTTTTCTGAATTCAGAAATCTTCTAACATCCACTTCTTTATCTTTCGGCTTTAAATTACACGATCCAGAACCAGAAAACTTCACAAAAATCATCGATCGCGTAGTGGAAGACTATAGATCTGATCCTTTTTACTTCAGAATCGAAGGAGGAATGTTTTTCGAATATCGTCAGAGAGAAGATAAAAATTATCGCCAACAGCTCAGGAAATATAAATCAGACATATTCCCGTGTGCCATTGTTGATGACAAGAGGTCAATAACTACAGGTTATCATGATGGAGTTTCTTGTTTCATGGCATTAGGAGATCAGAATTCTTACGTTTGGTCAGCAAATCCTTCTAACTGGGGAGATGGAAATAATGCTGTAAAAGGAATGGCTTCAATGTTTGTTCCTGTTGTTATGGATAAATATCGTAGTGCAGACTATAGACACCATCAATACGAATCATACGAAACAGATCTAGACTACCCAGAACCACCGCCACCAGATTTTCCAAACCCTTTACCAGATGATCCCGAAGAAAGAGATAGAGTCATGGAAGAACACGATAGATTAATGCGTGAACACCGTGAACGCATGGAAGAACGTGAAATGAGAAGAAAGAAACGCGCAGAAGAAAAAATGAAAAACTCAGATCCAAGATCTAATTTCAAGTATTCTTTCGATTTCGCGAATCAGGTACAGACGCAAATTATTGCTATTCAAGCAAGCTCTGGAGATCTTTGGATTTCGGATGGTAATTTTACAAATGAAGTCAATAATGTTACTATTGAGTTCAAAAATAAATAAATTGTTAATGTTATAGGTTAATATATTATTATTTTTACTGCTTCCACATATAATTTTCTAATTAAATCTATATTTTCAAATATTTTCAACAAAAACAATGAAATTATGACTTGCCAATAAGTTGAACAATCTTCTCTTTCACAGTATTACTTATTCTTCATCTAATATTTGATAATCATGGATGATTTCATCAATTATTTTCTTTTGTTGGAAATTGGTTTATGGTCTATTGATTTCTGCTAATTAAAACTTAAAACATCAATTAATCGTAGAAATATTAAAAATCGCTCAAAATTAATCTAAATTTATCGAATAATTCATAAAACAAACATTTTTATATGAAATTACTTAGTATTGTAGTTACCATCCAGGTCTGCCGCGTTGAAATTCTTGTTGCATCCAAGGATTTTGTGGGAAATTGAATTGTTGATTAAATGGATGCATTCCAGGTGGGAATGGTGGGCGCTGCAGATTCATCATAGGATCTTGTGGTAATTTGTTCGGTCCATTACTCATTTGTTTTTCAACATCTAAACGAATGAGATCTAAGAATCTCTTTCTTGCTAAAAGGAATTCCTTCCATGCTACGAATTGGCGATATTCGCTTTCTGGAATCTTTACAGTTCCTTCTTTATCAAGATCACAGCCTTGGTAAGAACTCCAGCCGCCCCAGATTGGATCACTTCGCCATGTTTCAGCTTGTTGCTTAATAGATTGTTCTGCAGATTGGCACGCACAGTTTGTATCTCCTGTACTCATTTTTTAAATTTGGGAAACTTCCTATTCAAAATTTTACATTATTTTTTTGAATGGTCTTTCTCAATTTATAGATTCTGAAGTTTTCTTCCCAATATTCCCTAGATTCCCATTTTTCGAGAGTTTTTGATATTGGCGTTAGATTGGCACTAACTATTTGAGATTGATTTTCAATGAATCATAAAAATTTCTAATCATTTTTTCCTTTCTCCCTTAGTAGTATATGTTGAAGGGTTTAGTGACTTTTTTTGTTACGTCTATATATAGATGAAGGTATATTTTCACATCTTCTATATATATAGATGATATAAAAATTTTTTCTTACGTTTTTTAAGTCATGAATTCGTAAGAAAGCGCGACGTTATTAAATAAATTAGTAATAAATATTATATACTAAACACATTTTAAAAAAAATTAACATTAATTTAAAATAATTTATTTTTATCTTTTATAAAAGAAGCTATATATAGATGATGTCAGATATTCCGCGATTAATTAAACATTGTTTAAATCCTGAATGGGTTAAACTTCAATTTAAAAATGAAGATTGTGAATTATTAAATGAATATGAAAGCCAAAATAAGCTAATGAGGTATATAATATAATGATAAAGAATATTTAATTTCATGGAATCAATGGAGTCATAATCAAAGACCTCATAAACGAGAAGAAGAAATTGAAAATAATGAAATGGAAATCATTGATGACATTAAAGAGGATGGAATTCCTAAATTTTGTAGAAAAACCTTTAGAACTAAGTTAGGAGCATATAAACGTAGAGTATTAAATCCTGAATATCTTAAACATCAATTTAAAAAGGAAGACTGTGAATTATTAAACGCTAATGAATATGAAAATGCTAAATCAAAACTGAGATATAAATATATTGGAAGTGATGAAAGGTGTAAAGATAAAGATAAAGTTTATTCAGTTTCATATAATAACTGGCACACGTTAGGGATAAGAAAACATTTAGGAGATTATGGGAAATGTTCTGAATTCTTTAAATCTAGTATATACGAGAGAATAAAATAAATCAGATATAATTATTTTCATGAATAAAAAATAAACTTTAAAAATTCATGTCTTACATTTTTGAATAATTTATTTTTTTAATTCGTAAGAAATGAGTGAATCAAAATTCGTGACTGTGAATCAATTAATGGATAAACTTTCACCAATTCTCACCCAGGTTAAACAAGTAGACGTTTATTTTGATGATTGCGTACAAAGTTTATTTTATAAAGGTAAGTTTAATATTAAACCTATTGCTTTTGCATTTGATGGTAAATTAATCGAAAATTCAAAAATTTGGGAATTAATTCCGGAGATTGAATTTATAACAAATATTAAGGATAAATGGTTTAAACAACAAAACCGCCTCACTAAAGTTCTTTGTAGATTAATGATTAAAACTGAGGAAAAAGAATTTAACGGGTTTAAATATCATCCATGTAAAATTTTAGAACTTGGTAACGAAAAACTTCAGAAAAAATTAAACGAAAGACTATCAAAAGATAAAGTTGAAAGAGTAAATAAACTCGCTAAAGGTAATGGTAATGATGAAGAAGAATTTGATGAGTTCAACATTGAACTTTAAGAAACTAATGATTATTTGAATTTATGAAATCAATTATTTGATTCATTCTTTCTTCAATCTCTTCTATTCTTTTTGTTAAATCATCTATTTTCATTAATGAGGTGATTCTTGATTGAGGAATAGATTTCAAACTAACCACTCCTTTTATTTTTGAAATTTTGAATCCATCAACTTTAAACATTTTATTCAATTTACACGTTGTCAATTCTTCAAATAATTTTTTATTATTAGCATAATAGTCATTAAATTCTTCAACAGATGAAAAAATTTTTATTTCAGTAATTGGTTTAACAACGTTTATTTTTTGTTGAACATTTTCACTTTCATTTATTTCTTCCTCCTCTGTTTCATTTATTTTTAAAATCGGTTTCATTTATCATTAAATAAAAATTAGAATATAAGTGATGAAATATATTTTTTTAATTAATATTAAATCAGAAATGGCGGCAGGATTCTTTAAAAAATTATGGGATGGAATTAAGAAAGCTGCGGGTTGGGTTTATAAAAAGATTATTAAACCCGTTGCAAACTTTTTGACACCAGTAGCGAAAACGGCAGGAACTATCATAGGTGGAGTATTAGGTACTAAAGCAGGTAATCCGGCGATGGGAGCACAAGCAGGTAACGCCGTTGGTGGAATAGCTGAAGGAATACTTAATAAAATAGGAGGTAGATAGTGGAAAAATAAATATGAGATCCTATGGATCATCTCGCCACTTAGCGGCTTAAAATTATTTTTATCTTAGTATCGGTTGTAGTCTTTGATAAACTTTTTCTCCTTTATTTAAAACTTCTCTTATTGGGGCAGCTTTTGGCGTTATTGATTCAGCAACGTCACTAATTGCTTCTTTATTCTTAAATATCCAATTTGCCCCCTTCTTCAATGTTTCCCAAACTTTACTCGCTCCTCTTTTTACTCTATCCCACAGTTTCTTAAATATACCTGCTGCCATAGTTGATTATTTCATTAAAATTAAAAATTCATTTTCATCTTTTAATTTTGATTTTTTATTTATTAATAAATGACGACTAACTATTTGGTGCCAAACACTAAACCAATTAATGGAAATGTGTTTCATTCATTCGAAAAGATAAATGAAATATTCGCAAAGAATGACGGTGGAAGATATTATAGAGAACTTGAAAGTTCATGCTATGACTCTGATGCTCCATATTTTGATGATAAACAAACTCATTTAAGAATTACAAATCCGGCTCATGATGTGAACCAATTAGGTGACACATATATTAAACGCAAAGTTAAAGCAACTCTAGTTTCAAATAAAGCTTTCACATGTGATGCCACTTTTAAATGCATGCGTTTATTCGTTGGTTACAAATCATCAAATCAAAGCTTTAAACAATTAGAAGTAGAAACCGAAAGAGGTGATGCCGGTTATCTTCAGATGGATTGCGCCCGTGAATCTTTCGCATTTGCAACATATAAACCAAAATCAGAAAGGAAAGTTAAAAAGTTTGTTCATTCGTTATATAATAATGTTCAAAAATATGATAACTCAGTATGTGGTAAATATATTGACCCCTCAGAAGTTTTCAAGAGAGCAAATGAAGAAGTTGATGTCACTTTTGATATGATTATTCCGGTAAATGATTTGTTAGCATTTCAGGCGTTCGATGATTATCCTAAATCATTTGGTGATATCATTCTTAAATATTATGTTTTCAGGGATACTTTAGTATTTTGTCAGGTTGACCCGTTAAGAGTTGCTGATTTACAAAATTACGTTTATGAAAAGATAACTGATGAAAATTATGAAAAGATTATGAATCATGTTTATAAATATGATCGCAAATTCCAACAAATCGGACTTCCTGCCAAATTAATTACAAGCTTAGCCGCTACATCTGCTGACGCAACAGTTGATGACGTTATTATTTCATGCACAAAGATGGAAGTTTTAGAGGATAAATGCATTACACCAGGATACGGTTTAATTGAAGAATCAGTTAAGGCAATACCACGTTTATTCAGTAAGGAAGATCCATTCATGATTCCAGCTCAACATATTGACGTTCGTTCACTAAATGGAGGTTGCATCACTCCTGAAGGTATCAGCTCAGATTTCTCATACGCTCTTCATAATGTTACAGATGTTGTGTTAACATTTCCGAAGAATGCAATGCAAAGAACGGTTTTAGAAAATCCAATGCTTCGAGGTCTTCAGGTCACTATAGATTCCAGAAACTTCCCCGATCAAGCGATGACCACAGTGGGCGACATATTCTTTACACGTATGCTTCAAGCTTCTGATTTAGATGGAGTGAATGAATGCACAGAAGAATACGAGGACTCATTAACTAGACCACTGAATGATGATGGCACGCCATTAGCTAGAACATGGAAAGACCAAACTTCATTCTTATGCACTATTCCAGTTCAACGTGATGGAGCGGGTATATTCTTTGATGGATTAGAAACTTTCAACTCACAAGTTACAGTACAAGTGAAAGCTTATCCAATCATTCAGGGTGAAAATGACACTTACTGTTCAAAGGTGACAAATCCTCCTCAGGTTTGGTTTACTAGGACTACATATTGGACATGGACACCGGATGAAGGTTTGAAATATCATCCAACAGGTACACCACCACAGTATAGAAGTTCATATGATGAAATATTGATGAATAGAAATGTTTAAAATTATAAATTTATTTTGATTAAATGGATTTAAATTCATACACTCCTTATGAAGAATTAGCAGGAGTATATAATACATACATAGATGATATGATTAATGAAGCATTGAGTGATAATAGAAATGCTCTATCTAAGGAAAAATTAATGAAAATTCCATATTCTGAATGTTACTTAAATTCAATCACTGCAGCAATTGGTAAACAAAAAAAGGTAAAACATTAACGATATTAAAACAAATTATCATTATTGCTAACACTTCCCTCTATTCACATGTGTTAATTTATATCAACCGTTCAGGTTCACCTTCAGATGATACATTTGAATCTTTAAAGCATTTAATCAAAATTCCAATTATTTATTTATCACAAGAAGAAGCAGAAGATTATTTAAAAAACTTTTTAATGTATAAAGAATTATATAATACAATCAAGAAGCAAGGATTAGAGGATAAAATTATTGATAAACAACGGGATGAATTATTTGAAACACTTTCTATTTCAAATTTTGATAGAGAATTTTTGCATTCACTCATTTTTCTAGATGATGCAGTGAAATCAAAACTAATAACAAATGAGAAATCATATTTTAATCAGTTATTAACTCAATGTCGACACATTCAGTGTTCATTCTTTATGGCTGTTCAATATTTCAAAGCATTAAGCACAAACATTAAATCAAATCTATCAACACTTTTCATTTTCAGTGGGTTTAGTCGTCAACAGTTGAACGTTATGCTTTATCAAGTGAATTTACCAATGAGCATTAATGAACTTTACACACAATATCAGCAATTAGGTGAACATGGAAAAATAATAGTTGATTTAAATAAAGGAAGTGTTAAATTTGATTAACTTTTTATAATTAATTTTTATTTTTTATTTATAATTAAACATGACAGAAATGGCAAATCTTCTACAGGTTCCATTAAAACAAGGACAAACAAAAAGGTGCATATAATAGAACTATGAAAGTTCCTGATGGAATGAAAGAATTAGTTCATATTGTTGCTGGTCTTCAAAAAGATGTTAAACAAATGAGAAACGTTTTAACATTACCAGAAGCTCAAGCATATGCCAAACGTCAAGGTCCAAATTGGGAAGCACACGAAGCAGACATTACGGGTCCAAATGGAAAACCTGATGGTATAAATGAAGTTTTCGTTACTGATGGTCAAGGCAATATTAAAGTCATAAATGGTTACAAATTAACTATAACTGATTATCCTAAACGTAAAGCATATAATGAACGTTATCCTATGCAATTTGATGAAAATGGAAAAGCTGTTAAACAATACATTGGAGAAGGTGAAAATGGTCCAATTAATTCATACCGTTATAATCCATATTCTTATTTCAATGAAGAATTAAATGCTATTGAAGAGGGACCGGATGGATTACCACGATATTCTAACCAGTTTGATGGTCAATATGCAAATATTAGACCTGAAATTTCAGCTAAGAAATTCTTTAAAGTTGCTTTATTCGATCCAGTTTTCGCAAATGGTAAAGATGAACTTAAACATCAATTCCAACCAATTATAGTAGCAAGAATTGCATCAGGTGCTTTATCTCAAGCATTCAAAGATTTAATTAAGAAACCATTATATCAGCAACGAGGTTTAACTTATGATTTAGTTAAGGAATCAGATAAAAGAAAATTTGAGAAATCAGATGATTATAAGAATGCAATTAATGAATATATTAGGTCTTTTAATTACAATGAACCAGCTAAAAATCAACTTCAAGAACAAATACAGGGAATAATAGATTCAAAACTTCCAGCAAAATAAAAGTTTAAATATATTTTTTTATTCGAATATAAATGAGAAGACGTTTCACTAGTCAAAAGAACACTAACGCAAAAGCAGAGATTACGGTTGGTTATAACGTAAATGATGATAAATCACGAATTATTCAAAATGTTAAAGTTAATGTTAGCCCTGAATTAACAAGGTCAGCAACTCAACCAAATTTATTAACTCGTGACTTACCGAAAAAGGAGGAGGAGCAAAATAAAGAAGATGGAGACCCAATCATTTTATCAGAACCCAGTAAAGAACCTGTTGAAATTCCCACTTATCCAACATACCCAGCACCACTTTCATCAAACATCGAGAACCCATATAAAATAGACATTAATTCTGAATTAATGAAAATTTACCGTGATATAATAATTAATAATTATGATTCAATAATAAATTTAATTGACCAATCCGGTTTAATTATTTTACCTTATGAATCATTAATTCACATTATTGCCATTCTTTGTGATGTTCAAGATTCAGACGTTAAGATTCAATTTTTCATAGATGATGAGGTTTCATGCTGCGGAACAGTTGCAAAAATAAATCCTATAAAGGATATTAGCACAATTAAGATATCAAAGAACGGAACAACAACTGAACTTCATTTAACATATAATGATATTTATAATAAAATAGTTGATGAATATAAAATATCACTTGAAAAATTCTTTGTTAAGGCTATTTAATATTCAAGCATTAACATTATCGAATAATAATCCTTTGAATCATAATCAATAATAATTGACCTTTCACCAGTTTCTATCGTTTGTTTTATTTCTTTTGTTCCCCACTATCCGGATCGGTCATTGTAATTGTTTTTGTTATAGTATCAGCTTTATCTTTAACTTCAATCTTTTTTCCATCGGGATATTTAAACCAAAATTCCAAAAATTCGATATTGTCAATCTGTTCATATTTTAATCTATCAATTACATTTTTAATACCATCTGAAAATCTTATGAAATGGTCATTATATGGGTTTGATTGAACTAAATTTGAATGAAGTGAAATATAACCTGTTGATGAATATGACACTGACTCATATTTCTGAAAACACTAAAATTTATAACATGAATGAATTTCTTATTCGTTGAATTTTGAATTCTTGAGGTAATCTTATTCTAGTTTTATTTATCACTGGAAAATAACGCTTTACCATATTTTTAATCGTAATAAAAAATGTCAATTATCAATATTATTTCGAATAATAGCTGTGAATTAAATTTAACAGTTAGCGGAATTTATAATGTTACTCTCGTTTCTGTGAGTGGTAAATTTAATCCCATTCTTTTAGACCCTTCATATTATATATCATTTATTAAAGATGAACCATGAGCCGCATAGCGGCGAGGTCGTAGACCTTGAAAAACGTATGATATGTATATAAATAATGTGATAGCGAAATGGGATATTAACATGATTTTAAGTTATTTAAATGAATCATTTATCGTATGGTATGAAGAAAATTTTAAATCAAAACCTGATAAACTTTTTGAACTTGATGAAATAAATAACCTTATTAAATTTCCGCTGAAAATTAAATTTTGTACTCCTCATCTTCGTTCATTGTTGGGATATTAAATTTTGAAAAAAGATGTTGGGATGTTTTGTATTCTGACACTGGTTCCAATTTCATTTTAATCAAATGTGATAAAGTTAATACCCCAATGAGATTTTCACATCAAACATTAGACCCTAACTCTTACCCATCAATACAAAACATTTTATCCATCAACTTAAACACATTTTCTTTATCATATCCGTTTCAATTATCCGGGAATTCATTTATTCTTCATTCAAAAGATTTATCAAATATTAAATTTAGAATAACTGACCTATTTGATTGTGATTTAGAATTTATGAATGAAATATTATGGCAATTTCAAATAGAGAAAATAGCTGATGAGATAACGGATTAAAATATTTATTTTTAAAATGTTATACAACAGCAACTTAAGGCGCAAAGCGCCCAGGTCCTTCAGACCATTACATACGCCACATATGCATATAATTCAAAGACGGCAGAACAAACGCAAAGGTTGAAATATGGAGATTTGGAGATAGTATTGAAAAATGACCATTTCGAATTCGTTTGCAAAGGTGGTGCAGTGATATCAAATATAAAAGAAATTTTATTTATGAATTCAAAAATTAAAGGAATAACGGATGATATAACATCAATTCCACCAGAAGAACAGAGATATTACGCATTAAATGCATTTCCTAAAGTTTGAAGATTGGAAGATTTAATTTAAATGAGGAATTCATAGAAGGTTTCCTAAATGACATAATGAAGAAGGTGGATAAGGAATACGTGGATAGTGAGTTAATGAAGAAAGCAGATAAGGAATACGTTAATACTGAATTAAATAAGAAGGTAGATAAGGAATACGTTAATACTGAATTAATGAAGAAAGCAGATTTAGTTTATGTTAATACTGAATTAAATAAGAAAGCAGATTTAGTTTATGTAAATACTGAATTAAATAAGAAGGCAAATTTGGTTTATGTTGATGAAAAAGATAATGAAATTAAAGAAAAGGTTGAATTGTATCATGAATGGACATTGGAGACTTTTAAAGTTAAAGCTGATACAGAATGGGTTTCAGGATGTTTAGACCTTAAAGCAGATAAAACTTATGTTAATGATGAATTAGAGAAGAAAGCAGATAAAACATATGTTAACAATGAGTTAGAGAAGAAAGCAGATAAGGAAAAAGTTATTTCATTCATTAATACTGAGTTAGCAAAGAAAGCTGATATATCATTTGTTAATGAAGAAATAAAACAATCAGAGGTCTATTTTACTCCACCATTTTTAAATTTTATGAAATCATCAGATAAAACCTTTGATATAGATTCTTTTGAATGGATATGTTTCGATGGAGTGACCACGTATTTATTTTATACAGCTGGAGTGCTTTATTATTTTAAAACAAATGATTTTAAAAACTATGAATCATTTACTCCATCTGTTTTGAATCCTGATACACGAAAGCCAATCATTAATCCAAGAATTTTATATGTTGAATATAATAACGGTAAATTTATGGGAATGATAACGGTTGGAGATTATTTTTGCCCTTGTTATTCATTCGATTGTATCCAATGGTTCAAATGTAATTTAAATCAAGATGCTAAATTTAAATATCCAAATAATCCTATTAGATGCGTTAATAATAAATGGGTACTAATTTATGAAGTCAATCAAATTTTCATTAGTGAGGATGGGATAAATTATTATATGTTTAGTATGATGTCATCAGATTTGGAAATCGATTATACAAGTAAGTGGTATTACACTAACGGTATGTATTTTATCCTACAAAATGATAAAATTTATAGATCATCTTCAATACCATTTGGTCGTTTTGAACAAATTTTTCAAGCTGATGGAGACATTGAAGCTTTATGTTATGGATCAAATGTTTGTGTTCTTGTTTCAGGTGGTATGGTCTATTCATATCCTTTAAGTTATAACAGACATATTTATTTATCACAAGATTTTTCACAGGATCCAGAGAAAACACCAAGTTGGGAATTGGTTTATTCATTCACTCCAAAACTTACTCGAAATTATAGATTTACAAATTTATTTTATATTGATGGGTATTTCATTGCTTTGGATGTGGTGATTTAGTAAATATCAGTAGTGATGGAAGAAATTGGTCTGAAATCACAAAATTTCAAGATGTTAGAAAAGCAATTTTCAAAAATAATACGTTAATATTGATAACAAGACCAATTTTAATTTCTTACCCAGTTTCAATATTATATAATAAATTCAATATTCATAATGGATTAAATACAATTCTTGAGATGATTTACCCCATTGGTTCAATATATACATCAATGAATTCAACAAATCCAGCTGATGTATTCGGTTTCGGTACATGGCAACAAATAACCGATCGTTTCCTCTACTGTGCTAATAGTTCAAAACAAACCGGTGGAAGTAAAAAGATTACTGGTGAAAATTTACCTGCTCATAGTCATTATGTTAATTTAAACACTCAAGACTCGGGCTGGCATAGTCATACTTATACTAATTCGTTTGAATATCCTGATGGAAATAATGGATTTCCTGATGGATGGTCTGATAGAGACGCTAGCAGGGGTAAATATTGGTATGGTAATAAAAATAGATGGAATGAAGGATATACTTCAAACGGTTCGGGTACACATTCACATAATGTTTCAGGATATACACAAACGACAGGAAGAGGTACAGATTACATGCCACCTTATATGACAGTTTATGCATGGTTTCGCGTTCAATGAACGCTCAATGTTTGTTTCACAAACTTTAGAACGGCATAATTTAAATTTTTATTTTAGTATAAATGAAGATTCTACCATATGGTGTTATTGGAAGAGATAAAGATGGAAACCCAATATTTGATCCAAAGTTAAAATTAAAGTTACTGAAACCAAAACAGAATGAAAAAAGAGAAAAATGAGAAAATGAGAAAGAAAAAAATTTAAATTATGCAATTTTATTTTTATCATAAATGACAAAATTAATTAAGCCAACTATTTCTAAATTAATGATACCAATGAAATCATTTCATGGAGTAATTATCCCAGGTTCTTCACAATTAGCCGGGGCAAGTGTTGTGGCTCAAGGTGGAACATTAGCGAATCCATTCAAATTAACTAAAGATGAACTTAATAAAATGATGATAAAATAACTGATAACAAAATTTTATTTTTATATAAATGGATACCCCACAAGCTCAAAATTTACCACGAATCATAACAAGGGAGGAAATGATAAAAATGATGCAAGAACGAATTAAAAACAACAAACCACGAAAACCGAGAAGATGCGGTTATGCAGTAATGATGGAAAGAAGAACCCAGAAGGGTTCGGCGTCTCGAAGAGACGTTGTCGAAGAGGAATAAAAATTAAATTTGGATTGAGTTTAAAAATTCATCTTTATTAAATTCATCTCTTCCAATCAATTTATTTATTCTATTAAATTCTTTTATTTTTGCTTCACTCAGTTTAAGGATTGAACGGTAAGTTTCTAATTTTTCGATTATTTCTTTCCTCTCTTTATCGTTTTCAATTACTTTAGTTTTATGGGCATCAGCCCCACCGCATTGCGGCTTCTTTTTGTAATAGCATATTTTTGATTTAATTCTGTTTAGTTTCTTTTTATATTCATTGTCTGGACTCTGAATCTTAATTGAATCAGGACTCTTGGCTGCTTTGTTGTCACTCATTTCTTACGAAATAAAAAAATTAAATATTATTTAAATATAATGGAGTAATAAAATAAATCGGAATTTCTATTAATTTATTGTCAACTTCAACTAATGCATTGCCGTTAATATATCTAACAAATTCAGCTATTGTGTCAAATCTTCGTCTTCTTTTTGTCATTGATTTATCAGTTTTTCCATAATCGAGATGAATCAAAACTTTATCCCCTTGTTTAAAATTCATGAGCCCCGAATTAATTTGTTCACGTTTAACATCATTTAACCTTTCCATTTGCTTTCTAATATATTCCCATTCTTTTGAAATATCATTTTTCATTTCCACTGGTTTCATGTTTATAGTTCTATGCCATGTATTATTGTAATAATATACTAACTGCTGTATGATGGAGTCATGATTTCCATCCCAGTATATCTGACCGTTAACCCCTAACGCATCTCTAAGAGTTCTCATTACCGCATCAACTATTTTATTATGAAACGTATATGGAGAAGATGAGAAGTAAAAATTAATTTGTGGGAAATAATGAGCCATAGCTGCCTGAAATCCTTTATCACCATCACCCCTTATATTATCTACTCTTTCATGATCTAGTAAGTATTGAATAGCTCTTCTTGTTTCCTGTTCTGTTTTCCCTTTCACTGGAATGCAATATAAATATCTAGTGTTAATGTTAATGGCAAATAAATAAGTAACGTTTCCTTTTGAATATTCCAGATGATCGATTTCGTATGAATATGGATATGGTGCAAATGAAGGGCGACTAAATTTTTCCTTTAACGGTTGAATTTTTGGGTCAATTGGTTTATTTAATATCTTGAAATCCTTTTTAAAATCTTTTTGCTTCTTTGTTTGAAATGGATATAATAAAGTGAATGATGAAGGATTAACTGAAGGAGGAGGTACTGTCGTTGGAGGTTTTGGTGTTGCAAGTGGTTTAATTTTATCTGCTTTGATTTTGGATGATGAAGTTTTGGATTTCATTCCTCCCTTCATTAATTCTGGATGTATTCTATTCATTTGTTTTAAATATGCTGTATATAAAGGTTTGATATACTTTCCCACTTCGAGTTTATGTTGAAGGATGAATTCCAAAAGTTGATCTTCATTTAAAAGTCGGGCTGAATATGGTTTAACTAATGAATCATAAATTAAAGCTTGTGCTTCATTTATGGTCTGAAGGACCTGGGCGTTTTGCACCTTTAGCTGTTGAACATTTGCTACTTTCTCTTTTGGTGTTGTTTTCGGCTTTTTCTTCTTTTGTTTTTGTTCCTTTGGCTTTTGCGGCTCAGGATTATATAATTTATATAATTCATCAATATCTTCTTCTGTTAATACTTTATTTTTGAAATCTTTCAACTGTTTAAGTTGTGATTTAGTTTTTCCCTTTGTATATTCATTATTTTTAATTTTGTCTTTAATTTTAGAAATTATTTTATCATGATATTTCAAAATTTCATTTTTATAATACGGATAATAATAATCCATATCATCACCCGTTATATTTTTATTATGTTTTTGGAGATATGATTTTAATTCATAATAATTAAGAAAATTTTGATTAAGTACTAAATCATCAATTAAATTTTCTAAATCTGCGTTATCCATTTATATAAAAATAAAATAAATGTTTTAAGGGTGCCCACCTCTTTGAATCATAGTATCAAAACTATTATTTACATATTGAATCGCATCATTAACGGTTCCTCCTTCTAAAACGGTATCAAATGGTGGAGTCCAGATTTCCTGATGATGATCATAAAATCCAGCAAAATTAATCGTATTATTAGGTAAAATATGAATCTCGGCGGTATATCTTCTATCTAAATTTGGATGCCTTATATGTATACCATTACTGCCCGGATAAAATCTCAAACCTTGATTTTGTTGACGCATCAAATTATTGAAATTTCTTTCTTCAGGGGTGAATGTTCTTCTCCGTTGATGCTGTGGTGGCGGTTGTTGATGCTGTGGTGGTGGTCGTTGTTGCTGCTGTTGATGCTGTGGTGGGATTTGAAAAATTCGTTGCGGTTGATTATTTGGAATCTGAAAGTTAAAACTATTTGGTATAAATCTATTCGGTTCCTTTTGTCTTTTCTGTGGCATTTTATTAAAAATAAAATTTTAAATTCATGACTCAACCCCCACGTTTTTAAATTGTATTAAATAAATGGTATACAACATCCATTTTCACAACATACAGCCTTAGTGTGTGCTCCTGTTAATGCAGTCTTACCGATTGTTAAGCGAGTCATTGACCCGTTTTTAAGTTGTAAATTAATATTCTGACCATCGAAAATAACTTTATCATTTATTATATCTAAATAATTTTTAGGTGTTAATTGCTTATTTTGTCGTAAACTAACACCTTTCATTTTTTGTGCAATCTTTTTAAAATCACTTCCATCAATTGAACCATTGAATGATGTATAACACTTAGGGCATAAAGCAACCATGTTATCACCTTGTTTCTCAATTGCTAAACCCAATAACTTCTTCTCATGTGCTTTTTCTTCAGCTTTATTCTTTAATTTAGGTTTAAATTTCTCATCAAAACAGAAGAAATCAAAAGGTGCGAATTTGAAAATGTTTTTATCATAAAATTGTTTATCGGTAACAATTGCTTGAAATGCTTGAGTGTTAGGAAGATTTGGTCGCCAGCGATTGCCCAATAAGATGAATCAGTATCACCTTCAATGAAATGAAAACGATTAACATCCATGCATTTATACATAAAATCATAAATGAAAACTAAATACCAGTATTTGCGTTATCTAAAGTGAAGAATGCCTCTTGTAAACATGTATCACATCTATAAAATCTATCTTTAAGCATCACTTGATATGTATCTCACCTATTTCTCTTATGTTTTTAAACTTATTTGACATACATGCAACGCGTGCCTTCTGTGCATTCATTATTTTAGTCTTTGCGTAATTTTGTGTATTCATTGCATCGTAACCATATGATCCATTAAGTGAAATCTTGCAAAATAAACTTTTTCCTTTATTTCCTTCTAATTCAGCCTTTTGTCTTTCGTTCATAAATTCGTTCGCAAATTCATTAAAACAAGTGTTTTTCGTAAATGTTAAAATTGATTGAATATCATCGATGATAAAATGAAATCTGTCTATTAGATACCAAAGATAATAAGAAGAAAATGGTTGATATTGGTTGTGTGTTGATGCTAACTGAGTTAATTTCCTCTGTCTTTCTGGTCAACTGGTAGATTGTTTGATTTCATGTAATTATACATAAAACTGCCAATTGTTTTTTCATCTGTGATAATATCTAAGTTTCTTATTATCGGTAAAAAGTTTATGTAATCATTAATGTATTTTTCATCAATGTGACCCTTTACTTCAGCCACGAATAAAGTATTTTTCTTCTTAATTCCCAGTGCTTTTGCTTTCTTTGTTGCTGTATCACAAATGATAACACCATTCAATCTTCCCGGCATATACATTTTATGGTCAGTATATTGAATGAAATCATGAGGATTAGATGAAAATGATGAAGGATATAATGAATTAAAATCAACACCAACGAAATGAGTCATGATGTTGGTGGTGTCCTCATTTGATACAGTTTTAGTTTCTGGACTATATGAAAGTTTATTAATGTGCGTGATTCCTTTAAGATTACACGATGTTGAACATTTGATAGACCACCAGTAATTCCATTACGGAGAATGTGATAAGCTTCAACTGAATCTAAAGTCATTGGTAAATTATTTTTTAATGCATAATTTCTTAAATTGATTCTTAAACGTTGAACATCTTCATCTTTATTTGATTTTACGACATTGCAATAACAACACATTAACTGACAATTTTCTTTGGTATGTGGTTTTTCATTATCGATTCTATCAATGTTGGTTTATTGCATATGTAAACGCTTTACCACACATTTTGCATTTAGATGAAAGGATTAAATCGTGATAGTATTGAAAATCATCCATTGAAACATTATTTTTAGTATCCTTTCTGCTTTTTCATCTTGTTTCTTATATGATTCAATTTTATATTTCCAATACTTTTTCGTTAATTCAAAACTTGATTCTATCTCTTCCTCAGGATATTTTTCATTAGGATTAAAGTCTTTATATGCTAAAGCGTAACGAATCATTGAAGCATTCGATGATAAAGAAAGATTATGAAGCATATCAATTTTATAAACAAATGTTTCTTCAATAATTTTATCGATTGGGTCAATCATAATTTCAACATCTTTATTGCAATAATGAATAAAATATTCTAATCTATTCTTAAAATTTTTAGCATCATTGAGATATATTTGATAATCACTATCTGATATAGTTTCTTGAGTTAATGCTGAATAAAATGAATCTTTCGTGAATGGTTCCCTTTATATAATTCTTCTTCGTAATTCTCCCATGTGATGAATTGATAAGGGAAAAAGGATTTAACACGTGATTTATTGTTTCCGAAATCTTGAGTGAATTGGTCTAATGTCCCACCCGCTATATAATTTCTGATGTCAATAAATCTCAATTCATATGGAGCGTTTGTTTTCTTTACAATGACTTGCTTAAATTGAGAAGAAGAACCCAGCATTGATTTTATTTTCCATTTTGCAGTGTTTAAATCACGAAGAATTAAATTTAAATCAAACTTTCCCGAATTAAAACCTATGATATTCACTTTATTGAATTCCTCATCTAGAAGTTCTTTAAATGCTTCCTTCTGTTTTTCATTTAATGTATGGGACAAAGTCCCCGCCGTTTGCGCTTCAATAATTCATTGTATTGACTCATATTTGATTAGCAACTAATGAACAGGTTGAAAATAAAAACTCAATCCAATCAGAAATAAAAGAATCACTCGAAGTTAAGCAAAAATTCCTCGTATATGTTTTATCATTTAATTTAACCGTTGATGATACCATGAATGGTTTTAAGTAAGCGTTCAAAGTTGCACACTCAGAAAGTTGTAATTCTTCTTTAGTCTCTAATGTTTCAAAGTCAAAAGTAATATAATATCTTGTCGGTTTATAATATTTCTGCAAATTGTGAGCTAATAACCACTGATATATCTTCTGTTTCGTAATATGTGGTGCATATGGTTGCTGGTCTTTTGCAATTGAACGTCTTGAATTAATCTTCCATTATTTTCTTTACATTTCTCACAATGCTTTAAAAATCTTCTTTGGTTTTTCCTTTCTGGATCATCACGGATAGAATAAACTTCTTCTTTACAATATGGACAAACTTTATAGCCGGTGAGTGCTTCAACGTCTGTTATTCTGTCAGCGTGAAGTTTTCCACATGGACTCTGTGTTAATAAAATATTTACTGTTTCAAATTCTGGATCTATCATTATTGATTCCACTAATGGAAAGTCTACCTTATTTATGTCCACGTCTTCTGGTTGAGGATCACAATAATAGAAATCAATATTAACATTTAACATTCTCGCTAATCTCTCACTTTCTGATGAAATGTCAAACCCTTCATATGCATCTATTGCTTCATTTAAATAGCTTCTACGAGTTTTAGGATTAACACCATCAGGAATGTTATAGAAGCGTTTAAATAACCTTCTACCTTCTGCTCTAATTTGATTATCATTCATTTTAGCTGTTCCGTTTTTGTTCATTTATGTAAGAATAAAAAATTAAAAAATAAATAAAAATAAAGTTTATTTTTTAAAGCCCATAAAATGAATTAAGAACACATAAATTTTTATCATCTGCGACGTGACGAATACATTTTAATTTACTCAAGAATGCGTACCCTGATACATTAAATCTAATTCCTGTCTTATTTAATTTCACAACTTTGAAAAGGAATGTATGAATAGCTATAAAATGATGAGAAGATGTTTTATGGGTTGCTTCCATTTTTTCTGAAATAAATGAATAAATATAATGTTTATAAGTTTTCATATCTTTTATGTTCTTAATAACGAATGGTATAGACCTTTCACTTCGTCTTCCTTCGGTGCTGTTCTTTCATATGAAACATTATTAGTATCTTCAACAATGAAACCGCAATCACATAAAATTTTATAGGTTCCAATGGTTTCTTTTGATATTTTATCTAATAAATCAAAAACTTTATCAACACCTGTGCATTTATTTAAATAATAATTTGTGTAAATATCATGATCTTCTTTCTTAATCGTATTAGTTGCATATGTCACGTTTTTAAGAGCTTTTTTGAATTTTTCGGAATCTAAAGGTGGTGAAAGAGATACAGGGGTATTCTTCATTATCAATAAATTGTAACTTATGTTTACGAATAAATTTAGTACCTTCTTCTGAAAGTGTTTCGTCTATTTCACCATCTAATAAATTTTGTGTTGATTCTGAGACATAATTTTTATATCTTTCTTCATGAGATTTCTGAACTTCTGATTCTGAAGCTGGGATATTCATTAAACCCTCTACTTCATTTTCATTATATTTTTCAACTTCTCTTAATTCCTTAATTTTTTCATCTATTTCATCTCTTATTTTTTTCAGTCTTTCAATTTCATTGTATTCATCATCTTTAATCCGTTCTTCATAATATTCAGGGAAAACATCAGGTTCTTTAGGTTTTTCTTCTTCAGATGTGGGATATAAGAAATTTATAACATCATCTTTATTCATTTTTCCATCATAATCTAAATTATTTAATAACTCCGCGAATTTTTGACAATTTCTTAAATAATATTTATTAACTTCATAACCTACCTCCTCTAATATATCCTTTATTTCCTCGTTTGTGAATCCTAATTTTTTCACGTCGTTAGTCTTGACACTCATTTCATACAAAATAAAAAATAAAATAATAAACATAACTAAGTTTTAATTTTTCGTAAGACATGAATTTTTAAAGTTTTTTTTTATTCATGAAAATAATTATTTCTAATTTCTTTTACTCTCTCGTATATACTAGATTTAAAGAATTCAGAACATTTCCCATAATCTCCTAAATGTTTTCTTATCTTATTGGTTTTCCATTCATTATATGAAACTGTATAAACTTTATCTTTATCTTTGCATCTTTCATCACTTCCAATATATTTATATTTCAATTTTGATTTATTGGTTTCATATTCATTAACGTTTAATAATTCACAGTCTTCCTTTTTAAATAAATGTTTTATGTATTAAGGATTAACAATTCTATAATATTGCTTCCCTTTAAATCTTTGAATATAAACAGGAACACCATCCTCTAAAATTCGATAATCTATTTTATCTGGTTTTACTTGTTGGGTCATTTATGTAAGAATAAAAAATAAATTATTTTAAAAATAACTTTAATTTTTTAATGGTTTATTTTTTAAAAAATTTTTATTTTTTATTGCATTATGTATGGGCTGAGTGTAAATGTCTTACAATTTTGAAAATTTTTTAAATCTTGATTTATTCAAAAACGTAAGAATAAAAACCGTAAGAATCATACATTTTTTACTTCATATGTTAAAAAAATGATACAAAATCGCTCGATATTGTATGAATTCTTACGTTTACAAAAAAAGTCACAAAACCCATCATATCCTACTACTGATGATTCAACCTGGCAAAATGTAAGAATTCCACACGACTGGGCAATTGAAGGTTCATTCGATCATAACAACGATATGCAAGACCTTTTAATTGAAGCAAATTTAGAAGTAGAACATTCAATGAAAACAGGAAGAACTGGAGGATTACCATATATTGGAGTTGGCTGGTATAGAACTAACTTCAAATGCGATGTTTCGAAGAATACAACTCTTTTATTTGATGGAGCAATGAGCGATGCTCACGTTTACTTGAACGGCGAGTTAGTTTGCAACTGGCCGTATGGGTATAACACATTTTACTGCGATATTACTAATCATATCAATAAAGATGGTTCAAATAATTTATTAGCCGTGAGATTAGAGAATCTTGAGCAGTCATCACGTTGGTATCCAGGAGCAGGTCTCTACCGTAACGTTCACTTGATCCAATTCGCGAATACCCACTTGCAAATCTGGGGAAATACAATTACAACCCCTTCAATAAAAAGTGACACTTCGGATGTCACAATTAAATCAAAAGTATACCATGAAGAGAAAATACCAACAGCTTCTATCAAAATTATTGATCCAAAAGGCCAACAAGTTGAAATAACACCGAATATACAATTTAAAGATATTAATGAAAATGTCAGAGAATTTGAATTCAATTTCACAATCCAAAATCCACAGTTTTGGTCTCCTGATACTCCCAATCTCTATTTAGCGCAGTTATCAGTTGAAATAGATAACGATGTCGTTGATTATTTCGAAGAAAAATTCGGAATAAGGAAAATTGAATTCAAATCACGATCCGGATTTTATTTGAATGATGTCAACATGAAATTCAACGGTGTCTGCATCCATCATGACCTAGGACCACCCGGATCAGCTGTAAATAAGAAAGGATTGCGTCATGAACTCGAATTACTCAAAGACATGGGAACAAATGTGATTAGAACATCGCATAACATGCCTGCACCAGAACTCGTTGAATTGTGTGATGAATTAGGATTGATGATGATGGTTGAGAGCTTTGATGAATGGGATATTGCTAAATGCAAAAATGGATATCATAGATATTGGAAAGATTGGGCTGAGAAAGACATAATTAACATGATATAACACTTCAAGAATCATCCAAGTATTATTTTGTGGAGTGTCGGAAATGAAATTCCTCAACTTTGTACAGAACAAGAAGTAAAAGCTGTCAGACAATTAGTTGAATGGTGCCACAGAGAAGATCCTACAAGAAAGGTAACATGTGGTGTAAATCAACCTGATTGCTCTGTAACAAGTGGTTTTTCATTGGCTTTAGATGTTCCTGGATTTAATTATCATCCATGGATGTATGAAGAACTCATCGAAAAACTGCCTCAAGGTTTCTTAGTGGGAACAGAAACAGGATCAACAGTTAGTTCTCGCGGTGTTTACAAATTACCAGTGATCAAAACAGTTTTCGCAAACTACCCTGATCACCAATTGAGTGGATACGACATGGAAGTGACGTCATGGTCTAATGTTCCTGAAGATGACTTTGTGAATGTTGATGACAATGACTGGTGCATAGGACAATTTGTTTGGACAGGTGTTGATTATCTTGGAGAGCCAACACCTTATGATACAGAAGGCTGGCCATCGCATTCTTCTTATTTCGGATGCATTGATTTGGCTTTTATTCCGAAAGATAGATATTATATCTTTAGAACTGAATGGAATAAGAAAGAACATACATTACATATGTTGCCGCATTGGAATTGGGAAGGAAGAGAAGGCGATGTTGTCCCTGTAATGGTTTATTCTGATTATCCATATGTTGAATTGTTTATTAATGATGTTTCTTGGGGTAAACTCTGCAGATCGAATACTTCAAGACAAACAAGATATAGATACAGTTGGATGAACGCTGTTTCTCGACCAGGAAAGATTAAAGCTGTTGCTTATGATGAAAACAACAACAAGGTTGGTGAAGTGCAGATAAATACTGCTGGAAAACCACATCATATCGTTATGGAAACGAAACACACGAAATTAGTCGCTGATGGAAAAGATTTGGCTTATATCACTGTCAGTGTCGTTGATGCCGACGGGAACTTGTGTCCAAATGATAACAGAGAAGTATCATTCGTAGTGAAAGGAAAAGGACACTTCAGAGCTGTTGCAAACGGAGATGCTGCTTGTTTGGAACCATTCCAGAGACCGAGAATGCATCTCTTTGCTGGAAAACTCACTTGTATCGTTGAATCTGAAGAAGAACCAGGCCAAATAGTTGTAGTGGCAACAGCAAAAGGTGTCCAGAAAGGAACTATCACTATTACTTCTGTTTAAATTTTCTTATTATATGTAAAACATTATTATTTAAAAAAATAAATAATTTAATATGTTTATTATCTAAGATTTAAACCATCAAAAATGCCTGCAATTAGTGTTCTTAGATTTTGTATTATAACCTTAGATTTAGTGTTCAAAAAGGGTTTTATATGGGGTGCAAAAAACTCGCAAAAAATAATTTGATATGAAGTTTTTGATTCCGTTTTATATGAAATTCCAATTCCTATGTGATATTAAAGAATACATCCCATCAAATAATGGTTCTGATTATAGCAATTCATAAGGAATGATTGATCACCTCATCATTCATAAAATAAGCATGTGCATATTAAAATAAAAAGTTTTTTGAAATAAGAATTTTACTAATAATAAACAAATAAAAAAATATCAAAGTTCATCATTCTTTTCTTGCTTTTCTTCAAAAGTACTTGCAAGTTTATCCAATCCAGGCCATTCTTTAATTCTTTCCTTTGCAATCTTCAGTTTTGGAGCTTTAGTCAATGGATTGTTGCACAAATCGATTGTTTTCGCTTTATCCATTGTTTCATCACTACACCATGTTTCACACCACAGCCATTCCTGGTTTAATGAGTAAATTCCAATTCTTTCCTGAGCGTAATTTGGCAAATCCTGGTCCAAATTCGCCAAACTTTGGTCATCCAAGACCAATGAATTATAATAATCTCTCAACAATTCACCAGCTTTCATCTCTCTAAATCTCTGCAAATCAGTTACGAACAAAGCAGAAATATGATATTTCTTTCCTTGTAAATGTTCTTTCCAATATCCTTGATGCCAAAATCTGAATGGTTCTGTTTCTTTTCTGCTGTCACACATTGGAGTAAATCCATAAGGATTGTTATGCAAATCCATTGTCATTAGTTCCCTCATGTTTGTTCTAACAACTTGGTCTGCATCGATATAAATAACTTTGTGAAGAGAAGCAGGGAACAAAACATCCAAAAACAAAATTTTGTTTCCCCAAATAACTCTTTGTTTCTCTTCTTGTCTCGTAATGAAATGCGGCCAATGATAACTAACAAGCTCGTATTCAAAGCCAATCTCCAATGACATCTTTTGAAGTTCTGATCTGAATTTTGGAGACAAATAATTTTTAAGTAGCCAAAATTTCGTTGTTGAATTTTGACTGTTTTGTTTCACACTCAAAATCATGATTTTCATCAATCTTTCGTACAATCTGCCCGAACAAACACCAAATACATGGATTTTTCCATCATCTACGTATGGAAATCTTTGAATTTTTGATGTTTTTCTCTGAATTCTGACTGAAAAATGTCTCCAATTAAAAGAATCGAAAACAATTTTGTTTCCTGACATTATTTCGAAGTTTCCTTTCGAAAAATCAGAGAACAAACTTATATCTAATATAGTTGGAAATGTCGTCTTTAACTGGAAATATCCGTTATTTGACATAACCGTCGTATCTGATTCAAAAGATTTAATTTGAACATTTTCTGACGGATTATTTTGCAAATCATAAGAAAATCCTTCTACAACCAGATAAGAAAGGACGTATTCGAACTGATATCTATAACCATTTTGCAAATCACTTCCTAAAACATTGTCAACATCGCAATCAACTCTGTTTTGTTCGACCATCCATGTTTCGGGAGTTTCTAACAAAATTGAATAAATCATTGAGTTGTTAAATGATGACAAAAGTGCTCTTTCGTCTGTAACATACCTATAATAACTCTTTGGTATCTTCAAATCACGTGTTGATGGACAGATGTGAAGTGAAATTCTGCCAAACGATAAATCAGAAAAGTGACAAAGAAAACCGATAATTTTCTGACCATTTTTCGTGAATGGATCAATTACACATTTTACTTCCAATGATTTCAATTCTCCGTCGATGTTTAAAGCGAATTTTTCATCAGGATTGAACTCATTTGGATGGAAATGTTTGATTTCTATTTCTCTTTCATTCAAAGACAACAAATACGATGACCAAAACATCAGAAGATCTTCATCTTCAATTGTTTCAGAGAGTTGTGATGATAGAAGAGACTGCCATGAGAATAAGTCATCGAAATACTCAAATGACTCGTTGAAATAGAAGATTCTTCCATTCAAAAATAAAACTGCATCGTTGTTTTTGTTCAAAATCTCTTGTTCAACTAAAGAAGGAAATTCTGAAACAAAACTTAATCGAACTGAACTTTGATGTCTTGATTTGAAGAATTCATCAATTTTTTCTTCAATGCTCGCTTTGTTATTGTAGATTTTAAGCCAACATGTAACTAACGATTTTTCTTCGTCACGTTTTTGATAATTGATACTTTTTGAAAATTGAATAAACTCTTCAATTTTTTCAATTTTTTCTTGGGAAATTTTTGTTGAAATTGGTCTGATTTTTGATATTTCTGGAATGAGTCTTTTAACTGCATGTCTCTTCCTCAAGATAAAAGACAAATAATCTCCGGAAATTTCATTTTCCATCAATAAATTTCTGAGTATTTGTAAAGTTTCTAATGGTGAAATAGAAATTTTGTCTTCTAAGTCATTTCCTGTGTACAAATCACCATTTGTCCATATGGCAGTTTCATTGATATTTGATGCCTCGCAGAAACTATCGATCAAACTTATGTATTCTTCGGATTCTTCAGAAAAATCTTCGGAATATTCCTTTTTAGTAGTCTTTTCATAGGCGCTCTTGATGGAATCACCTTTAACAAGTAATGAAACATACTTAAATGGGTTGTAATTTGTAAAAATATCATAGAGAGCTTTAATTTGATTCTCATTATTGTTTCTGTGTAACGGAGAGAGGCCAACTCTCATGGCATATCCTTTTTCAAGTAACTTATGAACCTCTAGTAACAATTTCATGTCTTTTGACGAAGATGGATCGATAAATAAAACCATATTTACCAAATTATGACGAACTTTCGGCGGTTCTGTAAGTTTTCCAAACAATGAATCGATTTTTCTCGAGTACTTTGAGTATCTTTTGTCTGTTTCGAGGTTATTTAGCCAAATAATGTGATCTCCGCGAACATCAATGACAAGATTGCTTTTACGTGTTTCTGTTTCCATTAGAATGTTCGCTTTTTTAGGTGTGAGGCCAAATTTTTCTGTTAAAATTTTTTGAATTTTTTGAATTTCAAAAATTTGTGAGGAAAATGTGAAAGGATCGAATGTTTCGAAAGGAATTACTCGTCCATTAAGTGTCATGACACTTTCTGAAATCTCTTCCTCTTGAGAATTCTCATCAATTTTAGATTGATAAACTTTTTTCATCGCAATTGGCCAGTTTTCAACAACTTCCTTCAATTCTTTGAGAGGATCTTCAGAGTTCATGATATATGATTCTAAATGCTTGTAAACTAAATTATCAAAAGTTACTTCTTCAGATTCTTCGAATTTCTTAATATATTCATATGATTCGTCATTTAAAATGCTAAGTGAACCCTTTTGTAGCTGAGATGGATCTTTTACGCCATATTCCATTGAATATTTAAATGGTCGCAATTCCACGCCATATCCATTGAGGATTTGTGGGTTCTTATCGGGATTTAACTTTGTAATTGGTCGAATAATAGTATTTTCTGGTAATTTGACCGGAGAATTGAAGTCAATATATTTAATATTTTTGTGATTTGGTTCAAAATCGAATGTTTCAGTTGTAAAATTATCTTTTATTGTTGAATAAAATGCAATTCTTGGAGAAAATACATGATATTGAAGATTAAATTGTAAAAATTTTTGATCTGATTCTGACAAACATGGTTTAAAGCTCTGAATATTTTCTTCTATTGAATCTGAAAACTTTTCTAAAGAATTTATTTGATTTACGGCACATTGATATTGATCTTTCTTAAATTCGCCGAAAAAACAGAGAGATTCTGCTATTAATTTGGTCTTTTCCCATTTTGCGGTCATAGAAACATCAAGTTGTTTCTCGATTTCTTGTGAGATTGAAAAAGAGAAAAGAATTGAGAAAAACATTAATGCAAAATGAATATTCATAAGAAAGAATGTTAAAAATTAGCTTGATTAAAATAGATATAACTGGTTAAAGTTCATCCGTATTAAGAAATTAAAAAAAAATTATATTAAATAAAGTCATGTGATCATAGGATATGCATCTATGGACATATTTTGTAAAAAATTTATACAAAATATATACTTTATTTTGATACAAACATCTATATTTCTATATTAAATTAAAGAGAAAGTTCCCATCAAAGGAGAACCTTTGTCATATATTGAAATAACACCTCTGTAGTTCGAACTGATAACATTAGAGTACCAAGGCAAAAATCTTGAACAAATTTCTTGGTAATCTTCGTATTTCGTAAGTAATTTGAAGAGCTCAGCATCTTTTGAAGCCATATCTTGTAAATTCAATATAAAATTTGCACAATTTGCTGTAGCTGCGCATCTAACCCTAGAAGGTGCTTCTGCGGCAAGAACTGGTAAGACCATGTCCAATGTTGGTTGAGTAAAATTCTTAATTTTAACACAAGATGTAATTAAACGAAATGCAGCTCCAAGTAAATTAGAAGAATCAGGAACGATCGCAAGTAAACTAATTATTGATGATAATAATTGGTTGACTGATTCAACTGTAAAACTTTCAACACTTCGTCGAATTATTTTTGAAAGAAAGTCGAAAGAATAGGCTAAAGCAGCTGTAGGTTTCATGTATGTAGTTGTTATTAGATTTATAGCTTGCGGTATGATATTTTTCATTGTTTGGACATTTTTTGTACAAACTACTGCATTTACTGCTTCCCATAACTCATTTTTGATTTCTTCGATTCCTGATCTAAATATAAGCGCTTCACATACTTCATCAGAGCAAAAAGATGGCCACATAATTTTATTATTTGCTCCATGAGAAATTAGACGTAGCATGCATTTTATAGTTTCAAGATTCTCATGTTCTCGAAGTATGCGAACGATATAAGTTGTAAGTTTAGTTTCGACTAAGAACTCTTGAATTACTCTTAATTCAGAGTCTTTTTTGAAAATTTCTTTGAAAAGATCGTACACGCCGGTATTATCTACGAATTCAAGCAAATTATATAGAAATCCTGTTGATTCGTGGCAGGCGGATGGACATTCTGTTAATAAACAAAGAAAAATTGTAGAAAGCCGACTTATAACTGCTGGTTTATCCTTGTCGTTCATGATTGCTTGAGTTCCGAGGCAAAATAAAATGTCGTTTTCTGTTAATGCTGATATGAGTAGCGGATTTGGTTTTGTAAATAATAAAAATGCTTTATGTCCTTGTTCTGTTAGCTCTGGTGCTAAAATGAGATTTAAAATCTGTTCAATATGAGTGGCCAAGCTGTTTGTTAGAAAATAAATAGAACAAAGTTGCTTTTTTATCAGAATAAGACTTCACTGCTTTACTGACTTGCAAATCCTTAAAGAATTGATCGAATTCATCTATAGGATCCTTTGCAGGTTCAACGGAACTCATAATAATGGCAGTTAAAATCTCCTGTCAAATATTCAAAGGATAAAAATTTTGAACGCAATCGAAGAAGATTCAAATTACATGTCAAAAAAAAAGCAATTCTAGAAATCCAGATGAAATCAGTTGGTTATATGGATCTGATGGTAAGGCATCCCGAGATATGTAAAAGCGTTGCTTAAATCACCTTTGAAAATGAATTTGAATCAAGTAAAAATGAAGCACGATACATGTGTTTGAAGCAATGAAATGATTTTCTATTATATATGTAATATTATTATACAATCCCATCAAGATGATTGAGCTTGATATCAGAATTTAGATCGACTAATACCATACGCGTGTAATCTAACGCATTTTCAATTGGAATATATACTCTCCAAAATGACTCTCCATGAATTTTCAAATTATTTAATGAAACCCTTTAATATTATTATCATTATTATTAGATAAACGTTACACTTTATATATTTGTCAATGAATGTGTTCTTAGGCATACTAAGGTAGTCACAAAATCTAAGTAGTGAGGCTCTCAAAAATTGAACCGTACTCCATACAAAATTTGTGTACCCTCACTACTTAGATTTTGTGGCCTTCAATTGAGAGGTTAGTTTTGATAGAGCACGTTATAAAATTAAAAGGGAAAAATAAATAAAATTTAAACATTTAATTATATATAATGTAAGGAGTGTAATTCCAAATTTTCTAAAAACTATTCAAATTTGAGCATTTTTTTGGAAATAGTAAATCTAATATGTACATCTAATAACAACATGATTCATCACCTTTTCAAGCTCTGCAGTCAATTTTTTGAAATTTGATTGAAATAAATGTAGCAAAAATTACATTTCATTAGGGAATATATGAGTTTCTCTGGAAACAGGCTGATAAATTTTAAATTTTGTCCAATCAACATGAATGCATTGAGAAATTTGGATTGATTTTCTGGTAGAATCTGGAACAATTCAACCATGTATAAATGGATCATGTAATCATCATGAAATGTTAGTGTTAGAGTTCAAAAGAAACAGAATGAGTGGAAATCAAACACAATCTGAATAATTTTAAACGTATACAATCTTTAAGTTTGTATTTTGAATTCTACATATATGCTTGTGTAATTCGTTCTTTCAAATTTTCAGATTCAGGCATGTTTTGATAAAATTCATTCCCAAAAACGTCAATTAACAATTAAATTTAGTGTATTTTAAATATATATACGTATTATATTTTATAAATTATATTAAATTCGCAAAATTTTAAGTTTTAAACAAAAATAAAAAATGTTCAAAATATGAAATTATGCATAGGATATTAAAATTTACATGTTAGCAATTTTTTTGAATTGCTTTCAATTTTCATATTGAAATTTTTTAAGATTTTTTTCTGAAATAATAAGCAAGAATATCAACCTAAATAATATTAAATTCCATGCGTTAATTTCCCCTCAAAAGTCATTGACCGCCTCTCAATCTAGATTTTGTGAGTACTTTATATATTCTTTTCAGAGAAATTTCATAATTAATCCGTGTAAATATCACAAATAATTTCGAAATTTTAAATTTTGGATTGCGATCTCATCAGTATGAGATTGTAATAAAATTTATTTCAGGTTAACAAATTTGTATAGAAACGGTTATTTATGGTTTACTATTCAATGAAAATCGTTATCCAAATGCACTGTAACAATTATAATCGGCCATGGTTTAAAATTTGACAATCTTAGAATAATTGAATTGAGTAAAAAATGAGAATTGTGAATGAAATTGATAATATATTTAAGATTCAATTTAGTTGCGAAAAATTTCTTCCAAAATAAAGTTTATAAAAATTGAAATAACTCACAAAATTCTAAATAATCCTTTAAAAGAAAAACGTAAATATAGTATCATATATTTATGATTTCCTTAAAAATACAAATTTCTGACATTAGTTTCAAAACCCAAAATCAATAAATAAACCACGGAATCTAAATAGCATAATGAAATAGACCAGTCATTCGAAACTTATTAAAGTCAATAAAAAAAATCTTGATTTCAATAAATAAAAAAAAATGAAAGTTTGTAATATATAAAATAATCAATTAATATTTAAGAAGAGGATGAAGATGAGGATGAGCTAGATGATGAGCTGGATGATTTCTTCTTCTTATGTTCTGGAGCTGGTGGTGGTGGCGGTGGTACTGCATAGCCTTGTGGTGGTGGTGGCGCGTATCCCTGTGGAGGTGGTGGAGCGTATTCTTGTGGTGGTGGTGGAGCGTATTCTTGTGGTGGTGGTGGAGCATATCCTTGTGGTGGTGGTGGAGCGTAGCCTTGTGGTGGCGGTGGAGCGTAGCCTTGTGGTGGCGGTGGAGCGTAGCCCTGTGGTGGTGGAGCGTAGCCAGCGTTAACATTAACAACAATTGTCTGGTCTCCGGTTTGATTATCTTGTGTCTTATTCTTTGGAACAACAATGAATCCTGCATAGCCTTCGCCTGGAAGTGGTATTCCATTACCTTTCTTAAGCTCACGGTTGTGTTGGCACTGTGCGAGATCGTGGCAGCACCATAAAGTGCAGCAATCGCCAACGCAGTTATATTCGTAGTTCTTCCGCCTTCTAATTGTTTGTCTGATATTAAATTCAGTGAAATAGCATAAGCATTGGCGGCAGCAATCTGATCTACCTTCAATTAAAGTTGCATTATTACAATGAAGGACCCATGGGCAGAAGCAACCTAAGCAGCAAGAGGAGGTGTCATCCATACATTCCCAAATAGATGTCGAGAAGTCGTTAGACATTGAAGAGTTTATTTTTTTTTATAGTCAGAAACAAAGTATTGAATTTTCAGAAACACATTAGTTATCTATAGTTCATAAAACGATTAGATAATATCAATCACTATGAAAAGTAATATTTATTTGCTATTCGTAATTGAAAGGTATTCAAAATAGAATTAAGGATAAAAATTATATTTATTGCAAAAATACAAAATACAATAAATTTGTTCCTACCTTGCTCTTGACTTGTAAACTTCTGAAAATCCTTTTGGTTTTTGAAGAAATTCTTTGAATTTAATGCAATCCATTTATCATTGTATAATGATCATATTTTATTTGAGGAAAAATCATGACTTTAAAAAATTCTGAATAGACGTTGTGGCGATAGAGAAACGATAGAGAATTTGAAGAGTGGTTTTTGGCAAACATGAGAAGCCAATAATAAGTGTAACTCAGAAAATTGAAACAGTAACCATATTGAGGCTTGCCGATTTTGTACAAAGACCATAGCATTCAAATACGAAAAAAAGTAATTAATTAATTAATCATAAGAATTCAAATGGAGTTGTTAGCCAAAAAGTGTATAGCAGAAAAATGTGTGTGGTAGAAATAAGATTTAAACATATACTAACAATGGTATAAAATTTATTTAAAAAACAAACAAACATAATAACATTAAATTAAAACTATTTGAATTACTGATAAATGCTACATCGATCAAACAAAGCAAAGCATAATTGAGCAAAAAAAAATATAATTTTTTTGAAAAATTAAGTAAATTTTCCAAAAAAAATTACATATATAAATGACCGATATCATGATAATTATTTTTGATTGAGATTCAAATTAATTCACCAAAAAAAATTAATTTGACTAAAAAAAATCAAAAATTGAAAATGATCAAATCATTGATTCATTAACTGCTTGAACTGTGGAGATAATATAACGTCTCCATAATTTGCCCTGTGGAGTAATAATTTGGCCTGGTCGTAAGTATCTCCAAAAAGTCTTGATTTCTCGATAGCTGGTGCGCATGCCAATACTGATACGTTTCCACCGCAATGGATTACTATTTTTATCTCATTTTTATGGTTTTCGTAAATATTCTTCAAAAGATCAGTCAAAATTTTGGATTTTTCTGGTTCACAAATTGAAACTATCTTTCTAAATCTTGTATCTGCGACATTGACTATTTTTTCCAATTTGCCACATATCTCTTTATGCAACTCTTTGTTTGGAACATCAACGATAGCGACGATAGAATTCAAAATTTGGAAATTTTTCTTTTTATCCTTAATTTCTTTGACTGTTGATTGCAACTGTTCCACCATTCTCAGTCTATTATTTTCTGCATGGTGGTGTGTATCATCTTTGACTAAAAGAATTGCTCCTTTCCTTGAGAATGTCAATGCAATTTCTTTGTCATTGTCAATAGCAACGGATCTTGTTTCTAAAGGTTTTTTCTGGTCAAAGAAAGCCATGACAGAATCCCTGTTTTCATTTGTGTGATTGATAATGTAATCTCTGATTTCCGAAAGAAAATTCGGTACGAACGGGAAAAATCTTGTGATGTCACCTTTTATTTCAATGACATTTTCAACTTGACCCAAACAAATGATTGCGAAGAACTCCAAATCACTTGGTTCTGTTCTTATACAATCTACGAATTCTGTTACTTCTCTGATAGGAGTTCTCACTCCAACCATGATTCCGTTTAATACAGGATTAGACTTTCTCGCAGCTTGTGGCACGAATTTCATTATGTCTTCTACAGAGCGACTGATATTTATCACTTTGTAGCCGTTGACAATGAAAATTACCAAAAACAACAATGCTAACAATATCGAAGAATATGTTGCCGTCCACATTGTTGCCTTTGAAAACTTGTCGTAATAATCTGTTGTCGTGTAACAGTTATCACAACTCGAATTGAACATATAGTACATACGGCCTTTCGTGGAATTCATGGCCATGTCATATATAAATGCAATTTCATTTGAATTAAAAGTGACATTATCATTCAATCTGAAATATGACTCCAAAATTGCAACAGAAAAAGTCACGAATTGAGTGATGTTGTTTGGATCAACCATGTCCATGAGTGTCTGGTTTGCAGGTGTTATTGTTTTGTCGTATTCCACCTGCAAGGAGATCATGAAAACAGGAGCGGCCATAAGGAAAATAAATGCTAAAGTGACAGATAAAATTGATCGAACAAAAGTGACATCATGAGGAACTTGTTTTTGATGCATTTCGTGAGTGATCAATTTATCGTAAATGGAGGAAATTGACTTCAGCATTGATGGCTGGATGGTTTTGATCACGGCAAACATGTTTTCCTGCATTGTCATCATTGAGAAAACATGTATTCCTATAATGAAAACCGCGGCTATGAAAATTATTCCTAAGGTTTTGACAAATTTCGAAATGTTCTTTTTGACAGTTAATCTGACCCATTCGTCATGAGAAACAACTAATGAATTGAACATATCTTCGCATAATTCTATCAAATTGATAGAATAGTTGTCTAAAGAATTGATCATATTAATATTTATTTGTGGATCCTTTTCTCGACTCGAAAGCATGAACTCCATGATGTAATGGACACCAGAATACAAATATACAAAGTCATATTTCGATCTGTTGAAGACTGGATACTCAAATAAAATAGAATTGTTGATTTTCCTCGTATTGAACAAATATATGTGGCTATGGAGCATGGCTTCGATCTTGCTGACGTGGGAACGAGATAAATTGAAAAGTCTGTCGACCAAATTGAACCATTCTGTAGAACTTATGTTGTAATAGATGGAATTCTTAACAGTTTCGTTGTATTGGTCTGTAAGAATGTTTGCAACTAATCTGACGTCTTGTCTGGCCAAGTGAACTTCATTTCGGAACATCATCATGGAATTTATTATGGATACAGAGCTATTATACATCTCTCTATCAACCTCGTTCTCATTTGTCATGCCAAGAATGATTAAACAGACAATTGCAAAGAAAATTATTGTTAAAATGAATGTCAACTTAAGAAAGATGGTTCTGATCTGATCGAACGTGATATCAACTGGCTGGTGTGCTGTTGGAACAGAAAAAGCATGAGTAAGAGCTTGTAAATATTCATCATGTGAAGAAACTAACGTCATGTACCTCAGAGCGTGTTCATGGGACTCTGTTATTGATATAAATCTCAGTTCATCAACATTTGAGTCGTTATTGTCCTGTTCTTCTTGAAATGCGGGTTGGCAAATTGGAAATAGCATGGAATATGAAGCAAATAGGTCATTAACTATATATGTTCTTGTATTATTTAGTAGTTGGACGGCTCGTGTATAGTATTGGCTGGATCTGAGGAAATTATGTTTCATATCAGCAAAGAAAAGGGCATTTTCTGAAGCGATACTAGAGCAATATGGATATTTCATCTCAAGGATCTTAAGTGTTCGCTCTAGTTCTTTGATCTTTGAGTGAAATAGGAAAAATGCGTCATGGAAAGATTCGGAATCCGAATACAAGACAGATCTCCAGAACGTTCTGTGTATTGATGCAAACTGAGCAACTTCGCAACGATAATCATCTAATTCTCGAGCGATTACAGGAGATATACTTTCTGCTGTTTGCATTAAACAATAAATCGCTTGGAAAACGTGCATATTGTGTAATCCGAAATGATCCAAGCTTAATGTATGCAATAAAAACTTGTAAACCCTTGGATAAGTTCCCCATGAGATGGCATAAAGAAAAGCAACGTAACTAACGATCCATTTGCTCTTAGGGAACTTCTCTAAGCAGAATTGGACAAAAGCAGGTGATAATACTGTTCGATTGCCACTTTGCAAACCCTCATAAATTAATAATCTGACTTGTCTCTCTGTTTTTAAGGATTCCAAGGTTGTTGAAATGGCAGAAACCGTGTAATCAGTACTGTTATTATCAAATTGGTCGATAAACTGCTGTATTGAGATTCTTCTTCGATCACATAAAAATTTAATAATTACATAAATTAAAATCGAAACTAATGGTGAAAACATGATCAAAAACTTCGGAGGAAGAATTTCAAAAGTGACAACTAAAGAATCAAGGACTAATATAATAAAAATAATAATATATTGGGAAGCAATCATGCAATTCAAGGTTAAATTTAACATGGGCATTTCTGTGATTACGTATATTGCTGCAGCTAATGAAATTATAACAGAAAATAAAAAGCACGCTGAATATCCATAAACTTCCATGTTTTGGCTTTGAATTGATACGAAAAAGATAAAGAATGTGTATATAGGCATGAAGGGAGTGAAACCTTGAAACCATTCTCCTGTAACGTTATTAATCGCGATTATTGAGTTATTATCAACGTAAATCAAAATCATGTACACGCCAATAAAGATTAGGAATAGTAGAAGCAGGACGAAGTTCAGCAATGAATAATAGAGGCTTGTTCTCGCGTAAATAAAATACATTAAAGTGTAACTCAATGAAATGCAAATGTATGGATAAATTATTGAAAGAATCTGTTGTGATAAGAATGGATATAAATAAAGTAAATAATCGTGGTTATATAAGCAAATAAAAAAACAAATAATGGGAATTAATATAAATATGAATGATAAGATGTCGGCAGCTTGAATAGGAATGATACCAGGGATGAAATTCTGTAATCTTTCGCAATTTGGAAAAAATGTCAAATCAGTCAGTCCCGATTCTGGGTTTTTATTCGAATCTGTCAGAAAAATCGGGTATAGAGTGGCTCCTATTGTTGTTATAAGCTGGTAAAATATTGTAAAGGCGCTAATTCCGGAATTCCTGAGTGATACATTTTTGAGAATTGCTGAAAAACGAAAAAAGTTCCATTTTAGGCCTATCTCGTTGGGGTGGTTCGCCGTTACAAGCCGAGAAGTCTGACTGAACCGATTATTTTCTTTCATACAATCTGGCACTTTTTATTTCAAAATTACAATAAATTTTTACATAACCTTTCGCTCAAAAATTTTAATTCATAACAAATATGAAATAGTTAGAAATTAGATAGAGAAGTTTATGTGGGACCTTCTTGTCGTAAATCGCGGGATTTTTAAAAATTACAGATCTCGATCAATCTTAAGTTGATTGTAACCGGATAAACTTAGGAGTTATAAGAAGTTTATGCGAAATTACCTTAATATATATCGCCAAAACTAAAGATAAAATAAGGATTTCTAAAAAAAATAAATTATTTCAAATATGAGTGCAATAATCAGCACATAGAGTCATAGGAAATAGTAGTAATGTTGTTTATTTGAATTAATGAGCTATAAGGGTAGATTATTGATGGCAAGAACACTTTTTGGAATAGATAGGTAGCATTTGTATTAGTTACTTAAAAGAATTTTAATATTGAATTGGGCTGAAATTAGTACTCAAACCTCAATAAGTACACATTGAAAGTAAGTTAGTGAGTTTTCAATGCTTAACAATAACATATTCTGGAAATTCGAGTAGTTTTTATGTTCTGAATAGTCCCGAAACAATCTTTTATAAAACAATAAATGTTAAATGTTAAAATTTGAATAAACTAATAGTGTAAACTATTGGGAATCAGCCACTCATGAATGATTATCCTACCGAAATTAAGGATTTCTTATATTCTTGACCTGTTTTTGTTATTTAATTTTGTTTACAGAGATTTTAAAAAGTGACAAAAGATTTTAGATGGAAATTCCTAAAGATATTAGCTTAGAAATAGAAAATTTGCGGCGAAATAAGATGGAATTGATCTTTTCTTTTATTATGCCAAAAGAGGGTGATGATTTATCTGATGAAGAAGAAGAACTTCCAGAAAATGAGTGTAATTACAACGCACGACTAATATTTGACGACAAAACAGCTATAGAAGGGATGCAATACTTCAATGACATAATTAAGATTGATGGCAGATACTCCCGTCCTTTAGAATTTCCTCCACCTTTAAATCGAATAAAAGAACTCACAATGCACGAAAATCCAGATATATCGAATTATGCTTGGACACTAGTACGTCGTTTATGCGGTTCAAGTGAGTTTGCTTGTTCACAATTTATTCAAAATGGACTTCTCGAGATTTTATGCGAAAACATCATAAATTCAACTAGCCCCGAGATGTCATATTACAATTTAAAGATATTGCATCATATTGCTGGCCATGAAAACAAAGAAATTTTCGAATCACTTTTTCAGAAGATTCATATTAATTCAATTAACAAAAATCTATCTCCAATACAAGTAGTTATTCTTTGCCTTGATAAACATATCCGAGAATTTACTTCCCAAGAATATTCCGAAATTATTTCTCAAAGTGGGTTCTCGAGTGATGATTACGTCAGCAAGATCAGAGTAACATTAATCAGGTTCCTTACCGCTATACTCTACTGCAGCTACGAGCTCAATTACACTCACGAAGTTCAAAATATTTGTGAAATTTTAATTCTCGGCTTGGCCTTTCCATATCCACAACTACGAATCCTTGTCATATGTGGCATACAAATGGCGTTTCATTACTTCAAACACTTCATTTTTACGCCTTACAAAGAAAACGCTGCATATGAGGTCTTAACGAAGTATTTAGACGACAAGAACGTATCAATATCGATAGAGACCATCAAATGCATGCGAGATATCATCAAATACAAAAACGATGAAAGATTATTTTTCGCAACTCACAAAATTTTCGATAATCTTATGGAATTCATACAATTTGCATCTAGCCAAATAGATACCAATCCATCATTGAGCCAGAGTTACTTAGAAGCAAGGTGCGTTGCCTTTCTTTTCATTGATGATTATTTTAATTGTATAAAAGAAGTGGGATGTGAGCAAGAAATCAGTATAATCTTTGATTGTGGTATTTATTGGATGCTTCTTGATATTGTTCCATCTGTTTCTTTCAAAGAAAAACAAGTTATTGTTCATTCCATCTGTTCCATCATTAAATTGTCTTCGCAACAACTCCTTGGCCTTATTTTAGAAAAGTGTCCTGATTTAATTCAAATAATTGTCAGTGTTTTCGATGATAAAAATGATAAATTTTTAACTGACTATCTTTTGGCCTTGGAAATATATGCAGACTTCTATAAACAGGCGGGAAAGAAGGATGAATTCATATCCATATTAACTGAATGCGAAGTTACAGATTTTCTTGATGAAATTTGCGAAGATGCGGAATTGAAGATTCAAATGTTGGCAAAAAGTATAAAGTCTTGCTTACTTGATGAAGAAGAAGACCAATAACTAATATGTATAATGTAATGTGATTTTTTTAAATAAAATAGAATGATATAGTTTTTTTTATGACATTCTCTCAATTTTTTTGACACTCAAGCTTTATATCCCAATTCTCTAAGGTCAAAAGTTATTATTTTTGATCGAGAAAAAGTTATTATAAATCACTGCTTAGTTCCTAAAATGGCTATTATACTCTTTTGCCATTAAAATAAAAATATGTTGATATTATCTGAACGTGTCAGTAAGTAGTAAGTGCATCATTAAGGCTGCAATTACGCCCATCTGACTTTAATTCAAATTTTTGGTATCTGATGTGAAGCGTCAATGAAAATTAACCTTAAACATCTGAATTGAAAGCTGTGTCATAGAGGCGTATGTACACCCTTAATGTATGCGGGTGTGTTTGCTCAATTTGAAAAATCCCTTTCTTTCGAGTTATTATAACAAATTTAGTTAAAATCATAACAATTAGCAAAGTTATGCCTTCAAAACTATAAATATCAAACAAACACGCTATATTTAAACAACTAAATTTATCAAAACAAAACAAATATGGGGCATTCTACATGGTATTTTTAGATTCACCATATAAATAATAATTTGTGTTTATCTTGTTATATATTATATTTTATTATATATTTTAGAGTTAAGGACACAGTTAAATGTTGTAAGAGAAATAATGACTGTTTTTTCAAGATAGATGAGATCAGCCAAACACAAGATATCAATTTTTAGGTGATTGAATTAAAATAAAATATTCAATCATTTGAAGTTATCTGTTCTTTAAAAATATGTTTATTATTCTGTGGAAATCACGAAACTATATAAATATCTGAGTTTGAGTTCATAATCGAATGCAATTCAAAATAAAACCATCTGCATATGATCCATTTCCCCTTGCAACGTTAAATAACAACTCAAATTTTTGAGTTCATGGCCTTGAACAAAGTCAAACCTCAACCAACTTAATTCCAAAAAAATGTATTTCTCGAAAGATGTTAACAGTTAAATTGGGACAAACCTGTGAATAACAGTTCACGAATGTCACTCTAGCTCATCAAATGATAAGGAAAAGGAAAAAAATGGAGTAAGAACTTTTTATTTAATTTCAAATGAAATTATTAGAAAAAGTTTAATTGATTTTCTGGGCACCATGTTCAACTAAGAAACTGGCAATATTTGAGGCCTTTTTTTTGAATGCATAGCTTAAAGGGCATTCGTTTAAAACAAGAAAACTTCGTAAAACAATGGTAAACATAAAAAGAAAGAAAATTATATAAAACAAAGCTGAATATGAAAAGAAAGAGATTGCGATAAAAAATGATTTAGATGAAAGTTAAGAAAATACTATATAACAATGATAAATATGAAAAGAAAGAAAATTACATAAAGCAATGATAAATATAAAAAGAAAGAAAATTACATAAAGCAATGATAAATATGAAAAGAAAGAAAATGTAATAAAATAATGTTATATGTGAAAAGAAAGAAAATTACATAAAGTAATGATAAATATGAAAAGAAAGAGAATATTATAAAACAATGATAAATGTGAAAGGAAAGAAAATGTAATAAAATAATGTTATATGTGAAAAGAAAGAAAATTGCATAAAATAATGAAAAATATGAAAAGAATGAGAATTTTACATAGCAATGATGAATATGAAAAGAAAGAAAATGTAATAAAATAATGATAAATATGAAAAGAAAGAAAATGTAATAAAATAATGTTATATGTGAAAAGAAAGAAAATTACATAAAGTAATGATAAATATGAAAAGAAAGAGAATATTATAAAACAATGATAAATGTGAAAGGAAAGAAAATGTAATAAAATAATGTTATATGTGAAAAGAAAGAAAATTGCATAAAATAATGAAAAATATGAAAAGAATGAGAATTTTACATAGCAATGATGAATATGAAAAGAAAGATAATGAATTTCATGTTAACATCAGCACCGTGTTCAACTAAGAATTGGACAATTTCTATTGATTTCTTTTTGATTGCGACACTAAGAGGGCATTCATGAAAATCGAGAGAACTTCTTTAAACTATGATAAATATGAAAAGAAGGAAAATATCATATAATAATGATGAATGTGAAAAGAAAGTAAATTGTATAAAGCAACGATAAATGTGAAAAGAAAGAAAATTGCGTAAAACAATGATAAATATTAAAAGAAAGAAAATATTATAAAACATTGATAAATATAAAAAGAAATTAAATGTTATAAAACATTGATAAATATAAAAAGAAATTAAATCAAATAAAACAATGATTATTATGGGAAAAAAGATAATTTCATACATTATTGATGAATATGAAATGAGAGATAATGCAATAAAGCAATAATTAATGTGAAAAGAAAGATAATGAATTTCATGTTAACATCAGCACCGTGTTCAACTAAGAATTGGACAATTTCTATTGATTTCTTTTTGATTGCGACACTAAGAGGGCATTCATGAAAATCGAGAGAACTTCTTTAAACTATGATAAATATGAAAAGAAGGAAAATATCATATAATAATGATGAATGTGAAAAGAAAGAAAATTGTATAAAGCAACGATAAATGTGAAAAGAAAGAAAATTGCGTAAAACAATGATAAATATGAAAAGAAAGAAAATATTATAAAACAATGATAAATATGAATAGAAAGAAAATTATATAAAACAATGATTAATATTAAATGAAAGATAATGTAATAAAGCAATAATTAATGTGAAAAGAAATTGAATTTTATATAACAATGATAAATATGAAAAGAAAGAAAATATTATAAAACAATGATAAATGTGAAAGGAAAGAAAACTCTATTAAGTAACGATAAATGTGAAAAGAAAGAGAACTTCACAAAACAATGAAAAATGTGAAAACAAAGAGAATAAGTTTCATGTTAACAACAGCGCCATGTTCAACCAAGAATTTGACATTTTCTATTGATTTCTTTTTGATTGCAATAGTAAGAGGACATTCGTTTAAATCGAGAGAATTTCACAAAACAATGACAAATTTGAAAAGAAAGCAAATTCTATTTATCAATGACAGATTTGAAAAGAAAGAAAATTAAACAAATCAATGATAAATATGAAAAGAAAGTGAATTACATAAAACAATGATGAATATGAAAAGAAAGTAAATTGTATAAAACAATGATAAATATGAATAGAAAGAAAATTGCGTAAAACAATGATAAATATTAAAAGAAAGAAAATGTTATAAAACATTGATAAATATAAAAAGAAATTAAATGTTATAAAACATTGATAAATATAAAAAGAAATTAAATCAAATAAAACAATGATTATTATGGGAAAAAAGATAATTTCATACATTATTGATGAATATGAAATGAGAGATAATGCAATAAAGCAATAATTAATGTGAAAAGAAAGATAATGAATTTCATGTTAACATCAGCACCGTGTTCAACTAAGAATCGGACAATTGCGATTGAATTCTCTTGAATTGCGATACTAAGAGGGCATCCATGAAAATCGAGAGAACTTCTTTAAACTATGATAAATATGAAAAGAAAGAGATTATCACAAAATAATGATGAATATGAAAAGAAAGAAAATTGTATAAAGCAATGATAAATATGAAAAGAAAGTGAATTACATAAAACAATGAGAAATATGAATAGAAAGAGAATACAATAAAACAATGATAATAATGAAAAGAAAGAGAATGCTATAAGACAATGAAAAATATTTAAAATAAGAAAATGTGATAAAGCAATGATTAATGTGAAAAGAAAGAAAATCTTACAAAACAATGATAAATATGAAAAGAAAGAAAATTCTATAAAGAAATGACAAGTGTGAAATTAAAAATAATGCAATAAAACAATAATGAATATGAGAAGAAAGAGAATAAGTTTCATGTTAACATCAGCACCGTGTTCAACTAAGAATTGGACAATTTCTATTGATTTCTTTTTGATTGCGACACTAAGAGGGCATTCATGAAAATCGAGAGAACTTCTTTAAACTATGATAAATATGAAAAGAAGGAAAATATCATATAATAATGATGAATGTGAAAAGAAAGAAAATTGTATAAAACAATGATAAATATGAAAAAAGGTAACTAAACTCCTTTCGCCGATCCGATTTGCCCCATATTTAAAATATAGCTTGCATATGTAGAACAAAAGCTAATTTTGAAGTACGCCCGAAATCCACCAACAGGATTTCGAGCTACGAAAAAGGTATTTTTAAATGTGAGTTTTTTTTAGAAAAAATTAAATTTATTTTAAGATCAGACTAAAAACTAATTTTATGGAAAATCTATATCGACAAATTTATTACTTATTGGGTATATAGATTTTTTGATTATGGCGATTATGTCTGATATGCTTCCAATAAGCCAAAACAGTGTTTCGGGAGTGATTAAATACAAAAAAATCCGGCGATGCTTTACGTGGCAAATGGTCGAATGGTTATTACCCCTTACTATTGGGTACCCGGGACGCTAGTTCGAAACTGATGCACTATATTTTTTTACAAAATGCGTTTATTAGGACAGGGTAAAGAAAGGTTGCCAATATAATATATTTAAATAAATACAACTAATCTAGCATAAAAAAACTATTGAATATTTGAATTCAATAAAAATTTATATAAAATACATGTAAAGCATAAATTACTATATAAACGTAGAATCTGAATATCATATCAGAAAATGTCGCAAATCTGACATTTACCCGACCAAATAGCAAAAATAATTGAATACTTTTCGCAAAAACTTTAAAAATCGATAAAAATATGAAATATAGATATTAAAGAGACTTTTTATATAATATTCATAAAGATTTTCCAAAAATATGATACCGCAAAATTAAAAAAGTGACGTCTTGAGTGGAGTCAAAGGTCGAAATTGCTAGCTAAATGTTTTTTAGCGAAATTGCGTATTGTACGTTTTTTTCGCAAAACGAAACCCTTATTACAAGATAATTAAAATATATGACCTCATTATAAATGAATTTTAACTCTAGATAATTGAGAAAGCTACAAATTGTTTCTAAATCTTGAAATTATTCGATGTCAATCTAATTTTTCTTGTTATAGCCTACTTCTATGGTGTACAGGTTGTCATAATTACTATTTTAAAGTGTAAAACATGCTTATATCAATCAGGACGTTAAAATGGAAAAGTACATACCAAGCAAATGTTTGGATTTATATGCGACAGCCTTTTTAATGGATGTGACAAAGCGTTTCAATATAGATTTTGATTAAAGCATAACTGCAAATTATAATTTGACTTTATATGTACCAATAATAATGGCAATTATGAGTTTTTTTATATAAATTATATCACACCGCTTCTAGTAATTTTTAGCTTAAGCATATCATCGGCTAATTTTCAAAAAAAAGAATTTCAAATTTTAATCCAAATTCTTTTCTTAAAATTCACAATCAAATTACAGCTTATCTTTAATAGTCTTATTCATTATATGCTTTTTTTTCGGCTCCATAAAAGTCATAAATTTTTCCATCATAAATTTGTTAGAAATTGGGTTACCATTGCCAAACATTTGGATAGAAAAAGCCCAATAAATTATACCCAAAGCATCCAAACATGAAGATATCATATAAGAAATATAGTTTAATTCAGTAATTCCCTAAAATCTAAAATGTTTAAGAACGTTTGTTCAATATCTTACAATCTAATTCACAGATTTAGCATATGTACTACGTATCAAATATACAATGTGATCTCTCAATAAGCTTAGAAGGTTAATTATTAAAATTAAATAAAATTCTACAATTAGCGAAAAATAATACGGCAGATAATATGCTTATAGGTAAAGAAATTCAAAGAGCATTCCTTAAATTTTTTCGAAATTTATCAAAACTCGAAGGTAAAAAAACTTTTTTATTCTATTAATGATAATAAATATATTAGCCATATTAAAACTTTTCATTTTTTAAAACTCATAGAAATACGTTTGATATTCTTCATTAAGAACATATAAAAACGAGTATAATTATCATAATCTGTTAATTTACAATATAAATGCTTTTCTGCTTGTAGTAAATATCAAATAAGAAAATAATAACATTATAAATTTTTCAAATAAGAATATATTATCTAGCATCTAAGCATGAAGATATTTAGAATTTGGATATCTAAATTCTGCTTAGATTACTTTCAAAATATAAGTCAATAATCTTTGATTTTATTAAACGCTAATATTGGATAGTATATTTTCACAATTTAATTGTAGTTAGATAAATGATAATTCATGTAACTCATTGATTTCGATCAAAAGTTATATTCACCTTGTTAAAAAAAATATAAAAAAACCGGGTGCTTACTGATTTGAACATATTACCTTTGAACCCCACGACATAACCAGTAGGCTAAACGTACAATGATTTTTTTTATAAATTCTAGTATAAAATACTTCCCGCAGGGCATTTGTTTAATTATTTCACATTCTGATGACATAATTTTTAATATCATAGATAATGAAAGCGAAAAATATATAAAAATCTGCTTATATTATTCATTAATTTTTTATATATTATTCATATACTTTAATAAAAACAATACTATTTCACCTTAAAAATGAATTTCATAAGTCAATATTATTTTTTTGAAAATGTATCAATTTTCGATTAAAACAACATGAGAATAAAATTTACGCAAAATTATTTTAAAAAATGGTTTTAAAAATTTACAATTGATTAAGAATAAGATTGCAAGAAGTTTTGAAGTTTAATTTTAAGAAAAAAAAATTCGGATATTATTCATGGATCTAAGTAATCTGATATTTGAGTATCGGCACTATGCATAAAACATATATTTATAGTTTTTTTGGAGTTTTATGATTTTAAATATATTCAAATTTGGCAATCCAATAGATTTTTAAAAAATAGGTAAATAAAAATAGATTACATATGCAGCAGATTTAGAACATGAAACAAATCTTATAGTGACCCAAAAAAAAATTCATGATCCAAAAAAGAAAAAAAATGGCTAAATTGGAATCAAACCTTGACATAATGAATCATTATGTCGGAGGTTTTCACTACACTACACCGGCAGTTCGAAAAATACCCTTGGTGGTTCTATTTAATAGCTACTCCCAACGATAGGCGGTGTCCCCAGCTTTAGAGAGGTGGTAAAAGTAAGGAAAATCTGGGTAATATTAAAATAATGAGAATATCATAAAATAATGATAAATATTAAAAGATATAAAATAGCATAAAATAATGATAAATATTAAAAGATATAAAATAGCATAAAATAATGATAAATATTAAAAGATATAAAATAGGATAAAACAATTATAAATGTGAAAAGAAAGAAAATTGTATCAAACAATGATTAATATGAAAAGAAAGAAAATTATATAAAACAATGTTTAATATTAAATGAAAGATAATGTGATGAAACAATGATAAATACTAAAAGAAAATGGATTTTACAAAACAATGATGAATGTAAGAAGAAAGAGAATTTCACAAATCAATGATAAATGTGAAAAGAAAGATAATGAAATAAAAGCATGATAAATATAGAAAGAAAGAGAATGTGATAAAAAAATGATAAATATAGAAAGAAAGAGAACTTCACAAAACAATGAAAAATGTGAAAACAAAGAGAATAAGTTTCATGTTAACAACAGCACCATGTTCAACCAAGAATTTGACATTTTCTATTGATTTCTTTTTGATTGCAATAGTAAGAGGACATTCGTTTAAATCGAGAGAATTTCACAAAACAATGACAAATATGAAAAGAAAGAAAAAGTCATAAAACTATGATAAATGTGAAAGGAAAGAAAACACTATTAAACAATGATAAATATGAAAAGAAAGAAAATTGTATTAAACAATGATAAACATGAAAAGAGAGAAAATTGTATTAAACAATGATAAATATGAAAAGAAAGAAAATTGTATTAAACAATGATAAACATGAAAAGAAAGAAAATTGTATTAAACAATGATAAACATGAAAAGAGAGAAAATTGTATTGAGCAATGATGAACATGATAAGAAAAAGAATTTCATATAACAATGATGAACGTGAAAAGAATGAAAATTGTATAAAGTATTAATATATATAAAAAGAAAAATAATTTTACAAAACAATAGTGAATGTGAAAAGAAAGAAAATTGTACAAAACAATAGTGAATGTGAAAAGGAAGAGAATGTTATAAAAAAATAATAAATATGAAATGAAAGATAATTTCACATAGCAATGATGAATATGAAAAGAAAGAAAATGTAATAAAATAATATTATATGTGAAAAGAAAGATAATTTCATAAATCAATGATAGATATGAAAAGAAAAATAATGTAAATTTCGTTTATCTTTCCACCATTAGCAAGTAAAAACGAATTAATGTCATCATTTCCAGCATCCATGCTTTCTGCGTTTGAATCAAAAGTTTGTCCATATTTTGACTTAATGTAATCTGCAATTTCGTAATTATGATAATCCAATGCAATGTTAATCATGTTATCAAATGACTTTCCATCTTCTATCATTTGCATAAAAATGTCTTTATTTCCGCCTTGAATAGCATATTTTGCGGATTCATCAGTGTACTTAGCACCTAAGCTTTTCATGAAATTGAAACACAGTTTGGATCCGTATTTAATTGCACAGTCGAATGGAGTAATTTCATTAATTTTCTGATCAATCTCTATATTTGGGAAATTACTTTTAAGCTCATCAACTTTATCCCACACAATATAGTATAAAGGAGATTCTGTTGGATATATATTGAGGATTTCTTCTTCATTGATTTTTGGTTCGAAATTTTCGAATTTTAAGCCTTTATAATGTAATAAAGTTGTGAGTTTCTCGTTTTTTGGTTTGATTATGCATGAGAAATAGTTTGATAGCTTAAAATAAAGTTCTGTAAATAATTTAATATCATTGGGACGGATATGTGAAAAAGAATCAATCAAAGAAAGTGCATATTGGACAGACATTTTGTATTTCTTAATAAAATTTGTAATTTCAGAAAATGCAATGAAAATATTGTCGGAGTTGAGCTCATTAATCATTTTTGAAGCTCGATTATGGTAGTTGATTTCTTCTGTAGGTGTTTTGTCAGAAACGCGCACCATTTTACCTTTTGGTAACCATGAACTTAACATGTTTTGTAAAATAAAATTGCTCGAAATCTGAATACAAAATTTAAGGTGTTAAATCGACCAAATTTTATTGTATCGTCGTTTGCCCATTTAAACCTATTGTTCGAGTCAATCATTTGTGCGAGGTCTCAGGCATGCATTCTAACTTTTTGGTCGGATTTAATCTCATTGCGAATAAATTATATAGAAAACTTATTATTTGATCAGGAAACATTCACATGCATCGAGAGTATATGAAAAACTAATTATCGATAATTATTCTTGTAAGACCGGTCTACCATGAAGGTTTTGCAAGCCAGAAGCATAATTATTATTCTTCTGGCGATATTGGTTATACGTTATTGCCCTCATGAACTATAGTACTGCTCCCTGAACCTCCTAAGGTCAGGGAAGTAAATTTACTTGAAATAGGCAATGATCATTACGAAATCTATCATTCGATGAGAGATTTCATAATGAACTTTGCCTTATTAATTAATCGAATATAGCAGTTCCGATAATGTAGTTGTGGTACTTGGCCCACAAAGAGCGAGAGAACATGTCTGTAATTCGTTTATGCTTAAGTTATCTAGATGACTCTCAAATCAGGAAGGAAATCCAGAAGAAATTACATTATTTGCCTGATTCTGTATGTCTATGTGAATAATCATATATTTATCAATTAATTAATTTGAATCAAGTATTCACATCATGTTGTGTAAGCGATTTTTTATTAATTTTCCATTTGAAAAAACCATTTTTAAATGCTATGTGATGTTTCATTCTATCCAAAATTGTATCTTTGAATCATTTGAAAACTTAAATTCTAAGCGTTTTCTTACTATTCATTGTTTACATCTAATGCAAAAATTCGGATATGTCGCTATGAAGAATTTTGAAATTGTGGATAAAAAGTGACCGTTTAATAATATTTATATGGAAAATTATCAGGAAATTGCTTATGAACCACCAGAAAATCCCACTGACGAAGAGATAGCTGAATACTGCCAGTATTTAGGATTAGATCCTCAAAAAGATCCTGATTTACTGTGGATCGCAATTGAGGGAATAAAAGCGCCTCTTCCTGATGGCTGGATTTTCTTTCAACATAAGCATAAAAACGAATCTTTCTTCTATAACAAATACACTGGAGTTTCTATAAATGAGCATCCTTTAGATTCTCACTATTTACAAAATTTCAAAGAAGAAAAGAAAAAGAAATACCAAAATTCCAAATCAAAGAAGTCTCCAAATACTAGACAAGAAAAATCGATGATCGTTCCCCCTAAATCAGATAATTTATATAACGAATCACCACAAAATAAAACCACTAACCAAATACAAAAGCCTAAATACAGTGTGTCTGACGAAATTATCTCAGATGATGATCTAGATACTGAATTACAAAATTTTGACATTAACGTAGATTCAGACGACAAAATCAAATCAACAAGCCTATCAAAAATTAGTAAACTGAATCTTTCTCCTGCAATTGACTCAAGAGAAGATGCTAAAAATGAGAACAAAGAAGAAAAGAAAGATGAACAAGAAGAAATTAAAGTTTCTTCACTACAGAATCAGAGCTTAGATGAAAATAAGGCTGATGATGAGTATCAAAGTGTAAAATCAGATTGCGAACAAAAAATAAAGGAAATTAAAATAAAAAGTCAAAAACAGATAAAAGAATTGCTTGATAAATGTGAAAATGAAAAGAAGAAGATAGAAAATGATCACGCAAATGCAATGATAAAGTTAAAACAGAAAAATCAAAATGAAATTGATGAATTTATGAAACAGCATAAGAAAACGATAGAAAATATGCGTCGTGCCCATGAAGAGAAGATAAAAGCAATAAAAGAAAAAGCTGCTGCTCATCTACAAGAAGTTTCAAATGAAATTCAAAATCCGCAACCAGATAAAGCCGAAAACACAATTGAAGCTGAGAAAAAGAAGCAAGATCAGAGGTTAATCAATCTTAGAGCGCAATACGAGAAAGATTTTGCTGCGCAACAGAAAGAAAATCAAAATAAACTTCAAGCGCTCAAAAGTGAATGTGATATTGAGATCAAACGCTATAAAAGGCAATTGCATTTAGATAAACAGAAGATATTTGCTGCCGCTCGTAAAGATGCCCAAAACAGAGCTGTCAAAGAATGTATTTCTTCTTGTAATATCGATACTTTCAAAGTTATCTCATTTAAACCACGCCCTGATCGTCTAAAAGGAATATTAAAGCGATCTGCTCCCTTTGCGTTGAATTTGGTTGATGATGAATACTATGGAGATTTATCAATTTCTCCAAATACCATTGTTTTCACTCGTTCCTCTACAATAAAGTCTTCTGGAAGTAGTGATTCATTTACAGAGATTGAACCCTTCAAAGATAGGAAAGGTGGACAAATAAGAGGCAATTTCTTATCTGAATCTTCAATTGATTCAAGTGATTCTGAACCTATAATATCACCATCATCTAAAGCAGCTTCTAAGATGAAAAGAGAAGCTATTAAGACTTCAGAAAGGTTTTCTTCCTCGGCAGAAAAGGCTGTTATGGCAATCGGAAACGCATTTTCAGAAATTGAAGGTAAAAGTAACCAATTAAGAACATTTTGCGCTGAAGAGAATCGTGGAATGTCTAAACTTACTATGGAGTTCCAACAAAAGGCATTTGAAATCTCTAAGATGTTTCATGAGACTTTAATTGTATTGGAAGATGCTCATAGAGCCGCAATGAACAGTGCTACTCAGCCAAGAGAAATATATACACAACCTGTTCAGAATATTCAAACCCCTCCACCAATTAGAACGCGTAGTTCTGGAAGAAGACGCGTAGAATATGATGATTATGATAGTGATGATAATGGAAAGGAATCTGTAGCTCAAAGAATGATGAAATTGTACCAGAGAGAGCAGCATTCTGCTAGGAGTGCATCAAAACGCCTCAAAAGAAAATTTGCAGAAATATTAGTTGATTCGGATCAATATTCTAATTAAAATTATGTTTGTATTGTGATAATTGTTATTAATTTTTGTTGATGTTTTTTTTATCAAGAATGAACCATTTCTTTTATATTCCCGTTTACTATTGAAATTTTGAAAATAATTGTATGATTTACACGGGATAATAAATGATTGAAAACTTTATATTTTCTACACGTTTTCAATTTTCATATTTTTATGGATAAGCAGCGATTAGATAAGATTCTTGAACTTCTCTGGGCATGCAAGCTCCCAAACATGGATGATACAAGATATCTTTTAACTTTGGGCCAACAAGTTCTTATTAAAGAAGCCAATGTTTTGGAATTAAAGAGTCCAATTACCCTTTGTGGTGATATCCACGGACAATTTTACGATCTTCTCGAACTGTTTTCAGTTGGTGGACATCCTCCGGAACAAAACTTCTTATTCCTGGGAGATTACGTTGATAGAGGATTTTATTCAACTGAAACCTTCTTCCTTTTGCTCGCACTGAAGGTCAGATTCCCAACAAAGATCTTCCTCATTAGAGGAAATCACGAAAGTGCTCAAGTAACTCAAGATTACGGCTTCAAAGAAGAAATTAAAAGAAAATATAACGATGAATCAGTTTACGATTTATGTTTAGAAGTATTTAATGCTCTACCATTAGCCGCCGTTATTGATAAGGAAGTATTTTGCGTTCATGGCGGATTAAGCAAAGATTTACATACAGTATCTCAACTTAACGAAATTGATCGTAACGCAGAGCCACCAGAATATGGCCTCTTTTCAGACATTCTTTGGTCAGATCCAGACCCTACTATCAGTGGATTTGAAGAATCTCAGCGTGGCGCTGGATATCTCTTTGGAGGAGATGTTACAGCACAGTTCTTAAAGAATAACAACCTGAAATTCATGTGCAGAGCTCATCAGGTGGCTCAGGATGGTTATGTCAACTGGTTCAATGGTCTTTGCTATACAGTTTGGTCAGCACCAAACTATTGCTATAGAGGAGGAAATCTCGCTACAGTTTTCGAAATTACAAATTCTGAAAAAACTAAATTTAAGATTTTCCGTGAAGCTCTGGCTTGTGCAAGAGGAAAACAATCGGAATCAATGCTTCCTCAGTATTTTGTTTAATTTATGTATTATTTCTCTAATGAGTTAATAAAATATCCATATTTATCATAATTTTCTATTTTTGGTATACTTTTAAACAATAATAGGCACATTTAGCTCATACATACTGTTCCAATCTCAAAGAAAACCATTTTCGAATTCCAAAAAAAAATCGAAAATTTTAAAAATCAAATTAAAATTAAAGGTTTTTACAATCTAATTTTAGTTTTTTCAGATTTTGGATCATTTGATAGAATCAATTAATGATCTAAATATTATTCTTTCCTTTTTTCACATTCATTTATCTATATTATTTTCAATTTTTTTATTAATCTTGAATATTATCCATGATTTCTTCACTTTGAAACTCAAACGATTAAATAGAACATGTATTAAATTATTTTCTCATATAGAAGAAAGCTATTGTTAAACAGACGAGAAACTCCACAAAAAATTGCTATTTTACAAAACCTTTATTTTAAAGCGAAAATCAATTATATGTAACATGTTGATTCAAAATACCCTACTAAAACACCATAATTTTTGTGAAATTCTTAAACGCTCCAATTTTTCAAGAATGAGGGCTTCAACTTATGCAAGAACTGTCAGGCCAAAGGAGTCCAAAACCGAGAAAAGTATGATGACAGTGATTCGTGAAGCTGTAACAAATCAAGTGAAACAAAGGGATATTAACTTAACAAAGCAAATCAAAGATCTTCAAAAAGCTCAACGAGTTCAAGACGATGACATCAAGCGTGTCAAGAAACAAGCTTATCAGATAGCTGTTCGTGAATACGATATAAAGGAATTAGAAAAAGACGTTTCTGAATTTAAACAATTAATGCGAGATTCTCATAAAGTTCAATTAGAAACAACAAACGTTCTTAAACATATTAAAGAAATGAAAAGACAGACACACCAATTTAATCAACTCCCTACAACTCCCCATGTTTCCATGGAATTTTCGCAATTATCTAAATCGTCGGCATCTAAGATGGGAATGAGCTCAGCTACCATGTCTGAGAGCGAGTTTGAATATGATACATCTGATCTCGACGAAGAAGCTCCTTCGCAAAAGATAGAAACCGATTTCAAGATTCCGGCCAACCACGAACCATCGGAGCAAATAAAGAGAGTTAAAGCGTTTGTTGAGAAATTGAAGCAAGAAGTCACTCATCATGAGAAAATCGTCGTTTCATACGAAAATTTAGCTAGAGAAAAGCGTGTGAGGATCTCCATTCAAATGAAAATACGCCTCTCATTGGATAAGCGTCAAATCAACGCCGAATTCCAAAGAAATTGCTTAGATTCTCAATTCAACGCAGAAATCAGCCAATATAAAAATTTACTATCCCAAAAGAATCAGCTTGTCAAGCGCCTTAATCTGGCTCTTGATAAACAATCAGAACTTGACGTAAACGAATACGATATAAAATTACAAGAAGAATACAACAAAAACCTTGGTTCTGAGAAATATCATCTTAAGAAATCCGATGATCAAACATTTGAAGTACAAAAATTCGTAAAATCAGATAATCTTCAGTATATTAACGATTTCGAGAACAGAGTTACAGAAGACCTTGAGGAACTTCTTAAGGAGCAATCAATATTAGAAGAAAACCTCAAAGTAGCCACTGCTGACCTTGAAAATACGAAATCCAACATTGAAGCGAATAATGCTCACATTGACGACATCCTTTCACGTATCTCTCAACGAGTACAACAATCCTCAATTGATTTTGAGAAAGTCAGCTCAGATTTAACAAATCAAATTAATCTTACGAAGAATACAACAGCAAAGCGTACAGAAACAGCTACAAACGACTTAGGATCAAGCAGCCAAGCTCTAAACGATCTTAAGACTAAAATAGAAGATATTCATAAAGAAAGAATCCAAATTGCAGAAAAAGAATACCAGGCAAGGTATTTCTATCACGAAGAAATACTCAAAGCTGATGCATACCGCAATAACATGGTCGAACTCAAAGAAAGAAAAGAAAATGCGCTAATTCAGTTGAATATCCTCAAAATTAGAGAAAACGTGGCCATAGAAATTCTTGACTTGTTTATGAATGAATACGATGATTAAGTATTTATATATTTTTAATTTTTTTCATTTTGTGTTATATTATTTAAAGATCTGAACTTTATATTAATAACATTATTTCATTTTTGATAAGGACTATATTCAGAGACATCTTCCTCTACAACAAAATAAATTTCATTTTGAATATTTAGAAAGAGTAATATTTATTTGATAAAATATATTACAACATCGAAGCATTTAATTGTTAAAATGTTTTGCACTTTAATCAGCTACAAAAATGAACCATCAGTTGATGAAGAGATTGAAAATCTCATCCCTGAGAATTACACAAGAAAATCATGGTCAATACTACTTTTCATTGATACAGATACCATGTGAGAGGAATTCATAAAATTGAAATATATTATTTATTACAAACATCTCCTCATTAACATAAGTTTCAATACTTTTCTTCATGTAATTGTTTTCTATTAAAAATTCTTAGAAGAGAAAAAAACTCATATTTTTTAATATAAAACAAACAATTATGGGATAAACTCAAATGGATGAATAGTGAACGTTGTATTAAGCGAAACATCCTCAGTTGAGTTATAAATCTGATTAGAATCAAACAATTTTGTTTCATTTTGCGAAACAACATAATGGTAATAGCTGGCATTGACAAATTCAGCTGGTAGTTGACCATTTACAACATTTTCAAAACCAGAAGGAACAAATTCAAAGAATTTTCCTTGATTAACCCAGAAAACTAAAGAACTTGTTGATCCTGATGTTGTGAAAATGTATTTAGCATGAGAAACATAATAAATGACTTCAACATCATCTGTTATGTTGATATCAATGGTTTTCGGATTTAATTTAGATATATCTTGAGCAATCTCATTCATATTATCAAATTTAATAGGATGAGAGCCACCTTCTAAGATTATACAATCATATGTCGGCTTTTTGACCTTTTCATTGATTTTTTGAAGTACAATTTTCTTTGACTGTATAACTGTGCCCCAAGGCTGTGGTTTTAGCTGCTTAAAGATCGTATACTTATTACAAATAAGTTGATCCTCGAGTGGCTCCATTTTTCCGAACAAATTACAAAATGAAGAATTAATAACTGAAGAAGGAGCTCCAATAGCATGTATTCTGTCAATATCAGATACATCATTGATAGCATTGATAAGTGGCGTAGCCGTATTGTAAATCCAATCCCAAGAATACAATGAAAAACTGTTGAAAGCAATTACAACGATTCTTTCGTTATAAGTAATATTAGTTTCGAGTTTGTAAGCTGCGTTTTGTGAGACGTTCATTGATATTTGTTTCGGAGAAAATGAAATCAAATCTGATAATTGTAAAATTGGAAGAGGAGATGTGACAGTATGGAATGATGTATAAAGGATATTTTGAGCATTATAGCATACATTTGAAAATTCGCATTCTCGATCTTTTGTATCTTTTCCTACGCAACTAAAACCAGTATTTGATAGATTAGAGGGTACTAAATTTGTCATATTTTCTTCAGCAACAAAAATGTTGCCTCTATAAAGTCTAATTGTCGCATTTCCGTAAACTGGATTTAAATAATACCAAGAGACTTGGCGATTTACTGCGTAATCATTTAATACATTCGTAGATGAACGGTATTCTATACCAGCCTGATAAACTCTAAGATTCATATATTTATAATGTTCTTCTAATGAAACATCAAATATATAATCAATAAACAAATCGACCTTGAAGAAATTTTTGGATGTAAACATAATTGAAATGTTTTTAATGTTAGTTAATTCTGTTCGATTTATTGGGAGACTGTTTAACTCTGCAACATGACTTCCTTCAAAGAATGATGATATGACTGTTAGTAAAGCCAACGTAGCAATGATGTATAATGGTAAGTTGACTTTACCCAAATCAATACGAATTTCTTTCATGATAAAAAATTAATTGAATAAGATACACGAACAAATTAAACACCCATATTAATTTTTATTATCATGTATAAATACTGTAAATATCTCATCTAATTTTGTCGAATTTTTCAATGCAGTTGAAAGTACTTTGTTGGAATGTACACCAAGCAGAAAAATTTGCAGAGAGCCAATTATCATACATTTTGGGTTTGCTATGATAACATTTGAGATATCTTCATTAAACACTGAAATATCATGTCATATATTTCGAACAGTACCAGTATTAATCAATAGGTAATCAAATATAAAAAGAAAGAGAGCCTTTGTTTTTTTCCATTTCACTTCTAAAACTTATTGAAACATCTTTTATGAGATAACGTCTCAAGTAACTTTTAAACTATGCTTAACCATTTTGTTAATCTTGGAAACATAGTACTGAATATGGGTAAGTTAAAATCATATTTTCCATTTCTGTTTCAACAATATAGATATTGTCATGATATCGTGTTAAAAGTAAATTAATTATCTTCTGTTATAATGCAGTTCGATGTAAGAAGTTTATAAATCCGCATCGATTGATAATTGCAAAATATATCTCATGTAAAACGCGATCTTAGTTCATTTCTTTCAATGTATGAAATCAAACAGTTATAAATTTAAATATAGAATTCTATTTATTACAAATAATTATAAATAAATTTAATAATACAAACTCAGGAGTGGTGCTGACTCTGCCTTCTTTATACTTGGAGAAGGACATGCTAAAGAAGTCAGTTCCTGAGAAATCTCTATAACCTGGTCCATGAATTCGGGATCAAAAGCGAGGCAGTTCAAAATAACTGTGTCGCATTTCATCCACAATTCCATGACATCACTTGAAACAAGTCCAGCAAAGAAATCATTTTTCATAGCGAAAGCAGACAAAATAATGAAACTTGCAAGAAAAGCTTCACTCTCCATCCTCTCAAACAACAAACAATACAACAAATCTCCTGTAAATTCGTTTGTTGCAACATGTTCGATGTGTTTCAGGGCACGAACAATTAAATAGAACTGGACATTGATTGGGACAAAATCGATCATTCTAAAACATCGCATGGCCGTGAGTAAACTCAGCTGCGATGATGGACGAAAATGGGAAACTAATGTGTCAAAATTTGGCAAACGAAGAAAAGTATGAGCTCTTGACATGAAAGGAATCCATAAATGGCCAATCTCTATTACTTTTCGTATGTACCTGGATGGGACATGAGTGATCATTGAGCGAATGGCCGACAAAATAAAGAGTTGCTTCAAAGTTCGTGATCTAAACAAAGATTCGTACTTAAAGTATATGGAATGAACGGTCATTAGCTCTTTCTGAGGTATGGCAATGACAACACGATTGGTCATGAGGTCCATTGTACTTAAAATATGACGATCTAAGATTTCATCCCAATTTGAAAGTTGGGATAGGTCAAATCTGAGATCAATAAGGTTATCAAACTCTTGGCCTAACTCATCATCCTTGGAAAACAACTTACAAACTAAAGAAGTTTGTTTTTTCAGATATATATCTGTCCAAAACCATGCAAACTTCTTTTTCTCACTGATATCAACGAAGTCATTGATTGATATGGTTTTTGGCATAAGATTTATGTCGTGAAGTGCTATTCCTAGCATCACGATATCATTTACGCAAACAAAGTGTCTAAACGGTTGGTGATCGCCCCCACAATTAAAATATGGGGCCATAAACATTCCTGTTGTTGCTAAAATTGAATCTTTGAACCTGCGAATCTCTGGATCGCAATTTTTTACGTAAGAAAGGATTTCTTCGATCAATTCCCACTTATCCTTGGATATTATCTTCCTTGCCCATGTTCTCATATGTGGGAATACGAATCTGTCGAAGAAAAGTTCTAATAATGCAGTATCTGACCAACCTCGTTCAATAAGCAATTGTAATATATAAACAATCTCATTTGATAATAAATGAAGCCATTCTATACAGTATCTGATCAATGTTGCTGCGTATTCAGGAACAATAATTTTAAAAGCTTCTCCATCAATGATTTGGGAGTCAGGAGTATACAATTGGAAGAACTTATGCATTATAGTACTGATGAATTGCACAGAGAGACCGGAATTAAAGAAGGGCATCAATAATCTTGTGACAATTAACGTATTTGGCATTTCTGTTACATGCACGTAGAAACTATATGCTAATTCGACCATTTCATGTGATGAGAAGAAGCCAAAAATAGATGGTATCGCTGAAAAAGCAAGATGCAAAAATTCTTGATCATCATTTCGACTCAAAACTACTTGTTCTAGTATTATTGGGTTCCTTATTAGGAATGATATAAGGGTTGATGAAGCCTGAGCTAAGTTTGTGATGCCTACGTAAGATCTGAGAGTTATTGGATTAAATAGCCTTGTATTCATCATATCTGGGGGTTGTATGCATTCGCTTTTGCAATCACTACTATAGTAAAGATGTAATGTTATCATTCGAGTTTGCCATATAATGTCTTCTTGTAGTTTTTCTATTTTTTTTTCTAAATCTGATTTTAGTTTTCGAAAAACAGGTATATCAGTCGTTTTACAGTTATTAACACACTTAGTAATATCTAGTGGTGATGCCGGATATGGTTTCTTCAAGTTGCAATTGTTTAAATTAAAATTATCTGATTGAGATTTTTGGATTATCGTAGAAATTGTAAATTGGTTATCTTTAATATAAGATTTATCAGGTGTAGAATTTGATTTCGGCAAGAGTAAGCTTTTTGCTTTGTTATCTATGCTATTCATATAATTTGTAATTATTTTTCGCTTATCTTCGCCAGTAAGGATCATAATTCGATGTGTGTAGCTAATATTTTTCGAGAGAACTGTTGCATTTGATCCAATAACAAACAGAAAACAGCCGTGATAATAATTTAAATTTGTAGTTTCAATATATGATGTTTCAAAGTAGAATGTATTATGACTTTTGTTCCCATCCATGAAAAGAGAATAATTGTGTTTATAAAGAAAGTTTTTACTTGAAAAAGTATTTTTTAGATGGGAATCAATAACAATAACAAAAGGAAGTGTCTGGAATTTTGAGAAATAGTCTTTAATCTGCAATAACGCTTCACTATAATCCGTCACATCTATAATTTGATCGATACAATTACACATTTCATCCAAAATAACGTGCTTTTTCTATCCGCTCATTTCAACTTTTATCGGCACGCAGCTTAACTCAATTTTGATGTTTTTTCGCATTAACATGCAGCCCATATTAAATCCTGCATTTTACTGACATTATACCAGTTTATTTGAGAATTATGATTCTTTGATATCTCTTGTTTTAATTTAAATACATATAGTGAAGTTTCGTATGCTTATGGACATTTGAGATTTTTATTCCAAAAACGAATATCGCTTATTGTCAATGAAATATATTTTCATTCAAGATGAAGAATGCATAATTCAATCATAATCTACTATTTCCAAATTGTTTTTGCATTTAGACATTAATTTGATAAAGAATATTATCTTTCGAAAAAAATATTATCAAATCAAAACATGCCATAATACATATCTTCAAATAAAGCATCTGTTAAATAGAATATGTACAACTCATTACATGTTTGAATCTCTAAAAGTGACGAAAATGAAACCTTGATATATGCAGGAAGACAAATTTTAAATGTAAAGGGTTTAGCTCAATGGGAGAGCGCAATAAAATCTTTAGTATTGATAGTAAGATTTCTTACATCAAACGTTCAGATTTATAATCCTGAAATCTTGGTTCAACTCCAAGAACTCCTATTTTTGGTTTTTCCTTTTGATATTTCAGTGTGGGAAGGTATATTAGCGATATTTTTGATATTTAATAATCTAGCATATGCAGCAATCTTATATATAAATTAGATTAATCATGACATAATTTCAATCAAGTAGAATTTTTTAACCATCAACATTTTCATTCAAAAATTGAATTAGTTGTCAAATTTGTAATTGATCTTAAAAAGTGTAATAAACAGAAATTCATCAAAAGTGACAGCTCTCAATTTTTTGACATCTGTAAATTCTAAATTGAATGAGAAAAATGAAATAATACTAAGCATAATACAATATTCTAGATTTAATTATAATTAGGAAAAAGTTAGTTTTGAGAGTACTTTTCATAGGCATATAGAATGAAATCTTCTGAAAAATAATATCACATAAACTCATATTATTTTCTAATATATAACTATTTTATATAAAAATCAAATTCAATGATCTTAAAAGCGAAGGATAAACCTCAAAATTTACGAATATAATGAGTGGGAATATAATGCTTATCTATCATAAAACCATATGAAATATACAATTTTTGCTTTACGCCTAATTTTTGACGACAATTAGCAAAAAATGTTAAATGTTAACACTCAGTCCATTTGAATATGAAAAATAAAATTGACTTTGATTAAATTTTTATTTATCATGCAATTCTTCTTGCGACCAAAGATTTGAATAAAAGTTCAAAAAATAAGATAGCTTAAAAAATAATATACGGTAGTGTTTACTAATAGATGAATATATATAAAATTCTATTAAAATGGATTGATCCAAAAAAATATATAAAATTTGATCATAAATAAAATCGTTTTAAATTACTTCTTCATTTAAATTATAACAATTATTTTTGGTTTTATATTTTTTGGATCAAATCCATTTTAATAGAATTTATATACTATTCATCTATTAGTAAACACTACCGTATATTATTTTTTAAGCTATCTTATTTTTTGAACTTTTATTCAAATCTTTGGTTGCAAGAAGAATTGCATGATAATAAAAACATTTAATCAAAGTCAATTTTTATTTTTCATTCAAATGGACTGAGTGTTAACATTTAACATTTTTTGCTAATTGTCGTCAAAAATTAGGCGTAAAGCAAAAATTATATTCATATGGTTTTATGATAGATAAGCATTATATTCCCACTCATTAATTCGTAAATTTTGAGTTTATCCTTCGCTTTTAAGATCATTGAATTTGATTTTTATATAAAATAGTTATATATTAGAAAATAATATGAGTTTATATATTTTTCAGAAGATTTCATTCTATATGCCTATGAAAAGTACTCTCAAAACTAACTTTTTCCTAATATAATTAAATCTAGAATATATATATGCTTAGTATTATTTCATTTTTCTCATTCAATTAGAATTTACAGATGTCAAAAATTGAGACTGTCACTTTTGATGAATTTCTTTTATTACACTTTTAAGATCAATTACAAATTGACAACTAATTCAATTTTGAATGAAAAATGAGTTAAAAAATTCTACTTGATTGAAATTATGTCATGATTAATCTAATTTATATATAAGATTGCTGCATATGCTAGATTATTAAATATCAAAAAATATCGCTAATATACCTTCCCACACTGAAATATCAAAAAGGAAAAACCAAAAATAGGAGTTCTTGGAGTTGAACCAAGATTTCAGGATTATAAATCTGAACGTTTGATGTAAGAAATCTTACTATCAATACTAAAGATTTTATCTGCGCTCTCCCATTGAGCTAAACCCCTTTACATTTAAAATTTGTCTTCCTGCATATATCAAGGTTTCATTTTCGTCACTTTTAGAGATTCAAACATGTAATGAGTTGTACATATTCTATTTAACAGATGCTTTATTTGAAGATATGTATTATGGCATGTTTTGATTTGATAATATTTTATTTCGAAAGATAATATTCTTTATCAAATTAATGTCTAAATGCAAAAACAATTTGGAAATAGTAGATTATGATTGAATTATGCATTCTTCATCTTGAATGAAAATATATTTCATTGACAATAAGCGATATTCGTTTTTGGAATAAAAATCTCAAATGTCCATAAGCATACGAAACTTCACTATATGTATTTAAATTAAAACAAGAGATATCAAAGAATCATAATTCTCAAATAAACTGGTATAATGTCAGTAAAATGCAGGATTTAATATGGGCTGCATGTTAATGCGAAAAAACATCAAAATTGAGTTAAGCTGCGTGCCGATAAAAGTTGAAATGAGCGGATAGAAAAAGCACGTTATTTTGGATGAAATGTGTAATTGTTATAGACCGAAAATAGATTTTTTCGGTTTTCTCTTCAAATAATTGAAAGAATGATACTATTATAGGTTTATTATATTATATAGCATATAATCATGCTATAGCCGAAAATTATAAGTTTTGAGAAGATTGAATATAACACAAATAAATTTGAATGTAAGTTAAATTGCTTGTTGTTTTTAATAGGCATTTAATGAGAAATCCAATATTGCAAAATTCAAATTGAATGATTGAAAGAACAGAAAAAGTCATTCTTTTCAATTTCGAATATGTTTCATTGTATTTATAATTATACGGCAAATAAGATATTTAAACTTGATTTTTGAAGGAAAATTCACAAAATTGAATAAATTCAAATAATTTTTATTCAAAAATAAACTAGTTATTTGAGTTTAATACTAATTATCTATTCAAACTACAAAGTTTGTAATTTAAAATATTTTGTGAGATCAGATTGAATTAATTCAAGGTTCTTTTCAATTAATATTAATGACCATATTACGCATTTTCGAACATTCTAAACCAAATATATAAAAATGGGAGACGAATGTTAAATTTGCTAGACATGGGGGAGTTGTCTGCAAAGTTTTAGCTCTTATCTCTAACAAAAAATTAATTTTTAAAAAAATGACCGAATACGTTTCACAGCGAGAAAAAATAAAAGGCAAGATAGAATTTTCTAGACATAAAGAAGTTGTTTACCGAGTTTTAGCTCTTATCTCTAACAAAAAATTAATTTTTAAAAAAATGACCGAATACGTTTCACAGCGAGAAAAAATAAAAGGCAAGATAGAATTTTCTAGACATAAAGAAGTTGTTTACCGAGTTTTAGCTCTTATCTCTAACAAAAAATTAATTTTTAAAAAAAGACCGAATACGTTTCACAGCGAGAAAAAATAAAAGGCAAGATAGAATTTTCTAGACATAAAGAAGTTGTTTACCGAGTTTTAGCTCTTATCTCTAACAAAAAATTAATTTTTAAAAAAAATGACCGAATACGTTTCACAGCGAGAAAAAAATAAAACTTTACACTGATTTTAATTTTCATTTCCAGTCACTTTACTTATTTTTTTTTATTTTTTTCATTTTAATTATCAATTTTTTCATAATACGTTTATTTACGTTACCATTTTCTTTATTCTTTTGAATTCCATACTACACACTTATAGAATATTTTGATTGTTAACGTACTTCATTAGAATGAATCCTTACAAAGGGTATGTCGATCGAATTTACCTAATTGGTATTTCCAATCAGATTGAAAAAGGTAAAATGACATGGGAAGAAGCTTGCACCCATGTTCCCATCGCCCCAACCCTTCAATCAAATGATTTCAAATATTTAGATGTTTCAAAATCTTTTTTACAAAATCAATTTAGCTTACAGAATATCCCATTGCCTAAAGGCAAGAAAGGTCGTAGGGTCAATCCCTACGACCAAATCAAAGCTCTTGCTGTGATACATGACCACTGGGCCTTTCCCTGTGGTCAAACAAAACAATGGAAACGTTTGAAATTACAACAAATTGATGTATCTTATAGAGAAGTACGCAGATACTTCAAAGAAAATCATTTCACCAAGACGCGATTAGAGCATGCCGGGCCAGAAACAGCAGTAAGATATTGGGCGCTTTCACCCAATCTTATCTGGCACGCAGATGTTCATTATTTTAGGGGTGTTCGTGGCCAGTATATTTATGGCATAATCGACGATTTTAGCCGCAAAGTCCTAGCGTGTATACAAATACCAGATATGCTGGCAGCGACGACAGCGAACGTTGCGGCTTCCGCCTTCATTGAATTTGGCGCCCCTTATTGTTTCTGGACCGATAACGGTTCAGAAAATAGGGGAGCCTTTCAAGATCTACTTGATCTTTGGGGCGTCCAATGGCGGCA